TCCTGGCATTTCAAATCAGGTGCAAAATGCTGAGCATTGCCTTCAGCCTTAATGTGTAATCTTATGTCACTCAGCCTTGCAGTGATCTGGACTGTAGATTATCAAGTTTGACCCTGAATCTCGATTTGAAACAATCCACTTGCTGTCGTGTCACAAGCTGTAGCACGTCACGACTACAGCTTGCCGTGTTTGAGAGTCCTGTTGTCAGAGGTAGTTGTGCCGTCTAGCTTGTATGCTTCAGGGACGTTCAGTGTCGATTGTATTGTTGAGGAGATTGCAGAACAAAGACAGCAATATGCAGACTGGCGCATGACCAAGCGACTGCTCAACCTCATAGCTCCCTGCACGACTCGCACTGCGGCAGCAATCATGCAAGTACGACGATCAGTCTCCAGAGTCTAAGACTCAGAGCTTGATCAGAATCTGGCGAATCTGCGCAATCTGATCCTGCATTTAGATTTTGAATACAATTGCAGACAATCTGACCCCAACCTGACCAACCTGGAGGCCTCCCGGCCGCGGCATATTGATGAGTTGTGAGGCGGCCTGCATATAAGCGCTCGTATACGGTACTCATTCCCAATGTCATAGACGTAGGAAAAGAGGTTGCTCTGCTGTTTATATACCGGTATGGTTGCAAACGACAGTAGACCTACCTATACGTTATAATATCGTATGCTAGCATGCATTTTTAGACATGCATGTCCTATCAGTGTTCAATTTAACAGGTATCTAACAGTTAGTGTGGTTTCAACTTCCAACTGTCATTGCAAATTATTGCGCGCGCAGCACTTACTCCATATTCTAGAACTAGATTAGGAAGCTAGTCGTGACTCGCCCAGATGGTTACGATTTACCACTAACTTATCCAAATGATTCTGATCGTCCGATGATACCGGGCCTCACATCGACCGCCATGATTGCTCAGACTCAAAACAAGATCCGGTTAATTCTGCATGCTGAGACGGTGCCACTGAGAGTCCGGGTGTGCACCACCACCGTGGCCGGGCACGCCCGCCGCCGCGGGCAGAGAGGAACGTTTGCTAGTTAGTAGCCGCTTCCATAATGTTGTCCGACGTGTTCTCCCTTGTTTAATTCCTAATTTTCCATATGTTCAGGGTATCACCGGATCATCATCGTACGGCGGACCATGTATAAGAAGAATCGGCCAATCAATGAACGTGTTTACCATACTTCGCAGTCTAACATCATTGGGTTGGCAAACAAGTCAATCTGTTCAAATGCCTCTCAGCTTGATCAACTTGTCAAGTCGACCTCACAACATACATGACTCACACTTTAACCGTCTATGCACACCAAGAGCACTACTATATTAACACAAGTCAGCACCTCCTAGGCAACTCTCTTGGTCGTAGGCAAATAATAGTATTATAGAGCGAGTTGTGACGTTTGTTTCCAGATTGCCTTAGCACGCTGCAACCACGTCACGATTAGGGATTGGGAGGGACACTAAAGCACCTGGCGCAGATTTTTGACCGGGACTACACAGCTGATGGAAGCAAGGTCCGCATGGCCCTCAAAGAGGCTGCCACAAGTAAGGCTATGGTCCTGATGCACCTTACCATCCAATGAAACCATCAAGTGTTGGACCCCGTACCAATCACATCATCCCACAGATACTTGAGCTACAGCAAAATGTCTCCACTTTAAGTTGTGAAAAATCAGAGACCGCTTCTCGGACCCAATAGCAATGGACTTCGAGCACTAACCTGAAAGAAGCCTTATTGTACATGGTCTGCAGTTTAGCAGATCCAAAACATCAGGATCAGAAACATTGAAAAGTCCAACCCGATTACGAACCTTGATTCTTTCTTAGTATCAACATCCTTCAAAGTCACATCTCCAAATCTGCTTTGCATAACCTTCGTTCGCTATGACGCTGCCACGATGATCTTGCCCACTTTCTTGTACTTGAAGTCGAACTTCTGCGGAAAGCGGGGAAACAAGACATCTTTAGGCACTCCTTGGACCGATTACGAAGGTTTTTCTTGCTCACAATTCACGATTGTTTCCAGGTTGATTCCAATCTTAAGTGTTGACTCACAGATTCAGCGAGTCCGGAACGTCTGTCACTTAGCATAGCAGGTGTTGTGAACATGAACAGATGCCGTCGCGTTATGTCTGAAGGAGCTAATCAAGTCCGCACAGGTTCCTGATAGTCGAAAGTCCAAAATAGGGTACTCCTTATCTTGTGGTCATCTCGACAGTGAGATGGGTTCAGTGAAAGGGAATCACACTTTATACCAGGGGCTAACACGTACCAAAAGCCACAAGGATGAGTAAGCAGACCTGTCACGTGCTCCTTGTTAGGAAGAAAACAACACTGATGCATATCATCTTACTGACAGACCGTTTCGAAACCTCAAACGGAACAAGCTGGAACACCGAGTCTGGGATGATCAATATAAGACAAGTGCGAGGTAGGCAGGGAAGGAGCTGAAGCAGAAGCAATATGCGCAGAAAATGCTTGCTGACCCGAAAATCTCTACCTTATGTCAATCAGCAACACGATTGCAAAAAGTTGTCGGGCAAGAAGTCTTATGCCCAAAAAGCCATTCATCGTTTTCTGATCACAACAACAGCGCAATGCGCCGCCCCTCTGTCAGGGAAAGGCTGCAAAGGAGCCCAGCCTTGCAGAGACTCCTCCAACACCAACGAAGCTCGGGGCAGAATCTACCATCGTTTCAATAAGCCACATGTCATTCTTGCTTCCGCAAAAAGGGACTTCTGTTGAAACAAACTGAGTGCCACAATTGACGCTCACCGCTTCCCAGTCGTTTAGAACGTCTATCTCCGCCAGGGTGAGCCCCTCGAGGTCCCCGTTAATGTCTTCCGGCTTGAATGACATCTTTGCGAGGGCGCGGCTGGCGTCCCTGCAGGGGGGGGGGGAGATTGCTCTATTTTTAGCACAGAACTGAGATGTCTTAGTAGTGAAAGGTGTGGCGTTTGACTGTAAGTGGCTGACCAATCGCTGCCATCAAGGGCGGAGACAGCGGCCGCCCAAGATCTGTCAGTTTCTATCGCTGGGAGCTTGAGGGAGTGTTACATATGAAAGTTGAAATCTGAGGGCTTCCTCCTCTTTTGATTCGCATTTGGGGAATCTGCTGATTGTTGTTGGCGGCAGATCAAAGCGAGATCTTTGCTTGACTGGATCAGAATGGACACTGAAAATCATCTGTAGTGGCTACTGAACCTGGGGGGATTGCATATTGCAGCAGAGCAATTGCGATGTTTGACTTGGTAAAATCTACCTGATACAAGTCCACACCAAATGGAGCACAAGTCACACAATAATCCCAGATTACACCCTCTTTAGGTGAGAAAGAGTTGCAGAGTTTTTGAGGAGCACAAGGTGGTCAAGGGTAAACCCTTGAACTGCTAAGTTCTGCAATGTACATCCTCAGATACAAGCCTTTATCAAAATCAATTGCTCACAGAAACGTCTTCCTTAGTGCCCCAGCACGGCAGGCAAGCAAAACCACGGCATTCTCAAGTTGCAGCAGAGAGTCCGGCTTCTGTCAATGATTGCTTTCGTGCTGGCACCTCGACTTTGATCTTATATGACAATGCAGCAATTGGCTAGCTCACCGTCCAGCAAACGCACAGTACGGACCGTCGGGTGGCCCGTAGAAATCCTTGCCCTTGGTTACATCATAGATATTGCCCTTGATCGCCATCATGAGCGGCTTGGTGGGGTCCCTCCCATCATACTGCTCCAGCTCAAATGCTGTGATCTCCCCCACCTCAATTGACTCTATCACCGGTTCCGGTTCTTTCTCAGCCATGGCCTGTCTGCGCCCCCCGGGCTTTCGGATGAAGCGGAAGTAGACTGAGAGAAGCAGGAGCGCAACTGCGATGAAGGTACCAAGCGGGGACTCGAGGACTCCTTTGGATTTCGGGGCCTCCAGCTCGGCCATTCGAGGGTTCTTTGGAAAGCTTTGAAGCCGCCTGTAGATGTAGAAGATTGCCCCTGACTTCTTCCAAGAGTTTGTCAACAGGCAGAAGCGACACACACACACACGCGCGACAGGCTCATGCTGCCGCACGAGACTCGAACCATTCGGACAGTGCGGACGGCCGCTGAAGCCGGTGCGGTAGGTCGAGTCCTAAACGTCTTCAACCATCCGGAGCCATTGGCTTGATGTGCATTGAAATTTTTGGAAGCGAACGGTGTCCGCAAGTGTCCAAACAATGGCCAAGGCGGGCCCAAAACCCGGCGCAAGCCTGCATGGCCGCTTCAAGTTCTAGTGCGGCAAGCCCGGCCGCGGCGCCGATCGAGCCGCGCGCGCCGCGCGCATTCAACGTAAACCGTGACCAATGTCAAAGAACGCACTCAGCTGGAAGAATCAATCGCCATGGCAGGCGCTCCCTCTGCATTCGAGCTACCAGCCGCAGCAATGTCCTCTTCAGGCGGGTCCTTCTCTGCTCCCTCTTCCTCATGGCGACCTTCAGCGGCCGCGTGCGTGCGGCAAAGCCGCGTCAATTTGAAAAGACCATCGCAGGCATCATGATCAGGACAGTCAAACCGGAGGCCAGCGTTGGGGTCATGACCTTGCCTGACCCGGAGGTCATAAATGCGTATCTTCGCACCAACACGAGTCTAAAAAACATTCTCCTGCCTGACGATCCGCCGCTGCAGCTAATCAAGTGCGAGATCTATCTGATGTTTACAGGGGCTTTGTTCAGTTTCTACACGGCAGACCATCCAGGGGGTTGTGATGAGGCCCCTCATCCAGTCGTCAAAACACTGTTCTAACAGCGAGAAGTTCTGGAACTATGAGCTTCGGCGGTGGCTGTGCTCTTGGCCCCTACTAGTGACTCTTGCGGGTATTCACGCCTTCATCCTGACTCTGGTGTCCGAAGAGTACCGCAACAGGATTGACATAGAGGTCGGTGTGCACGGAGAGCCCGTTGCATAGCTTTAGGGTGGTTCCTGCCACTCTGCGTTATTGGGGGCTTCGTCTTGGCGGTCAAGTGGACTGCAGTGCACGTGAATGCACTGCAGTCCATCTGCCAGACCCTGCAGAGGGCATCAACGGATTTCTGCACTCGAACAAGATCAGTCTGACTCTTCATCGTTGCGTCGCTTTCCAATGGGAAAACCCCGGAACTCATTATCCGCTGTTCGAGTTTTACACTGGCATGCCCAAGAGCTTCTGCCCCCAGCTTTTTGCAGCAAAGGCTATCTACGCTGACTACTTGGATGAGCTTCCTGACAACTTCGCATTCGGCGGATATGGTCTCAAGGAAATCTTTCTCATACTGCCAGGGCGCTGGATCTTGTCAGGTGCCACACTCTTCGGCCTCACCCTCTTCTTGTGCGAGATTCCTTGTTTTATCGTCTTCATCTTTGCCGACTGGTGGCGAGCTGTAAGCAGAGCACCGAGTAGACCCTCGAACAGGCTTTGCAGAAAGTGCAAGCAGAATGTACCTGAATAGTCAGCGAGCGAACAAAGATCTTCTTTTTATTGTATGTTCGGCAAAAGTGGCCCTGCTAAGGCAATTCTCTGTCAAGCGCAGACCTGGGACCGGACTTGCAGACAACTTGCTTATGTACGTGTTCCTGTAGATACATATCTGGACACAGGAATGTTTTTCTTGTCGTGTATCAACCTTCTGCAAAGTAGAAGGCTTTGACGTACACGTCGTGGCCGCGTCATAGGGCTCATTCTTATATTCAGACGGCTCTTGATATCTTGCTGTCCAACGTCACTCTCCTTGCCTCACAGATGACTTATTGTGATCATCATATTATCATGAATGAGCCTCGTAACATTGATACCAATGCAGAATGAATGGAATCGACGCATCTCGTGCTGGGAAAGAGGGGCTCGTGCGGCCGGGTATTCCATGCGTGTCTAGATTTACTTCTAACAACCCAGGAGGTTACGCCCTGCTTCTTGCATACTTTGAACCTCCCAATTAATGTGATTGTCTTACGACTTCGCATCTCCTTTGGATGTACATGTCTGCAACTCAAATAGCGCGTGCTCGGTTAAGTGCAACTGCGAAGCTAGTGCATCTTGCATCTTACACGTGTGTCCCTACTGTTCAACTACAGGCTTCACATGCAATTTCGTATCAGAGATGGAACAAATCGAGGAAAGCCCATGCTCAATTTCAGGACTCGATTTACGTGCACCTTCCCAAGTTTCCGACTGGGAACAGGATATATAGCGGCTAACTGAGAACCCGAAGTCGTAGAGTGAGAAACGCAAACCGCCTGCGCGCATTGACTAGCCTTCGTGACGTCATGGGGCCAAGCTAGCGCGTGGTTTTTATCAGGGATTCCCCCTCAACCGGGTCGTCAAGATCCCTGATACCTGGAATATGCCCGGGACAGCCTGAACGCTTTGAAAGTACCTAGTACTGGCGGAAGCAAATAGAATCAAGCGCCCGGTAGACACATGCGTGCCCCCTGTCTTCTGCCAAGTGTCTTGTTCGGCAGGTCACCTCTGCACCAGTGTAAGCTGACAAGGATCAGAAGGACCGAACATTAAAACACCACTTCGTCTCCGGCTGGCTGTCTCCATCTTGAAAGTGCACAGCGGTCTCATGCGGCGTTGAATCATAGTTTCATCCTGTCCTGCAGGAGCGCAAGGAGCAACTTTGCAAGCAATAGCCATGGCTGCCAACAGCTTCTGCTTTCGTGCTGGCCCCCACAGCCCCATACTTCTCGGCCTGCTCTTCTTTAGCTCCCTCATTCTCGCCATCTCTTGCAGAAGCATCCAGGCTACCACGCACAGCCTGCCAGGAGACACCAGCAGAACGATGCTCGCCTCCGAGGACTTCTGGAACATGAGCCTACCGGATCCTGACGTCATCAACGCGTATCTCCGCAGCAACACGTCGCTCAGGAACAGCCTCCTGCCTGGGACTCCTCCCCTGCAGCTTATCAAGTGCCACGTGTACCTCATGCAGACGGGGAATTTGTTCAACTTCTACACGGCAGACCACCCGGGGGGGTGTGAAGAGGCCCCTCGCACAGCGCTCAAACCCATGAGCTCCTATTCCGCCAGCGAGATATTCTGGACGCTTACTTTTCCGAGATGGCTGTGCTTCTGGCCTTTCCTCCTGGCCCTTGGGTTTGTTCACTTCGTCCTACTGTCACGACTTAATGAAACATACGAGCGGCGAAAGCGATCTGGCGTTTTGACTGCTGCCGAAGAGAAGGCAGCAGGATTCTTCTTCGTTGCTGCATTCGCTTTGTTGTACGGTAGCTTGTTTGGGGGCTTCATATTCGCCGTCGGATGGACCGATACAGAGGAGCTGTACCCTCAGCTTTTGCCAGATCCTGCGAGCAACATCAACTCGATATTCCAAACGAGCAACGTTAGCCTAAACTTGCACGTCTGCAACGCGACTTCTCCACTAACGGGACGGGACGTGACCCTTTTCCAGTTCTACACGGGCATGCCACAGAGCTTCTGCTCTCAGCTCCTGGAAGCGAAGGCCGTCTATGGAGACTTTCTGGACCATCTTCCGGACGAAGTCAGGTTCGATTACACCACCGGACCTGCATTCTTCCCGATTGTGGGGCGCTCTGTCATTTTAGCCGCCGCCATCTATGGGTGGGCTCTGTTAGTGATAGAGGCAATCTATGTGATTGCTATCACTCTCAATCAACGGTCTAACGTCTCCGAAAGAGAGGTCGAAGCCGTCCTAGCTCAAGAGTTAGACATGGTAGAACAATTGTTTGGGGATCATAAGCAAGACGCAGATCTTCCCTAGCTAAGCAGTGCCGTCTGTTAACGGCCAACTGGAGGGGAACTGGATAGTTGTCTGACCTTATGGACTTGCAGGAGACGATGTCTGACGACTCTGCTGGTTAGTCGCTCGACTTGCAGATGTACCTCTGCCTATATGGGTGCAGTTTTCTCATTCATGGCCCTGCTTCTAAACCCAGAAGACTCGATTGGACATGTGCTGCTCTTTAATCTATCACGCCAAACTTGTGAAAACCCAGTCGTTTTCTAAGATCGGCCGAGGTACACTTAACTCATCATTGCAGGCATGTACATGAAAGTGGGAATATTGTTCGAGTCCTCGATCTACGTGCGACATTTGCAGTAAAAGACATGCAAAGGGATCTGGTTGGAGTAGATGAACGTACTACGGGCCCTAGTCTCGTGGAGCAGAACTAAGATAGATTGACACATGCATGTGCGGACGCAAGGTCAAGATCGTCTATACACGTTGACTCCATGTATCTTTCAATAGGCAATCTAATGCATGATGCAACTCACACTTTTTTATTGCATCTGATCGAGATGCTTACAAAGCTCAATCAAAAGTTCTGTTCGGTACAAGAGGGTACACATGTTGGGTCTGTAGCATGCGCATGCAGTCTATCCTAAAGTCGAACAGCTAGCTTGCAACCTAAACTTTTCAGAGCCTAGCTCTTCCTACTGGTACAAACCCTTAAACCTACAATTAAGCGTAGCTGCAAGCGTGTAGCACGAAGCAATCAACCAACACTGTTATACACAACGTCTTCATCCGCTCCAATAGCATAAAATCCGGGTCCTCAGATGGCTCGCTCTGATTCACACTACTATGCACAACCAATCCTAATGAGCTCTTTCGAACCACAACACAAGACCGTTAACATCCGTTCGTCCAACTCATCCTTTGACACCATCCCAAAGGGGGCCCTGGGCAAAGGCCTTACATCCCCGCCATGGTGTCAAGCACGGTGGACGTAATACTCTCCGCGCTCACGTCCGGCAGCGGGAAGTATCTCCCGCTTCCGGCGCGCGCGATCTCCTCCCCAAACGACTCCTGCCGCCACCGCTCGGGGTCGATCACCAGCAGGTTCACGTTTTTCTGCATCAGGGGCGTAAGTTTAGAGTAAGTACTATGGCGTTTATCACAGATGGAACGCTGATCCTCAAAGCGTCTTGATTTTGTTCTTTTCGACGTGCACTGCAGCGAGAAGATGTCAAACGTAGGACGGACGTACTAAGGTCGTATGGAGGAGCGGCTACTATCACGATTTTGACGACTTCTAGAACACATATCCGTCAGACGTGAAAAACGCCAACCGTATGGATCTTCAAGGGCGAGCGCCGTTATAGAGCGATCTTTCTGCTTGACTTAGTGTGTTCGAAGGTGGTGTCACCATTTCCCACTCGTGATGCACTTCGTGGTTTCGTCCATTCGGAATCGTGAATGTCAAAGTGAAAATCAGAGTAGTCAAGAATGTGACCTTTACCTGGTCACCGATAACCCGCGCCACGTCCAAAACCTCCTGCTGGACGTCCGCCATCGTGTTCTGCGCCGACCGGAAGAAGGCGGACGCCCACGTAGCGCCGTACGAGAGCCGCGTGCCCTTCTTCCCGGACAGGCTCACGTTCGGGTCCGCGTCCGTAATCGCGACTATTAACACCTTCTCCACCTCGCGCCGTTTCTGCGCGGCTAACCCGGTTTCTAACCCGGTTAGCAGCGCCCGGGCGATCGGGGTTCGGCCGCCGGTTTGCGAAATAAGTTCGACGCACTTTCGGGCTTCTTGGACGGAGCGGGTGGGAGGGAGGAGAACGGTGGCCCCGCTTTTGGCGAACTGGATGATGGCGACTTGGTCCCGGTTAACGTAAACCCGGTCGAGGAGCTGGATAACCGCGCCGCGCACGCTGTGGAGGAAGGCCTCCATGCTGCACGAAGTGTACGAAGACAAGTTTAGAGACAGGACCAAACCATGGCCTTGGGTCAGAATGCCCTCAAAAGCCTTGGAAGGACGCCTCCTTGTTCTGAAGGAACCGAAATATGCGCAAACGGGTCGAAGAATGTCAGGATCAAAAGCTGAGATGGCCGAGAAAGACAAGCAGATCCTAACGGTCACGCAGCCAGAGGGTTGACTTACAAGCAACAAGGGAGTGTCAACGAGCAAACGAAAGGCCTGACGAAGAACGCACTAGCAAGGGATAGCAAAGAGAAAATGGAGAGAAGCGAGCTCGTGCACTTATGAACTGGCCATTTTTTCCAATCTGCATCTTACGTTGATTCATCCTAATATACGTATTGTGAAGCAGACAACACTTCTCGTACGACCTGCAAAAGAAACACTAAATAGCAGAGTAAGATCGTGCTCCGTGATGCCGTACCTGCCGCTTGTGTCGACCACAAACACGACCAGGTTTGTCGCCTTCCGGATCCGCTTCTTCTCCCGTATGTCCTCCATCCGCACCTGCACCTTTACCCGACTCTCGCCCCGGTTTTTCCGCTCCCTTTCCGCCAGTCTCGCCTGCTGGTGCGGCGCGGAAGCTCTAAGCGTCGCGTCGACCGCGACGCGACTCATCTCCGGAACCGCCGCCCGGGGGAAGATGGACTTGACGTACCGGCCCCGGAGCGTGGATTCCGCCAGGTTCTTCCGGTTCCGCCCGACCTTTCCGCGCGACTCGTCCTTGGCGAGCTTCCGCTTGCCCATCAGCTGCAGCATTTTGAGCAGCTCCGGGTCGGCCACTTCGCCCGCGCGCGAGAGGGTGAACTTGGACGGGAGTGCGCCCACCTGCAGCAGTAAGGAGACTGTAGGGTCAGCATTCGCACAGCGACGGTCGTCGGGTCCTGACCTGCATTAAGCGCCGTTCCGAGACGAACCGATGATTCAGGATGCGAACAGAAAGAGGCCAGGCTTGCACGTCCGGGACGCGCCACGACGCAAATTGAAATACTTGGTCAAGACGAGCCATGCCAAGGGCTCTGATCAAGGCGACCCAGTAGAATGTCCGTTTATGACGGCATGCACGTTTTGTCCAGAGTGACCCTGAAACATCGATGGGAATCTAGACAAGTCTCTCGATCGCACATCAAGTGTAAGCTGCTCTCACAGCAACACATAGTGGGCTTCGCCGATTCGTCGTCGACTTGGAAGACTCTCGCAGCGGATACTCCCGCGCAGAGACCGCGCAGGTCCTAATGAATATGGAGGAGAGGCAATAAACATGCAAGGCAAATCCCTCTGAAAGGCCCACAGTGTCTGCACTTGCACTTACCTGAGGCCCCTCCCCTTCTTCGCTGGTTCCCATCTCCCCCGCGCCTTCCCGCCCCCCCTCCTCGTTCTTCTCTCCGCCCTCGCTTTTCTGGTCGAAAGTCACCTTCTCCCGGTCGTCCGTTCCGCCGGAACCCCCGGAATCCGGCGACGAGTCCTTGTTCTTGAACCCCAGACTAAGCTGCGACATCGCCGCTACCGCGACAGCGGGGTTGTCGTCCTTTTGCGCGGCGGCAAGCGTTTTCTCGAGCGCGCTTTTCTGCTGGAAAAGCCGCCGGAGAGCGGAACGCTTCCGGTCCCACGAGCGGAACGGCGGAACGGGCCCCGGTTGGGAAAGCGAGTCGGCCTCTTCGGGCGCGACGAGTTGGAGGTGGGACGCCAGCTCGGTGATGAGAGAGATGAGAGCTTCGGCGTCATCGGGATCCATGGCTGCATAACAAAAACAACCGTATGTTTGATTGCACACATCAGTGGTCATCCGTCGTCACCAATTCAAGAAGAAGGTGTAGATGAGGGCATGGCAAGGGGACAAAAGTAGTTCTATCATGTAAAGGAAAACAACGTGCTTTTGTCCAAACCTCGAAAAACGGATAAGCCGCAGAATAATCAGCCGTTAACCACTAATGGTCAGTCGTAAATATCCATCGAGCGAACATGGCGCTGTGGTTAAGGACAACCCCAACGGCGGATGTATGATCTGCCGTCAAGCGAAGCAACGCCCGGAACGAGCCTAGCACGAAAGGCGCTTCAACGAGCGACCGGAAAGAAAAGTTCTTTAGTTGTCCATCCAAGCTGGGAGTGCGTCGGCGACACGCGGCGTGACGCTTTCAGTCCTAACGCTGACTAGCGCAAGTCAGAGTCTCTGTAGGCCACTTTCAAGACGAAAACCCGGTCCAAAAGAAACCCTCCAGTCTTTTTTGCATTTTTTCCAAAGAATGTCAATCTCCAGTCGCTATCGGTAACTTTTCTGTTTCGTCTTTCTACTGAGCACCTTCAACAACTTTTCTATCCTCACCTTTCAGCTGCTCCTCAGTCGTCCCTTCCTCGAGTCCCCGTAGAGTCTCCATGGCCCCCGCCCGCACTTCCAACGCCTTCAACACCTCGGGCGAGACTTCCCCGGTCGCTTGCTCGTGCGCGATCGCCTCTGCTGCTGCCCGGTCGAACCGCCCAGGAGCTGGCTTTTCCTCCTCTGCAGAAATACAAGCTCGCACTTCTTCGCGTATATGACACAAGGAACAGTACTATGTACGACTGTCCACATGACTTCAATTGTAGTGCCATAACGACTTTTTCTGGATTGGATCTTTCGTTTCAGTGGAAAAATGGCCATAAAGACCTCAACAACATCAAAGAAGATATAAGCGAAGTGTTCAGATGTGAGTACGTTGCAAAGCGTTCTCCATGCTCTGGTCGACCTGTTCACAAGAACGAGCCCAGAACTTGTCAAACGGAACGAAAGTATCCAGACTCTTCGGAACGGGCGATCAACCCAGAGTCCTCTCGGCTTACTTACTCGCTACCCCTTACCAAGATGAAGCAAGCCGGAACTCCAAAGAACAGTTTCTTCGAAAACTCCCCCTCACCTTCCTCTTCTCCGTCCTCCTCCGTCTCCACCTCCTTGCTCCGCGGCAGCACCGCCAGCTGTACCGCCGCCCTCAGATCCTCCGCACTTACTGCCCGGGCGCCCCTCAGCGCGGCATGTGCCTTCGCCACGCGCGCCGCAAACGCTTCCGCCCGGTGACCCTCGCATTGGCCACGGATCGCCTCTTGAACCAAGTACCGGGTTTGCTCGGAGGAAAGAGTGACGCCCTCACGGAGAATCTCCTGACCCCTCGCGACGATGTTACGGAGATTCGCTTCTGGGTCGGGGGATTGTACCGGTCGGATAGGGCCGTCCGAGAAGCCCAGCACGCGGTCGACGGCCTCCGGGCGCCATTCGAAAGCGGGCCGCGCCTTTCCGTTGCTGTGTCCGTTTCTATTTCCGGTTCCGTTTCCGTTTCCGTTTTCGTCGGCCTTCTCACTTGCGGCTTTAGCCCCGTTCTGGCCCCTCGTTTCAACGGCATGCTGGTCTGTAGCCAAAGCTCGAGCGCCGTTTCCGTTGCTGACATCGTTCTGTCTTTTCCCTCGACTACTAGAGAATATGCCCCGCAATCCAAACCAAGGGCTGCCATTTCCAGTTTCTTTCTTAGCCCCGTTGCCTCCATTCTCTCTCGCCTGGGCAGCTTTCGTACCCGTCCCCCTGACACTCGTTCCGTTCACATGCTTTCCGCTCATATTCACTCCGTTCGTACTTGTTCCGTTCGCCGTCGTCCCATTCTCACTGGCCCGATTCACACCCGTTCCCTTCCCTTCGGCTCCATTTGAAGCCCTCAAAACTTTCGACTCTACTCCCTTTACAGCAACTCGCCCGTTCCCCTCCCTAGCCCCTGCACTTCCATTCTCACCAACACTCATCCTCCCGTTCTCAACCGGCTTGCTTCTCCCATTTTCATGCCCGGTCAGTTCAGAAGCGTCTCCGGACTTCGAAACCGGTAGTCCAAAACGCGCGGTTCGAATCGGACCGTCCGCAGTCGCCACGTGCATGGCGAGTCGATCGAGTAAATGCGGCCGCATCTCCCCCTCTTCGGGGTCCCACGTGGCAATCACTGCAGCGGGGCGGCAGGGGTGCCACACGCTGAGGCCCTCCCGCTCAATTGCGTTGTAACCAAGGTCGACTGCAGACGAACGGTGTTGAAAGTCAGAGTTAAACGCTTTTCAAATGGACGCTTCGATTCCACGAGAGGAGTGTTCCTAATGAGTGAAAATTGAGGGATCGTTTGGATTCGAGGATCATTTGTTGCCCCACCGAGCGGTTCTGCCAGAAAGACGTGACACAATGAGAGGAAGTACTGGTAGATAGTCCGAGAGTACAAGATGGCCCACTCTTTCACCTAGGCATTGTCCACAAGAATCGAGAAGGCGTATATGTCGTTTGAAGAAGCATTCACAAAATTCACACCAAACAAGACAAGACCACACAGAAAAAGTTCAATATTAACAGCCTTGAGGTTGCTCAAAGTAGCACACTTCAAAAAGCAGGGTTTTATGAGTAGATATTTGTAGACTCACTTGCATTGAAGAGAAGATTTGCAACCCCTTCATCTAGCAAGTTGAGGTTATCAACGTACAACACCCCCCGATGCGCCTCTGCCAACAGCCCGGGTTGGAAAGCCGCCCTTCCGCCTTGCAGCGACTTCTCAAGGTCAACGCTGCCCAGTAGCCGGTCTTCGGTCACGTTCAAGGGCACCTGGCAAGTGCATGACAGGTGTCAACGAGATCTTGTACACGTTATGCTTTGAAAGTCGACTTCAGATCTTGAGAGAATTGTCGAATTGACCCAACCGGGAGCATAAGACAGTTTCGTGGATTAAGGCACGACACGGCCTGCGCCCGCTTCACCGAAAACACATCACGAGTGCTTAGGTCAAGAGGCACGGCTTTTGTGAGCACTGCAAAACAAAACCTAGACGGTGGGACGCGCCTAAAATACTGCCCTTGGGTACATGCTTGTAATTTCGCTTGCACGGCGTCTACCGTGCGCTTCGGTCAAATGAAAATCTTCTGCTGTCCAGTCGCGGAAAGCGTTCCTTAAGACTCCAGTGCCGACAAGAATTTCAGAAGGACTAAAAGCACTACATATGACTTTAGGAACATGCACTTACTCACCTGCACAAACGGCACGTCCCGCCACTGCGTCTCCACCTCATTTCCCACCCTCTCTAGTTTCTCCCTCAAACCGCTCTCCCACTCTTCCTCCCTGCCTGGGTCTGCATTTGCCCAGCTGCCCGCAACCACCTCGATCTGCGGCAAAAGCGCCGGAAAAGCTCTCGCCATGACCGTCTTCGCTGTGCCCCTCGGGCCGGCGATCGCAACGCCCCCCAGCTTGGGATCGATCGCAGCGATCAGCAACGCTTTCTTCGCTGCGTCATTGCCCACGATCGAGGACAGCGGGAAGGACCGCCTTTCAAAGGAGTCAGGAGCGACTTTGGGAGATGGTTCTGCTTTTGTGGGCGCAACTTGCGCAGGCCTCTCTGACACCGCAGCCGCATGCGGGGCAGCGACGCATTGTCGCCTCTTTGCATGTGTCAAGGGTGTGCGGTGTTTGCTTCCAAGCAGGCCAATCCGGTCTTCAAGGAGGAACCCACTGAAAGCTGGAAAATGGCGCTCTGGCCAGAGACTGAATCCGTTCACGTCTGGAATACTAGACGCAGCTGGAGCCGCATGCAACGGACCAGTGGAAATACCACTGCGCTTACATGGAATCAATGCCGATCGCCGCTGCGTTGCTTTTCTAAGGGAGAAATGGAGTGGTGCATGTCTCGTGTTGGTTCCATGAGAGAAGCTTTGTGGGCTGCCGTATGGCGAGCAGAAGCGCTGCGGAGAGCTGAACAGTGACAAAGGGCAAGTGGCCGCAAGTGCCATAGTGGACTCTCAACCGTCCTCTTACTGAGATTATTTGCAAAGGTTGTGGGCCAGTTATATAGAAAAAGTAATGCGCAATATGGAGAAGGCCCCTGGATCAAGGTCCGTAGGAAGCAAGCCGATGATCAATTGCAAGACATTGAGCTGATCCGCAATTTCAATGCAACGACACTCCTGGCGCTGCACCACCAGCAAGCTAGCTTTTCCCCTGCAGCCTTCAACTTTCATCAACAGCTGCTGAAGGACGCAATATGGTCCTAGAGAGCGATCAAGTGACGAAAGGCCTCCCCGAACTGTTCCAGTGTACCGATCATAATGCAGCAACTTGCAAGTATCAAGACACCTGTACAAGGAAGCCCTGCCAGAAGCCCTTTCAGCGCTGTAGGCCCAGCTGGCCAGGCAATCTGCAAAATTTTCGATGGCTACTAGCGCGCTTGCAAGAAAGACGAGGGACAACTGTCACACAGAAGGGGGCATCTTACGTCAGCTCGCTCAAAGTGTCAGGGGTGTGCTCGTGGTCCACGTGGCAGCAGGCGGCGTCCTACGCAAATCTGCATCTTGTGGCTAAGCTTCTTGCCCGGTCAGCAAATCTCGGCACATATGGGATTCCGGTTAGCAATCATTACCGGCCGGAAATCCACGATGGGGCGGCCGGTCCAGCTACGGTGTGAAGAGTTTGGGTACCCCGGGGCCCGGCCCCTAACATCAGAATTCAGGAACAAAGCATCCTTGCTTCGGTCGGACGTTTGAGTTTGAGTACGCCGAACCAGTGCCCCGGTGACTTCGATCAAACAACCAGCCAGCCCCGGTGTGCGTGCTTCCCGCCATCCTCAGAAGTCGGAGTTCTTGATTCCTGCTGAAGCGCAATGGAGGGCCAGGAAGCATCCAAACGGAACTGCAGAAAGACGCAGAGCGTCTCTTTGGAAGACGACGTTGTAGGCCTAGAGGAAAGGGGAGGACTCGTTGACCTGTGAGAGCGCAGCTGTTGCCATCGCCTTGGGTTGCATTCAGGGGCCCTGGGAAGTAGGTTGCAAAGAGACATCCTTGTCCAAATGTGTTGGCCGCATTTGGGTCCCATGCGCAGCTGCACGAGCGTTTGTAAAATCACCCCGCTTGCCTGTTGATGTAGGGGGTTGGATCTGGTATTGCTGAGCTCTGTTGTTACAAATTAGAAGGGGGCAAACTCTTTGGGTATGCTTTGAAGGTTAGCTTCAACCACAAGTTTGAGAGACTTGCCATGAGCTTAAAAAGCTGTCGTATCTAAAGAACGCCTTCAGATTTTACATAGGGCGTGAATCTAGGTGGGATTGGGACGATGGCTCAAGCAGGGGTGGCCGGAGTTGGCCTCAAACTATCAGGGGTTTTGTCTTCCACAGCTCACTCCCAGTCAACCGGTCGCCAGCAGTCAGATCTGTGCTGCAAGGCACTTCCTCTTTGGGGAGGGTTTGCAAAGGCCAAACCTAACCAAACCTCAAGCACTTGGGAGCAGCATTCATGGGTTGGCCGAGGCTTCTCATCTGCTGTGCGAGCGAGCCGGGATTCTGAAGGGGGCAAGAAACGGGAGGAAAGTCCAGGGGGGAGAAGCAGATATCCAGACTCTTTGCGGGATCCGAGCAACAGGGGAGCAGCACTAGAGGGCGAGGAAAATGTGGAGAGGAGTTTGGACAGGATTGAGACGGCTGCCAAGGCGTCAATCGATAAGCTACGGCACATCATCTATAAGCTACGGACGCAGGCCCCCGAGGCCACAAGCACCGAGATAAGCACCGTCAGCGGCGATTTATTGATGGGAAGTGCAAAGTTCGCAGGGCGGGATGAAGAGATTTTCATCAAGCAGGACTTTGAAGTAGAACTGGGTTCTTTTGGGGGCGAAACTTCAGGCGACGAGTCCGACTCTCCAGATGCGGAGGCGTTTGTGCACCACGACGCCCTGACCTGCACGCAGACATCTGTCAGGATCGACGAGGCGACGGGGACAGCTGTCGTGTCGGTCACAGCCACCGTGCGCGGCGGTGACATCATCGACCAGAGCTCATACACTGAGAAGAGTGTGGCTCTCGCAGCGCGCGCGCTCGCACGCACGTGCCTTGCTTTGGACGAAAAGGCGCAGGCGGCATTGGCAGGGGGACAGTCTGTCCTCAAAACTTTGCCAAAGCTGGACCGGAAACCGCACGAGCTGCTGACGGAGGTGTTGCAAGACGGGCAGATCGTGAGGTTTGCGCCGTTGGTCGAGGCGGGCAGCAGTCCGTTCCGGCATAAGTACGAGGTGGAGTTGGAGATCCCCCAATGGAGCAAGGCGAATGCGGTGTTCATTCCATTTGTCCCTGGGGATGCATTCCTGAGGTGGCGGAGGGCCCCTGCGGAGTGGGTTGCCTATCAGGTGGGTTTCTGAGGGTTTTGGAGGCTGCACTGTTTTGAAGATCTATAATTTAGAGGAAATGGAATTGCTTTTCTTTTTGGGATTGAGCAGTCAGACAAAGATATCCCAGGGAAACGTGGGCGTTTTCTTCGGGAAGAATGTGCAAATTATCATCAACAACGCGGCAGTCTCAACAGAAGGACACATGGGCTGAGGTCTTTTGGCAATTTGCAGTGCTTTCATACAATGGGGTGTGCTTCAGACATCAAATCTTACTTGCGCCTTACGTGTATATTCCTTGTCCCTTGATGTTTCTTGTTTCGTGAATCACCTCAAGGGGGTTCGTAGGGTTCCCTCATGCTCCCCATTGCTACTGTGTATCTGCATAGAAGTAGGCAATGTACAGTCTTGTTGAATAGATTCTGATCCTGGAGATCTGCATCTTTTTTGTTGCTGTCTACTTCTTGCCTATGAAGCATCAAAGCTAAGACTGCCACCTATGGGGAGTCAAAAATTGATCAGATGCCATTGTTTTGAATGCCTTCACGTCTACTACATGATTCCTGCGGAATCACAGCAGAACAATTAGTCACGAGAATGTCTACCTGGTTCGTACACATTGAAGTGTTCGTTCGTAAGGCCCGGTTCAATTCCGCCCCTTTCAGCTCTCAGAATGAGGATCTTTCAAGACTTACCATTCCGGTGTTGAAAACCACGCGGGGCAAGTCAGTTGCCAGTTTAACTGTAGGCAAATGCTTTGCAAGACTATCCAGCACTTCACAATTGCTCCATATTCAAGTGCACTTTCTGCAAGCATCGTCATCTGGTTACAAACACAAAGAATCAAGTAACAGACTTCAATCCTGGTTCGCAGATGAACCTTCTCTTGGGCCTGGACATCGTACCCCCAGCAGCAATCCGAACAAACGTGCAATTGGGCGAAGAAAAGTACGATCTGGGGGTTATGGTGGCAGCAGTGAGTGGGTTGAGACCGCTTTCGAGCATACCCACAAGAGTGAGTCTTCCTTCTAACCAAATTGGAAACCCCTGCTCAATACATACAATGGTACGTTATCGCTTTTTGGGTGACGGCCAAAGTTCTTCTGCCGTTTGATCCATCTGGGGGATCAATTGCTTGCAAGGCTTCCTTTTAGCAGCTTTACAAATCAAAGTTGTCTGCGCTTTTAGAAAGTGACAGCGGTGCTTCTAAGCGCGACTTTTACCAACTCTAGGTTTTCAGTGCCGGGCATTGCATGCATCTGACATTCCCCTTTTGTAGGGGGTGAAAATCGAAAGTTTAAGCTGTCCAGCAAGGTGCAACCAGATTATCACCGCTTCTTGTCTTCTCTTCAGCAGATGCGAGCACATCCAAGTGCTTTTTTTCCTTAAAATGGAGCCTTTTGTCCCTTCCAGTCTTGTCAGCTTTTTGGTCTTGTCGGCTTAGCCCAACTTTTGAGCCATGTTGCTGACTAATAAGGGACATACCTACGCTTCGCCTTTCGTCTGAATGTGAGTGGACCGCTTGACTTCCTCTCGTCAGATCGTGCCTACTGCTAGTTGCAAAACTTCTCACCATTTTGACCAAATCCCTGTTTACAGCTTCTCATAGACCCCATTCTCAAGGGCCGTGTCTCTGGTCAGCTCCGCCATCTCAACTCGATGTATCCAACATGACAGTGCAGAACCAGTTCAGGAAAGACTTGGACGCAGGCTCTATCCTTTAACTCCAAGAATGGGCCATTCCATCCCGCGTCGCTCAGGTCAGCACCGCCTGCATTGATTCTGCCACATTTTGACTTCATTTTTACTTCCAGTTACAAAACACGTGAACAAACAACGTCATTGCTCTAGAGTTGCTCACCAAGATTGGTTCATCATTTCCAGAAATGGGGCGTGCCGTCCCCCGTCGCCTTCGTCACCTCCGCCCACGTTTTGGACGCGTTGCTTGGCGGCGCCCCCCGGCAGCCGCACGAGTTTAAGGCGGGCAACCACTGGAGTCTCCAGGGGGGGTTGAAACCAGTGGTGTGGGAACACCCCATGGGGCCCGGCCGGGGCGCGCTGCATAGCATGTGGTCGCACCGCGGGGAGCGCAAGGGAGTCAAGGTGAGCTGATTTGGTGTTTGTCCGTGTCCTTTGTTTGTCCTTGAACCTTCTCTTCTTCCTTTCTACCACTTTTTGCTCCGTTCCTTCCTTGTGTTGGGCGTAAGTAGGCGGACTCTGCTCAGCGGAGATTGGCCTCGCACAACGAGCAATGCAGGCTGCAAGGTTAATAATGGGATGCCCGGTGTTAAAAGAAACGGTTGTCTTGGCTGGGCAGGGAAAGCGAGAATTCCGTTCACCTTAGGACCGTGAGGCACTTCGTTGCGGCTCATGCTCTCAACAGACCCTTCACGACACAGCGCCAAGGTTCCGGCATCTTTTGAAGGTGGAAATGGACAAGCAGAGACAGTCTGTCGACTGAGGCTTTGGCAACCTTTGCTCATGGGTCAGGATTGGCCGTTTTTAGTTTGCAGCCTTCTTTTACTGCTAAATGACAGTCCCTACGTCTCGGCCCTTCGACTCTTTCTGATTTTTTCCTTGCAGAATGAAGGCGTTCAGTTGCAGCGTTCTCTCCGCTCGACCGCACATTGTTCAACCATCGCGCATAGCAAACTTTGCTTCAGGTCTCGTACTCCCTCTTAGGGAAAGAACGCTTTTTCTCAAAAGCAGAGGATCGGTTTCGCTTGCACTCCCCTTTCTTCCCGCCAACAGAGCCGTTCCTCGACGATGCTCGCATAACCGACGGCGCTGGGCCACAGCGTGCTTGTCGAGCAATTGCAAAATTTCTATCTTCGAAGTAGAGTTTGCGCCGAAGCGTTCTGTTTGCAGCGTTCTTGTCTTTCTCCGTGCTGACGGTTCCTCCCTCTCCCCCACAGTCTTTGTCAGCGTTGAAACTGGCGCTCTTAAAGGCGCTAAGTCACAGCGTGCCTTTCAAGCAGCTAAGTCTTTTCTATAATCGGAGATAGTGCCTCCACATCGTTCGCTTTTTCTGCAGCAGCTTTTTTGTCTGCAAAGTGCTGACAGTCCCTTTTCCCGCCAACAGAGCATTCCGGCGACGACACTGGCTTGAGGGAGGCGAACACAGCGTCTGTTTAAGCATTTAATGTTTCTTCCAACTTTGGCGGGAGCAAGCATTTTCCGATAATCAAAAGCACCTCTGAAAACAGTGAAATTTTTTGTTTCCCACGCCCACAGTCCCTTCCCGGCAGTCTCTTCCCGGCAACAACATCGGCGCGCTTGAACGAGCTGAGTCGCAAAGAGCCTTTCGAGTATCTGGCGTGTTTTCCATCTTAGAAGAAGAAGCTCCTGTTTTATTGATTTATTCGCAGCGTCCTTGTAATTCTTGGTGCTCAAGATCCCTGTCCCCTGTCTCCCGTGCCAACAGAGCATCCCGGCGACGACTCTGTGGCGCTTGAAGGAGCTGAATTACAGCTTGTCGTTCGAGCAGCCGCACGTCGTACGTCTTTTCATTTGAAGCCCTCGCTTTTTCGCAGCAACTTGTTGTTGTTTGTAAGTGCTGACAAGCCCTGTCCTTCCCGCCAACAGAGCATCCCGGCGACGACTCTGGCGCGCTTGAAGGAGCTGAGTCCCAGCGTGCTGTTCGAGCAGCTGGGCGGCGCCGTCACGTCCGACGAGACGGAGCTCATCCTCGAGCGACGGGATCAAATTGTGGCGTACTTCGATGCGATGGCCAAGCGACACGGCGGGGAGGCGGTACTGGTTTAGGCGGGTGATGGGTTATCTTGTAACCGGGTGGTCAGTGGGCGATGTAAAGTCATGGGCGGTCGAAACAACAGACTGGTTGGGCGGTTAAGTACCCCGGTGGTTTGGGTATGCGTAAGGCAGACCGGTTTGGCCAATCCGGGAACGTGTGATTGTTTCGTCAGGTGATTGCTCGGTGGCGATTGATGAAAATGGGGTAACCGAGTATGTAAGCTGGATGCACGTAAATGGCGAATGCTTTGATTGGACTGGACGGGGTCAAGAACGCAATTGTGAGGCTTCCTTTGTCGCGGGCCTGGGGTATAAGCGTTGAGGGAAGATCGCTCGAAGAGCCGTGGAGAACGCTTAAGTAGTGTGGACGGATTCTTTCAACGGTGGTTCCCTTTCAGGTTCTAGTTCTAAAGAACGGTGATGATTCTATGCAATAAGATGTGTGTTTGAGCAGTGCACGTTACAGTCGAGTCGACGTCTACATTAGGCAAAATACATAGGAGTGTCGTCCTTATCAGTTTCGAAAATTGACGTTGCGTATCAGCGAGCATTTGGCGGTCCAGCACCACTAGGCAGCCGCAATCTTCTGAAGACTATTCGATAACACTAGCTTATGCTTGTAGTAGTCGGGAATAAGAAGACATTTTGTAAGTATTATTAAGTGGCAGCGGTGCGCTAAGTCCGTGGGCTTGGATGCATAGAATCGCAAAAATAAGCAAGTTGAGCGTTGACTGGAGTAATTACCATTCCTCGGTGAAGGGTCATATTTGTAAATGTAGGGCTTTCTGTCCATGAAGGTGCAAGTCGATTACCGACGGCCGAGTCATGTTAATTTCTGGCTCACTGGACTGCTATGCACTGGTGTCGAGCAGTCATTTGCATGCCACTCAATGATGATGGACCCAATAAGCTTCCGCATCAGATTAAGTACATGGCATTAAGCATCCTACACAGGCCGGTCACAATCCAAGTAAGCTACGATCATGAAATTTGGAGAACGACAACGTACAACCGCGTACGTTGCCAGAACACATCATGAGAATGCCGTCTCTAGCTACAGCGCGCTCCCGGCAACACTGGGCGGCCTATAAGAGCCGACGCTAATTTGATGGAAGGCCGCCAGCGGTAGATCATGCATACGCAGCAACAATCAAGAATCCGGTATGATGTTTGAATACCCAAATTCTACTAGCTGTAGCCGCCGCAATCATTGATCAATGGCATCGAATACCGTTGCTTGCAGCAGCTAACTCAGATGTCGCATCAGTGTTCGATTCCGTGGAGCCATTCCCGCTGCATATGCTAGTCCTAATTAGTAGACATGATCCCACGGTATGATGAGTGATACAGCTGAACCTGGGCGCATTGCTCTGCGTGCGCATGCTCTTGCTCTGCGCGCTCATGGCATAGCATGTGCCCTGATGATGGCTGTTCGAAATGCAGATGGAATGGAAGATGGTGCTTTCGCCGCAGAGTATCCAATATGAGACATGAGTCGTGACTTTCCAGGGATTGATCGTGCATGCAACCCAGTGGTCCTGCTAGCGAGCTACTGTAGAGGTGTGCACATAAGCTATTCACGCTAAGATGGCTGCAAGACTGCATGTCATCACCGCATATCGATCGTCTCTGACGCAATCATTGACATTGGATCGAAGACATCTTATACTACTAAGATGTAAGTAAGCCGTTGCACATGGTGGTGCGATTCCCGCAGGCTTTGGGTGCAGTGCTTCCCTATTGCAACATGAATGTCCCAAGATTGACCTCCAAAAATGTACGGACAATTTCTGTTGAAGTAAGCGCAACGTCATTCTAGACAAAGCCTGTGCTTCGCGCCCTGATGAAAAGCGCAGCTTCTGAGCTACGAAGACAAAAGACTCGAGGGTTTTGAACGCAAGACACCGCGCTCTCTTCTGCATAGTCACGTAGCCTTCGTACAGAAGGGGTCACATCAGTTATCCTTGCGCTTCGACATCTGAACGGAAACCTTGCCTTGGAAGGCGCCTCCACAAAATGATCGTTCCTCACATGAGAAAATTGAGTTTCGTTTTTAGCGGTGTCTCCTGAGAACCTGTTCATCTTCTTGAACATGGACGCAGCCATGCAAGCTGATCCGGCCCGGTTGGCTAAAAGGGAGGAGACCGTCAGAAGAGGCCTCAACATGGATCTTGAAGCAGTCCGGAAGACCGCTATCCAGCGCGCGGAAGAGGCACTTTCGTCCTCTGCATCGACTAGCTCCGTCAGCATTCCCCCAGAGGTCCATCCAAGCGATTCAGGCACAGAGTATGACCTTGAGAAATGCGTGGAAACCCTGAAATCACCGGTGACTGTGAACAGGCTCTGTGCAGAGGACTTAGAGCGAGCTTTTCATCTGTTCTGCACCGCTGTGAAGGTCGGCATGGACACTGCTGAGAGAACAATATGGGGCTTTGCAGGGGACCTCTCGTTTCAGGACCACATGCACGTGCTTATGATGATGCTGAAGCAAAATGCTTCAGGCCAGGACTTCTATACCGTCATGGTGCGAAGCGGGCTGGCAGGGCTTACTCTTGAGGACTGGCTGGTCAAAAACCTAGTTCCGCAGAATGTGGCGCTTGTTTATCTGGACACTGCCATCGATCTTGCGACCAAAGATTCCACAACCTCTGAAAGACTGGAGGTGAAGATTCTCATCCCAGTAGTCTTCTCGATCATTAGGATACACCAGTAAGCACCAAGGGCATAAGATAAGATGAAGTGGAACATAGACCGCATGCGGTAGTCTTGTAATGCTTTGACTCCCAACTACTCCTCAAGGAAGGGTCATAAGAATCTGTGGCGAGTGACATTCTGCCCGCGAGAGGGAAGTTTCAACCTCGATCGAATAACCTGGTCAATCGTTTACCGGGGTTGAAATGTTGCCGTTCGAGAGACAACAGTTAGGATGCGTCTTACCAGGTCACTGCCATACACTTTCGATTGTGCTCAAAGTCGCGTTGAGATTCGCACATGCATCCACTTCAGTAGTGTCCATGATTTTCGTAGCACCATAGATGTCTCGACATTGAGCCTCTAAAAAACTTCTAGGAGTACATTTTCCACGTACTGCTTTGCTTGTTCAAACACAGACAAGAATCAGCATCGCTTCCACACTGAAATCCTGCCCTTCAAGCATTCGCAGGGCTTGCGAACCCTAGCTGCCGTGCTCAGTGAGGGGGGCCCAGGCTGTCACAGCAAGTTCCACGAAGCAGGCGCACTGGAGCCGTTGATTGCCAGGTTCCTGACGACAGAGTTCTCATTGGATGACCTGTTGCTCCCTCGAGACCGCAACCTGGCAGCGTGGATGCTCAAAGTCTTTGGCGCCCTGGTGCTTCCCTCGTCGGTCATGCGAACGGTCGTTAACGGACAAGCCCTGCCAGAACAACCTGCACCAGGTGAGCAGATAAGTCGGCCTCCTGCCTCTGTTCCAGCAATGTACATCAGTTCGGCTGTGGCTTCTGTTCTGAAAGGAACTGGCACCCTATTGTCACCTTGATAAGACTTTTGCTGAGAATTGAGTCTGCTCTTTTGTCCAAAAAATCTGCAAATGTTGAAGATTGAGAGCAATTCATCACAGTGATCATCTATGGACCGATAGGTCAGGAGTGACGTATGAAAGCAGAGCAACTTCGAGGATTGATTTTTGCCTCCTGCTTGATGGAACTAATTGTCGCTTTTTTTCGCCACACCTCTCTCGGAAAAATGCTGAACTATCAAAGTACCTTGTGAGGACTTTGTGAAAGGGACTTTCGTTGATGCTGATTGCAAAGCCTCGGAAATTTTGACTTCGAAAGCTGGAAGCGCATTCGGAGGGACCGATGCTGGAAGTTTTTTTGCAATCAATCCAGAAAAGATGCTTTCGTTACGCTGCTCCAATCTGCATCCTGTCCGCCCCTACTTAATAGATAAAGAACTGTGTATGAACAGGTAGATTTAGAAATGTCCAAAGTGGACCCGAACCGGCTCTAATTTGGATCTGTCCTGTTCGGCCCTGGTTCTTAAAGGATCTCTCGCAGGGAACCTCCTTAACCTTTTACTGACTTATTCCTTAATCTTGAGTATCTATTCTCAAGCTTGAGGAACTATTTTCCCCCTCCTCTGTTCTGAAAGCGAGTCATCAACAGGACAAATCATCTTCCCACCTTCCAGGCGCGGCCGAGGCGATTGAGACTCTGTTCGAGAGGGGTGTCGTCCGCAAGATTCTAGACATGCTGGCGCACATGGTTGCGCGCGCGGACGACGTCCGGCGCGACGTGCGCTTGATCGACTTCTGCAAGATGCTGGAGATCCTGACGACCGTGCTGGGGAATCTGTCGAACAAGGAAGCGATGTTCTTCGACGAGCTGAGGCCCCTTCCAGGTAGAAGGACCTGCCTGCCAGAGTTTTTAAAGAGCTTTACTCGGAGTCTAGGCTCTAGCCTCAGAGACTCCGGTTTGCGATTGAGAGTGCGGCTCCGGTCCTCGCTGACAGTTTTCCGGCAAAATTGAGAGTCAGCATGCAAGACATGCTTTGTCTGCTGTTCGCGGACTTGATTGCAAATTTTTGGCTCTGATAGTGATCCAAGTGCACGGGATTCTCACTCCAGCGATGCGCAATTGGCTGATCCATGGTCCGTTCAGATGTCCATCTGCTTTGCGGAATTCACGTTGATTTGGTTGGTGTGTCCCGCGTATGCGTGCAGATTTCGCCAGCAGCTTGACGTGGCTCATCACTCACTGGAACTACGACCTCCACTCCGGCCTCACGGCAATCAACATTGTCAACAGAATGTTAACCACGGGAAGGTGCGCACAGAACTAAGCGAAGGGCCATGATCGTTTCCTGCCACTTTCCAGATAACTCTCTTCCCGCATCTACGCTTTCAGTTGTTTCGTCTGCCAGCTACTCTGTTTCAGGACCGCAGTTTGCGAGTTCGTGCGCAATCTGGTGGGGAAATCAACAGAAACTTACCTTTGACTGACGGACGGCTGACGTCATCCTGACAGGTCCGAAGATCGCGCCGCGGCGTCCGAGATTGTCCGCCAGGAGGGGGTGCTCAAAGCCGTCGCGGAGTATGTCAACAACGCCCCCGAGGAGGACTTCGCAATAGAGTTCGGCGACAGCGGCCCAGTCCAAAAGTACGATGTAAGCCTCTGAAACTTTCTCCAGGTTTTCGCGCTACTGATTGTCAAGGTTATCACTGATTTCAGCAGAGTTCTAGTTCTCGTCTGCATAAATCAACCCCATACGGCTGCAGCTCAAGCTCAAGCGGCTGCACTGCACAACCGTTTACTCGACGTAAAAGGCTCTCGTATGTCACGTTGGCCAGACTCTTCTCCCGCAGTGTGCACACATAACCCAAGCTACACGCTTCAAAGTGTGTATTAGAAATCGATTATAATTCTTGCACGTTGCCTCTTTCCCGCAGCCCCTGCCGGACCTGTTCATATCCTTCCTCTCCGTCGAGGATCTGCAACCTGGCGCGCTCACCCCGGCGGTCGTCTCCACTCTAGTTCGTATCGCCGCTGGACCCGGCGCCGCGGCCGCGACGCGCTCCCAAGCCGCGGACCTGCTACGGCGCTTCCTGGGGGAGGGTTTAGTGTCCCCCGACCAAACCGGGGTGCATATCCCGTGCGACGAGTGCGGGGCGGAGAAGTTCCCCGGGGAGCTCAAGCGGTGTTCCCGGTGCAAGTGAGCTCACCCCCGGGTTAACAATTATGACTTGTCCGAGGCGGATGCAAACTTGTCAGATTCGAAGCCGATCCGAACTCGGATCAAAAGCAAGCTTTGATTGCGCTTCCCCGATCTGAAACGGGTCCGACTTTATTGAAACCTATCCGAATAGTCGCTATTCTTCGCATACTATTTGTACCTGGTCCGGACAAAAGCGTTCCAGCAATGCCGTGCGAGCTTGCTTTGACATCACAGAAGCGTGTTGCTCATATCGTGCCAGTAAAGAGGCAAGCTTTGAGAGGTGTTGCTACACACCCAAGTGGCCTGGCGTGGCTTCCGACTTGATGTCTTTGAAGAGATCAGATTGTTTCTGAATCTTCTGCCGGATCTTCAGCCTGCGAGAACCTGCTTGCTAGTTCTGCCCGCGCACTGAACCCGCGAGTAAGCTTTTATGCCTCGAAGTTTTTCTATCCAGCATCATCACCTTTTGCTGTGCGTTTTCACGCAGAGAAGCCCGGTACTGCAGCCCCGAGTGTCAGCGGGCTAGCTGGAAGGAGCACAAGAAGAACTGTGTGGAGGCTCTGCCGGCGTCTGCACACTAATTGAGGAAAGAACCCAAAGAAAGCCTCTAGCCGAGCGGCAAAGTCCTACCCGGATATAGACGCGAATGTATGCAATGACAATTGCGCATGCTCACTGTCGGAGGAGTTTCCCCCTCTTCAATACGCCTTCTTTTAATTCTGATCTGCAATAATATCTGAGCTTTCGTTTTCCAATAGCTGAAAACGAAGGATGTCTAAAGCTTGTGATGTAATCAGGATTTGGAAGACCAGACGATAGTAAGTGCAAACGTTTTGAGGAGGCCCAAGACTCGTCCTCCAAGGAAGACGGCAGTATGTCCACCTCTTGTCCTGCAAGTCGTATCCGGTCTTAACCTAGTAGAATCAGTGACGTGTATGTAGCGCCCTGCAACTGTATGTATGACAGATTTACGTGGGCCAAAAGCATGAGAATATGCGCGAGCACAGGGTTTTTCCCGTGTGGTTTAGTCTCATGGTCAAAGAGTGTAAATGTACGTTGAGGCGACGTTCATGAGCCGGCCCAGTGCAATTCACAATTCAGGTGATTATAGGTCATGATAGGATCGGACGGGATTGCTGTCTTTTCCAGCTAGGATCGCGTCGATGCAATTTGGTAGTTGCCATGGCCGCACGGAACGCAACTGGCTCTGGCAAAGAATCGTGAACAACCTTGCCCGAGCCTTATATACCATCCGACACGCAACTCCCAATGAGCCCGTTAAAATTCCTCGGCATACCATTGCATGAGTCGGCGGCCCGGTCAGATGCATAAATGACAAAAAGCATGCACGTCATTGAATGTCAGGACATTCAGACACACATTCTGTGATGCGGCGATCGATCGCGAGAGCCCTATACCGCAACAAACAATCCGATTGTAGGTGTGCTTGCATATTCAACAAGCTCGTCGTCTGACGCGGAGTACAGGCTGTTTGTACACTCTTCTACCTCTCAAGGTCGGATCATGGTCTGGCCCATGAGGACGTGCAGTCTATTGTAGTGGTTCGGATCGCTAAATGGACAATTTCGGACGTTGCCATGGCAGGTAACTGTTATGGGTGTTGACGTCCCTGGAAGTACTCTAGTCATGAGAAGCCAGACCTTTATAACTCTTCAACTGTTTTCTAACGAAACGGACACTACTGTTACGCAAACTGTGTTTGACGCTCACTCGACGGCACGGGGGAGGGCTGCTGCTCTGCTGATGGATCTGACGCCCCTTCTCCGACCAGCTTTCCAAATACCATGCACTCCAGCAGCGAATTGCCTGCTAAGCGATTGGCGCCATGGACTCCACCTGCAAAGGCCACATTTGCCATTTGAGGTCGACACCATCGTTTTGTACTCTTCAACGTGTTAAAGTGGTCTCCAATACAGCTTGAGAGGACAGGAGGTGCGATAACACAACAGGGACTCGTGACTTCGCCCTTCATGACTTAGACCGGCGTCGGCACAACCAGTACATCGTCTCGGACAAAGTATCGGCACTTAATTATTGTCGCTGCAATTATTATTGGAGGGAACAATCTCGCAAGGACCACGCGATCATCCACCTTGTAACTGAGCTGAGAAGCGCACGGAAGGGCAATAAGTCTACGACTGTTGCTATGTATAGAAGCGGCGGCAGAATCTCATCGGAAGGGCCACCATTTCTCCAATCCGCGGCCAATCAACGGGCCGCCTGTTGCAAATTTGAGAACGCCACACGTACGGTGTTTCGCGCGATTTATTTCGCTCGAGAAAGCGAATTAGTATTCGTATTGCGCAAGGTGGGGGCTGCTGCTACGCTTCTATAAAGATAACGATCTACAATTTTTAAATGTCGCAATCGAGGAGACCGAAATTCCAGCCAGACCCACCTGTCACCTCTCCGGCCGCCCACAGCCCGGGAATGACGTCACCCGCTTGCGTTAGCACCCGCCCCCCGGTGTCGATCTTCAGCCCGCCCATCGTGTAATGGAGTGACGGAGTAACTAGACACGTGTATAAAGACTGGTCCAGGCGGAAGAGCACGGGCGCCGACGGTTTTCCGAACGCGTCGTGCTCGACGCGTCCGTACTCGTCCAGCGTCCGGGCCACGTGGGCCACGGGGAGGCGCCAATGATCGCACAGCTCTTCCTCCGTGGCGAACTGACAGAGGCGAAGGAAAGAGTTCAGAAAATGGGAGAGCTCTGAAACCTTGAGGTTCTTAAGGCAATAGAGAGCGTCAGAGATGTACGAGACTTCGGAGAGAGTCTGTGGTCAGTAAAGAAAGAAAGAGCGTTGTAGTTGTTGCAAGGAGTGAAAGAAGAATCCACAACGCTTTGCAGTTCGCCAGTAGCGGGGGTGGGAGAGTGACAAGCAGAGATGTCGGTTTCTGGACGGACTGGCTGCCGAGTCGTAGTTAGAGGCCGCACGATTGCAGTGGTGGGGCCACGAGGGGCGGTCTCTGTGATGGATCGACTGGTGGCTACGTATCAGTGCAAAACTAGGACGTTCAAAGATTACGCACTCTACGGTGAAAGCCAGGATTCCGCTGGTGGCCAGAGCAGCAACGGAAACGGATCGAGATATGGGTTTAGCACAAGGCAACGAAGATTGTCCAGGCAGACAGGATTGCGCTACGATTGCTTCTTGATGTGAATAAAAAGCTTCAATATCTTGCGGGTTGATATTCAGTTACCACTGTGCTTGACTAATAGACAGTTGAAACCCTGCTTCTGACCATTGACAGTTATCAAAAATCCTTCATATCGTTTTTAAGACATATTATTAACAAGGTGAACTTGCGCTCAGTACGCAGCTTGAATTCACCGTTTTCCCATCGGTAACAACCATCTCCTCACCTTTTGCATGAAGCCCATCTTCATGTAGAACTCCGCGACCGACCGCCCGAACCGCTCGACGCTCTCGTCGTTAAGCACCAAAAACGCGGTAACGGGTGCGAGCGTCGCCTCCTCCGCCGCTCGTTTTGTCGCGCCTTCTAGTTGCAGCGGCTGACAGTGCTCCAAGATTGCCTGCGCGACCACATCCCTGGAAAGACAGGGTTTGAGAAAGTCAGAAGTGCTGCCACGTGGCGCTCGAGCGGGCTGCCACCTCAGCAGAAAGAGGTGTCTGACTTTTGCCTCAGCGGCTGCAATGCTACAGGATCGTGAGGGCGACAAGGTGTCTGACGAGTGGAGACTACAAGGGGTCAGAGGTGGTGCCACGTGGCTTCTAAGCGAGTCCCCACGTCACTGAAACAGGATCACTTCATGCGGTTGGCACTGTGCACATCTGAGGAGCGCCTGGGCCGCAACGTCCTTGCCGGAAGGCGCGGTCAGAAATATATTCGGACGTGGTGCCACGTGGCGTCATCAGATTGGACTTCACTAGATTTCTTCTGAAGCACAAAGCGAGGGTACCTGCTGCACAACTTGCGGATTCAGTATTGGAACACAATTTTGGGCAGTCTTTATCGATGGAGGTTGCATAAGTCTCTGAAGACCTCAAGAATAGACCCGACAATCGCTCGTAGAGCTGGAAACTGGAACTGGAAACTGTACCCTTAGATTCAATAGCTTGCCACGTAGAAGTCAGCGCTTTCATTTCCACCCTCAATGCCTAACATCGGCTCGTATCGACCGATTCCGCAAGATGCCGCCGGTCCCTGTAACTCTGTACCCAACCCTATACTCATGACCCTCCGGTTCAAAACGTCAAAACACAAAAAGCCAAAAGCGTTTAACTTCTCACCGCGTGCTCAGCTCATCGACGAAGCGCTCCCCCTTCTGATTCAGCAGAATGCCCCCGATCGCGCGCAGCGCCTCGGGCGCCAGGAACTTGGTCGGGTTAGTGGGGTCTTTCGGGTCAACTAAACCCGTGGGATGCAACTGCACCTGGTCCAGGTCCACTGACCCGGCTCCGATCGCTAACCCGAGCTTAACCCCGTCCCCTGTCGCCCAGGCGCCGTTGGTCGTGGCGAGCCGGGAAACCCCTGCAATCGGAAAAAGTCAGCATTGAGGACTAAGGAGACCGAGTCTTCGATGTGGGCTTTGTGATTTGAGAACGTTGAAAGCCGAGAAATGGTACCTGCAAAGTCGAGTGATCGAAAAGTCGAACGCAGAGATACACGCAGGTCTGAGCAGAGCACCACGCCGACAGAAGACCAGAACGAAATGATGACTAGATCTAAGGGAAAACCGACCTTGCGGAGGTTTTTCAGCGAAACTGCGACGCAGTGCCGACCAGATGAAGCAGTTTTGGATCTGACTAGCCTGCGCGGAGTACAGTTGGCTTCAGAGGAGACACCAGATTTCCTTGTAAAAAGGATGAAATCAACGAGATAAAGAAGAGGTTCACACGAGCAAAGCGAATGAAAGCACCACAGGTCGGAGAAAGGGAAGAAGGGCGTACAATGCAGAATTGCACCGTAGGAGGATTATGAGACAACTTTTCAACACGAGCTTTCGAAATATGCGCTGTTCTTTCTCCGAAAACAGGATCCTGAAATGCCTTCTTCGCACCTGGAACGTGCTTCTGTAGCAACCCCTCCCGATCCGCACTATACCCCCCCGTGGCCAGAACCACCGCGTCTGCCTCCACTGCCCGGTCGCCCTCCCCCGACCCGTCCCCCACCCTGCACCGCACGCCTTTCACGCGCCCGGTGCGGGAGTCTTGGAGCAGTTCGAGCGCCCGGGTGTTGGTCAGGACTTGGACGGCGGAGGGGGGGAGGGAGTGAAGATGGTCGATGAGAGTGTGCATGATTACCCCCCCGATGTTCGTGGCTTTTGCGGTGGCGGCCGCGCGGTGGGTGCGGGGTCGAGAGTGGCCGCCTGAGGGGGAAGGAACGAAGGAGAGACAGAGTGACGAGGGGGTTCTGGTCTGGGGCACTTTAGGGCAGTGTTTGGGGTTAAAGAAAGAAGGTCTAACTGGACAAGTTGGCTTTCGGAAAAAGGGTAGTGGGGACTCGATGAATGTAGAGAATGAAAGCATGAAGGATGACAATCGGGAAGATGACGCAAGTATGACAGGCCCGTCTGACCTACTTCACGTAGGAGATGCGAGAACGCAATATGAATCTTTGGAGTGCGACTTCGGAGTGCGACTTATTGAGCTGCCTGCACGAGGCTGTGGAGACCGAGAGAAGAGTTACACGTTTTGGCTGTGCGAAGGAGAGTGCAAATCTTAGGCAATGTCGACCACTTCTCGAATTGAAGCTGACATGGAGGAGGTGCGAAAGAAGGATCCATTGCACGAGCAACTGTACAGAAGTTGAAGTACTTCAAGGCAGTATTCGACCAACAAGAAGCACCAGCTCAGATACACTCGATATGTCTAAATGTGAGACAAACTTCCTAAACCTTCTCTTTCTTGTATGAATACGACCCGAGGTCTGTCAAAATGACGAGCTTAAACAAAAGAAAAAGAATACGCATAAGACTTGAAACAAGCCCACGAGCATGTCAGATTTTTAGTTGTTCAATCTCCTTACCACATTGTGCGATGTTGCTAAGGTCGATGCCCAGGCTCTGAAGGGCGTCGATTGCGCCCGCCGACTTGTTGACCAGAACGTCGACCAGCTCTGCTGCGCAGCGGCCCTTTCCCGAGCGCAGCGTATCCTCCTTGAACAGGGCGGTGCTGTCTGGAATGCCGAGCGCATTCTGGGGGGCAGTCTCTACAGGCATTAGGAGGGGGGTGAGAACCGTTTTTAGTATGGTCGACCGGATCAGATGGGGCACTTGTTTCTGGTTTTCATGGGTTATCTCAGATATGTTGAAGAATGTCGGGGGTGAGATAGTCAATGAAGTTTCATGACCGTCCAATGACATGCTTGAAGTTTGAGACCGTAGCTTAGAAGCTCAAGCTCGAAAATGATGATGCCAGTTCAACACTCTTTGGTTTGGCTTCAAGCACATAAATGTGGGAGTCTCTGGACTGCTGAAATACAGATTTTAACACTCCTTCCTGAGGTAAAATGGCGATCAGACTCGCCTCTTCAGGATCTCCAACACAATGCAAGTACTGGTGCAAGAAATCGCAAAAGTTTCTAAGCTCCTAGTCTGGTTATCTCCCTTGGACACGACAAGAGGGAGAAGTTGCACACCACATATGGCTACTGAGGGAACACATATAAGCGGCCCGCGCAACGCAGGAAGATCAAGGAGGAACGATTACTCTGATTCAGAAGTCCCATCACATAACCCAAAGAGTTCCTGGGACTGACAAACCAGACAAAAATCAGCCTGTTGAGTAAGCAAAAGCAACTCACCGGCACCATTGATGCCTGAGCTAGCTTTAGCAGAGTTCCCCCCCAACTTGGCACACTTTTCTATGATCGTGACACGCCCCTTGTTCTTGACGACCTCGAGTGCGGCGGTAAGCCCTGCCAGCCCCCCCCCAACAATGACCACGTGCCTGCTTTCAGGAGCGGCCTCCATGGTGCAGTATCCAGTTGCGGGACAGGCAAGCTGCATGAAAAGCAAGGGCGAAAAATTAGACTTCAACTGAACGAAGTTGTTTTCTCTTGTGGTTTGATCCCCCAACTTTCTGTTCAGTGAGCCTATGAAGGTACAATTTTGAGTGATTCAAGTGCAGTGATAGCCTAGAGGGTGGTGTTCCGAGCTTGAGTACTCTGGCTGTGTTGCCTTAGTGTCAATTGAGATTACAGGCTATTGAAGGGGGCGTAGTTGCAAAAGAAGTAATTGCTGCTGGTTTGCGGACCTGGTCAATGGTAGATTTTAAGCTCCTGAGCTGCAGCTTTATCTCTGTCATTTGAGAGCTAGGGGCAATGCAGTTCAAACTAAAATATAGTAAATACCTTTTTGGTATCCGAAGGGCCATTTTGATTATCCACTCATGGATGGTGGTATAAAGTTTTGCTTGCTTTCAGAAAGCCCACACTGGGTCAAATTAGCAAATCAGCGGAAGAGTGGTTGCTCTTAGACTGAAAGACTTATTCGAATAGCACTCTCTTTGCCCTTCCTGTGGCTGGCACACATTCTGCAAGGCAGGTCAATCTGCAAAAGTTGAAAGTCTCAAAATTGGGGAAGAGAAAACAAAGTAGCAGGCAATGAAGCAGATTGGGCTTAAACCAGCAACACTTTTGCAAAGGCCAGCTAGCCATTCAATTCTGCCAGCTCACTGTCTTCGAAGCGATGCTGAGTAGTGATGTCAACAGTTGCAATGCGACCGACACCTTAACGAAGCGGGGGCATCCTGTGGAGAAGATCAGCATGGGCGTCCGTCTCTGAGGGCAATGCAAAGAAGCATTGGCAAGATGATCTCAGGGCAAGCTCGAGTGAGAAACACCTTCTGGCAATTCCTCCTTGCTCATGTTTAGGAGCGGAATGGCTGACCTCCATTCAGTGATTCACAAGCTCAAGCCTTTTCACTGGTTTCACAATGCAGAATTGGGAGAATGCAGAGCAAGGATTGTGTTCGAAAACCCTATTTCCTTTTACACTCCGTGGTTAGATGCAACCCAGGCTTGACCATCGACACTCTTTAAACAGACGTGACTGGAAACCTACTGCGAGGTCAAAGTGTGTTGCATACGACCGCAAACCGAGGTTACTCTAAACAGGATGGAGCTCACGTCTTATATAGCTCTTGTGACGCTCATTTTTAAGCTTTTGTTTGAGCTTAAAACTTGTGTTTTGACACTATTGCAAGCGTTGCGCCTCCCACCTCAGGTTAAAAGCCCAATCCTCTCACGCAAGTGTCAACAATTAGTAGCAGAGGCGCAAAAATATACCAACAAAATTGAACAGCTGTGGTACAAGACTTCGAGCCATGCAGGATCAAAGCTTGCAGTCTACATTGAAGTGTTGAATTGCGCACCTCTAGAGCTGCACCTCTCGGTTCCTGCCAGTGCTACATCGCATTTGCGAGCCCCTTGCTGCCACCTTGCTGCAGCTGAGTCCCATGGCGGCTGCAGCTGCAGTCTGCCGCATTCCGGCCACATTGAATTCGTGCAATTCTGCGGCAACAGCGAGTTCCACGTCATCTCGGCAGGTAAGGATGACGGACTGACAACTCGCTTTGAGGACTGACAGCTTGGAAGAGTTATTCCTCCTGCCCTTCTTGACCTCCAGGATTTCAAGCGAACAGAGGACGAGCCAGAATTCCTGAGCGGGCTAGGATGGTGCCTTCTGGCGCTCCTTGCTGTACCATTCGAAAGTTGGCAATTTTGGATGAATAACTTGAGGAGTTTGTGAGAGTTTGTAGGTGGTTGGGTGTTCAGTGTGTGTGGGTGTCAATTTGGCATATATTGAACCTTGTTCTGCAGCAAACTGCTTTGAGTTTGTATGGCAGCATTTCTGCAGCTTCATTCTGTATTGTCCCCTGCTGGTGGTGCTGAGAAACAGCCTCACATCTCTGCTATAAGACATATCTGGCATAAGGGTGTATACATTGTGACGTGCAATCAAAAGTCCTTTTTTGTCTAATGAAGGCCATGGGCAACAAATTGACATAGGAGCTTACTGTCAAACTGTCTGTTCAAAGTTTGCAAAGCCCTCACTATTTCTTGAGAATTGGTGCAGCAAAGGCGCCACCATTTTCGCCTCAAGCGGTGAAGTTGTTCCGTAGAATAGAATACAATCAATGAGACATAGCCCACGGACTACTGCGTTCCTTCTCAGGGGGCATACGCTCCGTAACATAGTGTCGCACTGCAGCGACTCTGTATAATCTTCGTTGTAGCTGAGTGACAAGTTCTTCAACAGTCTGTTCTTCTTCCAGGCTTCTAGCTACCAACGGTGCTCACTTCTTCCTCAACTGCCCCGCAAGTTCCAGGCCCAAACTGCCAGGAATAGATGCACGCATCACAAACATTTTGGTGTTGCTCGACGATATGGCCGATCAGTTCGGGCGATGTCTGAGGAGGACACCACAGGCCCTCCAGCGGAATCCACGAGCAAAACGGCAGAAGAACTAGCGGCGTTAGAAAAGGCACTTGGCAAAGACAAGGTCTCGACCAAAGTCAGGCGGAGGCGGCGGCAATCAACCCCAGAAAGGGCGAAGCCTTCGAAACCTGTGCAGACTGTAAAGAAAGAGCCGTCATGGGACGAGATGAGTCCGGTGAGAAAAGTACAGGAACTCCTGTATGGCGAGAAAGGGTTTCTCTTTTGGCTGAATAAACTTGCATATGCTGCAATTTTCGGGTTGATAGGGCTTTGGATTCTGTTCCGGTTTGTGGGACCAGCGCTAGGACTCTATGACTTGGTGAACCCGCTCGATGTCCCACAATAAATCACCTTACCTGAACGCATGCAAAGGTCAAGTTTGTCAATACGGACGCTCATTGCCATACCCGATTTTCGTTTGCTATACCTAGTTCTGGATGTGAATCTCAAGAAACAACTGATCAATTGGTCAAGCATGGTACTCAATTGACAAACAAGGTCGTTCTTTCGAGAGATTGCTCTCAGTCCTTCCGTCCTCAGCTTGCATCAACCAGTTCGTATACACGTCTTTATCCTGACAGCGCCCTGCTCGCCACAGTACGGCGTTCAGATCTTGGTTAGTTCCTGTCCGAACCGTTTTTACTGAGGGATCATGGAACTTGGTAATGTAGATGATGATGCACCGCTCCCTGAGAGCCTACGCTCGCCCGGAGCGCGCTATGTTACACGACGTTGTATAGTTGTTCAACCACCGTCCCAGCAAAACATCATGCAACGCCCAGATTAAGGTTGAGCAGAAGGTCAACCACCGCATTCCGTGGTGCAGATGGCTTGCATTCAATTGGAATTCTAGACAAAGAGGTCAATCTGAAATGAGTCCGTTGCATGCAACCCATGGCAGACGGTCAAGACTTGGCTAGACGTCGCGCAGCATGCAAGATGCTGAAGTGCACTGATGTATGGCGTGCATGGCAGCATTATATGTATAGTCACCGCATGAAGCGCTAATCGATATGTGGGCCCCGCCGCATGCACAGCTGCCGCGGCACATGATATCGCTAGCCTCAATGATGCAGATCCGTTGTAGCCGGTCATGCTGCCATGCATCATCAGTGCGGTTCTCATCAAGGCCTGTATCAAAGACTTCTGCCTAGCTGTCGGTTAAACTTACACCGCGTAGCGTGCAACAATTCAGCAACCGACGGGTCAATGTATAAATTGGCATGCAGCCATGAAAACCAATACGACAATACATCACAGCTGTTGCGACGGTACATGGAATCAATCTCAAATCTGATAAAGCTGTCCTTCGCGAACCCTTCGCGAACTATTCGAAACTGCGAGTTTTTGGAATCCACGTCAATTGGATAGGAGTTCACAGTAGTCACCCGCCTCCATCACTAAGCCGGCCCCCCAGTTTTGCAGAAAACCCACAATAAGAAGTCGTCCAAATCCTTCGTCTTGTTTCCGGAGCTACCTGGTTCCCTGAAAACGTTTCCGGGTCTTCTTGAATACGTGCACGCTTGTCTGCGCGCGCGCACTTCTCGAAGGCTCGGCTGATGATGCTTCCCAGGCAAATCCTTGTCTTGAGACGCCCGGTAGATTGCCCTCTTCTCGACGCTGCATCGCAGACTAACCGGTATGTGGACACGGGGTGCTTCTAGCCAATTCGATTTGCCCGGTGGAGAGCCTGGTTGGCGGACGATAATGCAGGATCCTCAAGTTAAGGGGCAACACTAGAAACAAGCTTCGAATCGAAGCAGCTGATGTTGTCTGGTATCCGTGAATCAAAGACTACGTCCGTGAATCAGTGTGGACGTGACATCATCCCGCTGTTCCCAGCGCGAACACTGTCAAAGCGGACAATTCACATCGATTCATCAAAAATATAGGAATCTCCTATTTCTGGGAAGACCAGAATTCTCACTCCTTCCGTGGGACATGTAGACAGGCTTTCTCGTGTAGCCAAGTTTGACTCGGCTCTGCCTGCGAAAGGAAGCTGAGCTCGCCTTTGCAAGGCAGAAACTTGCTCACCTCTCCACTTCAGGCACCGGAGCCGTTCAATTGTCGTCCGCTTTTCCCTAGTAGGCTGCGGGATGGGTGCACCATGTCTATCTCTTGACCGGGCACCCTTGATCTCATCCGGCGCCGGAACCGACCCGTTCTCATCCTCCGAGCTTCTACAATCTCCTGGCACCGATCCCTGATTCTCCTCCGAGTCTAGTTCGTCTCGGTCCGACCGCTTCCCTTTCGGCTTGCGCCGTCTCATGGTTGCGGGCGCCCACGTGTCCGATCACACGTGTCAGATTATCCGACGGCTGCGGCTCTTTGTGATGCGCTGCTCGTAGAACTTCCTACCGAGGACCTTGTCTACGAAAGCAGTCTTGCAGCTCCTGCGCCTTTCCGTTCATCTTCAACCGCAGATATACGAAGTCGTTCCGCGGCGGAACCCCCAGCGCCCCGTGCAAAATTCCCTCCCCAGCGTAGTACAGGAACGGCCCAAAGAGCGCCGTCAGCTCCACCCGAGCGGCTTCCGGTTCCGGTTCTGCTCCCGCGTTCCGTTCCAAGTTCTGGCCCGTTCTGGCGGACCACTGCTCGAGCGGCCTCTCGACCCTTATCATAAATTCGTCGCTCGCTGGCAGGGCGCCCTCCAGTTCCTGTCCGTCTCGCGGGTTCCGGTGGCGATTCCGGTGCCGGAATACACTCCAGCGGACTCGTCAGACTGGGGTGCTGCCGCTTGGTTTTGCGCGTTCTTGAGTCCCGTTCGACTTTCTGGGCGCGGGCCGCGCGCGCCGAAGAGCGCCATGCCTGAAGCTCGAGGAATCTTTTGTGGCAGAGAGTACCTGAGAGGGAGTAAAGGGGCATCAAAATGCTTGCAAACTGATAGACCATTCGGGGACTGACTTTGATTGAGTCGGTTTGGTTTTCATCAGGGAAACCCTCGTCAAGGTGAGTACTCATATGATGGCAACGCTCCCTTCAGTCAAATTCAGTGGAAGTAACAGGCGATCGCCTGGATGCAGCTACTTGATACGTCGAGGGCGGTGTGCAACGATATCAAATGATGGAGGGACCAATTTTTGTATTGGGAATCTGAATATATGCTCAGTCGCTTCTAGTACGAAGAATGGTCAGTGATCGTGAATGCGTTCCTAGAAAAGTCTCGCCCAACATTCACTTGGGGAGCATTCGCAGATTGATTGCACGCTTTCCTTTCATACACCTGTGACGGTGGGTATGCCGAAGAGGCTGACGCAATGGTGACGAACAAACGGATTGTTTTGAGTCCTGTAGTCGATAAGAAGAGACCTGGACGCTTCTCTAGATCAACAGCAGATCACCTGTCAGCATAAGCACCCGCGCCGTCCTCAGTCGATCCAACACCTGGAACGTCTGCGTTCCGGTGACCCTCGTCCACGACTACCTGGTTCGGAACCTCCAGAAGCAGCTTTCCAAGCTCTGCCTGCGCGCCCGTCCGCCTCAGCTGCTCATAGCTTATGAGCAGCGGGCCGTCCTTCCGGGCTCGCCACGTGGCGACCGTTTGCAGGCATTTCTCGTCTCCGTCTCGAGCGCGCACGTGCCGCGCGCCGCAAGTCTCGATCCGCGCGCTCTCCGTTCCGCCCGTTCCGCGCGGCTCCGGAACTCCTCCTCGCGCCGCTCCTGCGCGGCCGCGCGGCGGACGCTTGACGTGTCCAGCCGATAGACCGCCAAGTGGCGGGGCTTGCCGGGCTTGCCCGGAAACCACTTCCGAATTTCGAGCAGCCAGTTATCTTGGATGCTGGCGGGCGCGACGATCAGGGGCAATAGCCGCTCTTGGTGACGTAGGTGCTCGTTCAGGGCTAACGCCTGCAAAAGGACGGGCGGTTTTGAGAATTTGTCGCGTTTTGTGAATCTACTCAACGATGAACCGGCCTGTTCTTGCCTTGATTCCGGTCGCCGAAGTAACTTGCTACAAAGAGCTAGGACTTAATTATTCTTTTGCCATTCTAGAAGGAGTCAGCCCGCGTCTGCGTCTCAGCTCATCGGACCGGCCGCAATGTGCAAACGGAAGTAGATGAACTCTGAATACCAGTGACTATTTTGAACGGTTGTTATCTTGCCTGCCTCAGTCTACAGTAACTTGTGCTAAGGGGAAACGGCAGGGTTCAATGGTAATGAAGGACTGCGACAGCTTCCGGCAGAGAAATCGAAAAGGAAAACCTGAGAGTATTTTGAAGTCTGGACCTTCTTTTCATATTGTTCAAAAATTCATGTCGGGGTCCAGTTTCGAAGAAAAGAACAAGCTCGAGCAACGTCTTGAATTCTGAGACCTGCTAAATGGGTATGCAAAGAGGTCAAAGTTTGTTATCGAAGCAGAACGACACAAGAGCTCACCACAAGAGTTTTGCCAAGCCCGGGCGACATCCACAGGATTGCTCCCCTACCCTTTCCACCGGCCTCTGGATCGCCCACCATTCTCCGCTTCAGGAACTCAAATGCTTCCACTTGGTGCGGCAGCAGGTTTGCTTTTGAAAACGTCTCCCCACTGGGTGCCTCCAAAGAAGTTCTCGCCCCCAAAATCTGTCTCTCCAGACCGACTCCCACGCTCTCCGGGGCGTTCTTTTCCCTCATCTCCTTGCTGACGTTCTTACCATTTCCTTTCGTATTCAGAATCGGCTCCTTTGGCGAGACCTGACTTTGGCCGCCCGTTGCTTGCTTCGACTGACGTGCGTCCGCTTTCGTGAGCGGGGGACCAGCCGCTCGCAGCTCCGCGCGCGTGCGCGCTGTTTCTGCGTCGACGGGCGCGCCCACCGCGAGCGCCTCCCTCATTGCCCGCTCGCGCTGGATTTGGGCGCACTGCTCCCAAGCAGTAGCCGCCGCGCCCTGGTCCGTCCCATCAACGGTCCGAACCTGGCCCGCTCGTCATACAACGGTTCAAATTCGTCGCCGTCGCTGTCGGACGGCCACGTGAAACCCCTTCTGATCTGGCGCTCCATCGAGTTTCGAGCGTTCCCAAGCTGCTTCCGCCGCTCACGTTTTGCCCCGTTTTAGTTCCCAGCAATTTGTTTCACTCGCTCGTTTACGACGGCTGTTCTTCCGCCCCCTCCCCTCCTGCGGGTTAGCGATTATTTCCCCGTCGCGTAACCCAAACCCTGCCGCTTTCACGGCCCCAGCCGCAAACCCTTCGCCTCACGGACGCGAGGGGCGCGCTCTTGACCCCACCCCGCGGCCGCGTTCGCGCGCTCCTCCGCTGCTATGAGTCTCGCCCACCAGTCCCTGGACAGAACGTCCCGTTCTCCACTTCGTACAAAGGTATCGTTTGCAGGACCTCGCACTTTGGCAATCTTCGCGAGGCGCCCCGTCTTGTCGCCGACTTTCACTTCCGCCTCCTCGCCCCCTGTTAGACAAGATCGAAGAATCCGGTCTTGAATTTGGAAGGAACCGCTCTGCATCGCTGCCGGTCTCGTGTTCGCGTTAAATCGGCGCGCGTTCTGCGACCGGATGTGTACCCCGGCGGTGACTCGAAAGGTGCGCCGCAGCTACTTTAGCCTTAGCGTTTGCTAGATTGGTCCAGTCGCCTGTCCAAGTCAAAATTCTTGACGCCGTTCGGATCCGGTTCCGGCCCGCCCGTTCCGTCTCCTGATTGCGTAGCTCGGCTTCCTCGAAGGCTCGGCTTGATGGATCTCAGATTCCGGTGTCCGTCACTCCCCCAGTTTCCGCTTCCGCCTGTTGCCTCACCCCAAGCAGACACTTTGTGACCCAGGTTCAAGCAGAGCGTGACAGTGGGGAATAGCACGACCGGTGCAGCTGTCGGTCAAATTCAACCTTACATGTATACCTCACTCAAATTAACCGATTGCAATTGCTTGAATAGGACGGCAACGAAAAGGGGAGCAGTTCCGAGTCCTTTTGCGCTTTGCACCAAAAAGTAAGGAAAGCCTATCCTCGGGGCGAGATTTTGTCCGAGGGTGCAAATAGAGTAAGAATCCTCGTAGCCGGGCGAGGAGCTGAAAGTACTGCCAAAACCAACGTAGGAATTGTGCAATTCAAGCTTTCAGAACGCGTCGTCCACTTCTTGATACCGCCTAGGTTATATGTTATCAATGACTACCACGGGATCTACTCTGGTGGCTGTAAACCGTTTGCTTGGCTCGTTGCAAAGAAGCATGGTTCGAACTCGCGCGCACGCAAAATACTCGACAAACTCCTTCGGCTTGATCCGAGGACGTAAGTGCCGCAAAGAGTCTCGTACACAAGCTAAGAGAGACTCAGCTTTCATTTCAAGCCACTGAAAATCGTCACGAGAGTCTGTTTGTAGAGTCATCCTGATCGCAGCCTGAACTCTGAAGACTTGAAAGCTTGCCCACAGTCTGGTATGAAGAAACTAGTCACATGACCAGCTTTTCAGATATTCTCCCTTCCCATTTCTTTCATACTTCCTTTGAACTTCTTCGCACCGCAAGCAAGGCGCCACTGATTTTTTCAGCCGTCTGCAACCCCCGCAACCTGCTTGCAAAGATGGAGGCGAAGTCGTCCCTGATTGGCCTCTTCGGCCTACTTTGCCTCGTCCTGCAAAGTGCAGAGGTGAGTAAAAGTCGGTGGGAAAGACAAGCAGGTTTCCTATCGAAAAGGGGACCTCCTTCTGATGCTTGTTCTTTGTTCCTAGCTTTGGCTTACTTATGAGACCCTGCTCTCCGATCCGCGTTCTTGTTGAGTAGTCTCCATGTCGAACTTCCGGCGAGTGACTCGAGCATGAAATCTGGCAAGGCATATCATTGACATCAGTCTGTCACTAGGGAACTGGACGATTCTAAATTGCTGTATGAGTTGGCAAAGTATATAGACAACCTACATGGGCCACTCGGAAGATGCATCTCGTCCTGCTTATCTGGTCGATGGCCTTTTGTAGTGCGGGTGTTCTTGTTTCTTGTGATTCAAAGCCTTTTTCAAAAAGACAATCACGGCCAACACTTGTCGGAACGTCGGAGCGAAGAGTCAGTAATGTCATGCCGTGATAAGCAGCCGTTTCGGCCGTCGTTTTTAGAGTGTGTGTGTTTATGGTTTCCGCCCAATCACAGAAATCGCAGTTTGGAAGCCGCTTGACACGTTTGCTTCATCAATTTCAGGTTTTCGCAACCGCTTTGGGGGAAGACTCCGGTTCCGTCGATCCGATGACGGAACTCCGGTTCCGAGGCGAGACTACCGCAGTCGCCCACCGGAAGCTGATGCAGACTGCGTCACCAACTCAGGCGCTAGGTAGGTGCAGAACGAGCTTCAAAAAATATGGAGTTAATTGATCTAGATACTGCCCTAAAGGGCGATCGAGGAACTTCCTAAACCTGGCAACGGTGGCGAAACTAAGTTCCAAAATGAGGAAGAGAGACCCGGGTCTTTGAGAGGGACGCTTTATTTCAGACCTGACTCTCAGGTGGGCTAGTGAGGTCTCGTTCGGTTACTATATTCTTCTGGTTCTTGGTGCAAGGTTGAAGCTTGAAAGCACGTCTCAAACCAAAATCCTGCGAATGACAAAAAAATGCTGTGCAAATCTGGTGCAATTAGGTTCAGCTTTGGTCTCACACTCCGCTGAGCTCAACTTGAAGCAAACCCTTCGGTCCGGATGCTGACTTCGAGTTCCTCGTGCTTAATCCCGGGTCAACACCTTAACGTGCAGGTGCGGTTGCGTCCATGTGCCCGCCTACTGACCTGATGTCGAAGCCGCTGACCCGGGTCATCTGTTACTACGTCGTGACGACTGGTGGGGTCGAGTCCAGTGCGAGGGCGGATTGCACGTACAACGCAACCGGTGCTCTTCTCAAGCCTTCAATAATACCCGCGGTCTCCTGCCCAGGTGAGAAAAGGGGCGCCGTTCCTGCTTCGAATAAAGCTCCAACCCGTTTCGACCCTTGTAGTGAATGCGGCCGGATCGGCTTTCATCACCTTTTGCTAGAAATCAAGCTAGAAGATCTACAGAGAGGCCGAAGCAGAGGCGGGAGGAGGGGACCTCGGCTTCTGCATAAGTCTGGGACGTTGTCTGGAAGCTGATCAGATGTAAAACGGTAATTTGTGGATAATCGACGTTGGATCCTTTCATTTCACCCAGAGTTCGCGAAAGATTCTTTTGGCCGAATGGAAGCATGTTATACAAACTGGAGGAGATTGGCACTTTACAAGGAATTCTTACAGACTTGGACGTACAGATGGGTTTTTCCTCGCCCTGTGGCCCTTCCGGCCAAATCTCGGCCAGTGCCGCTTGTGGTATAGATGCAAATAGTGACCGCTTTATTCGCTGCTTCTATGCGGTGATCATCCATGACTTACAGATCTTCTCGACTTCGCCAGACAATCTCCAACTAATTATACTAGCAACTGGAAGTACTGTGCTTACCTTGAGTAGCATCTGTTCTTGGCTCGCAGTAATGGTCGTCCCCAACTCTTGTCCCGCGTCGGTTCAGCAGAACGTTGCAAGTGCGTACGTGTTCCGCCAGATAAATTCTGCTTGCCGGTACTTAATCGCACTACCCGTAGATTCACGAGATTGCGTTTACGCCGCGACTGGCGCGCCAATTCCGAGGAACGACCCCGACTGTCCACGTGAGCGCTCTTCTTCGAAGGCAAAGGCCCTTGATTCAAGATCCATCTTCAGGTGATAGACGAAGGGAATGATCGGATGATGTGAATTTATTACGGTTTTGTGAAACACCATAGATGATGTCTCAAGTACGAGTCCTTAAATAAGCGCCATATGAAAATGGGGGCAGAGTAAAAATGTTGGCCAGCCCGAGTGGCCAATTGATTGCCATACGGGTTCGCATGCTTCAGTTCGGGACTACCTTAAAGCCTGAATTGTTCTAACCTCTTTCAAGGGCGTTCTGGTCTCGTCCTGAAATTCTAGGCTGTGTTGTATGATCAAAGCTCCTGAATACAAAATCATCAAGCAGCCCCGTTGCTTGACGGGGCTGGCAAATTCTCGTGCTTCACACATGTACTTTTGAATATGTGCGCAGGCGAAATTAGTGTGTCCCCAACGCCTGCTCTGACGCCTGCTCCAACGACACAACCGCCAATGACACGTAAGTTGAACTTCAGTTGGCCAGCTTTGCGGTCGTCGCTCCGCTGTTCTGGGCTCCATTTTGGATCTTAAAGCGCGAAAGGAATCATTGGACAGAGTTGGTTGGAGTGGAGCTCCTCGTACCTTGGAGCTTAATAATGAAGCGAATAGAGTTCCAGTATCTCAGAAAAGAACGAGAGAAAGTTTGCGTAGCTCTTGCTAAAGAGCGCCCAAAGCTTTCTCAAGTGCAACTTCCCGTTCAAGCACGTCTTTCATGTCTTTTTTGCAGGTGTAGTGAGGCTCACATGCCCCGTCATAAATTCGACCTCGAACCCGTTGACGCGATTCGCGTGTCTGTACGGAGTCCAGCAGAGTGTCCCAGCCAGCTTTAACACTACATACGCGGACTGTTTCTACAACACGACCGGTGCACTCGTGCAGTCGCAAGTGGATGATCCAAATATCCTCTCCTGCCCAGGTGGGCTATAAAACCTCGAAGACGTTTATTTTCAATCTTCAAAACAATTGCTGCTTTTTAGAAGCTGACGAGAAGTAGAGGCAAAGGAACGCGGTATCTCTTCATTGACCGCATGGCTCCCTATAAGAGACCCTTAATTTGTGATTCCGGGTTTTGTTGGGGTCAAGTTGAGATGCGGCTCACAGATTTGAACGCTTTCTGTTGGGGCTTGGTTGAGCTCTAGCAATATCGACATCGGTCTGCAGTCGATACGCATACCTATTTAACCGTTACGTGTAGCAGCGCTACTCTTAAACGATGGAAATCATTTGGGGCCAGCGAACCTTTCACCTAGTGAAAGGTTGCTAGATTGCATCTACCCTCAGATCTATGGACTCGGAAGATGTCATAGACTGAAGCGTCAAGCAACGACCCAATTGAGCAAGCTTGAAGTGTCAAGAAAACGTTATTGAAAGGTTGCAACGCGGACATCTGTCTTCATGCATATTTGGCTTCACGATGACTATCACATACTACTACCGTCGTACAAAGCCAACGCATCAAGGACATCTTCAAGCAAGAGAATCTTGGCACCGTTCATTCATAAAGTTGCAAACGACTTATCATTGCGCCGCAAGTTTGCCCCCTAGAATCGACCAATATGTGAATAAACTCCCCTCGAAGTCCTTTGGGCGCGCGGGCAGATGGTTTAACCTATCCGTGTTCTTTGTCCCTCCTCATTGTAGGAAGCACACCGGTCCCAAACTCGTGCCCTAGCGCAACATCGGTTGGAATCTCTCCTGCGGTGACATTCTTCAACTTCAATTGCCTCTACAATACTCCTGCCTTGGCGGCCGGGTTGGGCCCTCAGAATGAAGGAAGTTGCCTGTACGAGCCACTTAATGGCACATTGCTCTTTAGCATCAATGTTCAATGTCCCGGTGAGTCTTGCACCTCTCCTCAAAAATAAAACCCATAAAAATAAAACCCTTGCGTTCGTCACCGGCCGGTCTAGAATCCCTTAGCATGATGATTTTGGAGTGCAAGGAAAGCACGTGAATTTTTTCGCCTACCGACGCTTTTTCTCCAATACTGCTAACTAACATAATTAGGTCCGTTTTTGTCTCGTTTTGTAAATCGTTTCGACGAGCGGGTCCCCGCCACCAGATAGACGGTTGGAAGGGCACCTCATGCGTTTGAGCGGCTGATTGGGTATCCCTGGTAGAATCATTACCCAACAACTGAATCAAACCTTGAACGGGACTTGATTTGTCACGAAGCGGTCTGCACAGCAGTGCACTAGCTGTAAGCGGCACACTTGAACAGCCGTAGAGTTCCTTCAAATTTACAGCCGATGAAGTGGTGCTCGTTCAAGGCCCACTTTCCGGGAACTGGGACTTTCAATTGTAAGTCGTGCACATGCAGCCCTTAAGCCACAGAAAAACGTCAGGAAGGTTGACTTGAAACGAATTTAATCCAATTTTCCGTTTTTCCGGTCCAATCAAGACCCGCTGTCGTGCTCATGACTATACCTTGTTGGACTTGTGCAGGCACCTTAATGCCCGTGCCGACTTACGGTAAGTTTCCGTTCCTCCCTTGACCACCTAGCCGAGTCCCATCTTAAGCGACAGAAATGTGCGCGCCATCTTTGAAATCGGCCCACGTACAGTGACGTGGATTTACGTCGATCATATTTCCAGGTTGCATCTTGTACTACTTGAGGACGTATTGGATTCGATTGATAAGCATATGCAACGAATCACCTAGACATACAAATACAGCTTTCCGTTGGATACGGAAAGTTGCTCACTAATTGAACCGGTCGGTCGATCTGGTGCGTTAGGCAGGGACATCATGATGAATAATTGGATTGCAGTTCATTTATGCACTGTACGTTACCCTTGCGACCACGTTTTTCGTCTCAGTACTGTCGGTTGCGTTGTTGCCCTTCCTGAATCATCCAACACTCAATGTGCAGGCGCTTGATCGTGGAAACAGTGTAACAGGATTGAAGCCGTAATTCCGCAACTGTCGCGCGCCAGGCTTTGGGCAGGATGGTCCGGGTATATAGAACGGTGGATAGAAACGGCGTGTGTTTACGTTCAATTGTAGGATGTGAATAAGAGCGGGCAGAAACTAAGTTGAGACGAAACAAGATTCTGTGTAGTGCCGAAAAGAAGGTTCCGAGCCTATGGTTTGCACATGGGCGCAGTATGTACAAATCATTTCAGTCAGAGAGGTTTAGCTAATGTCTCTATTCACGACCCAACAAGTCCCGCTATACAAAGAAGTACGCTAACTGCACAGCCAGCTTTTGACCAACCTCTTTTAATGAACACAAATATGTGAATATAACTAAGAAACCCCATATGGCCGTAATGATCCTAGAGGTCCTCACTTTCGAGCGCCAGCCCTACTTATTCCCTGTGCTCCTATGTACCTTCTCTCCGGGCATGCCCTTTGCCGTGTAAACGAGTGTGAGTATGTACAGCTTTTACCTGCCTCATTTACACGTGAATGGTCTATTTTCTTCCCAGCACTGCTCCCATGTGCTCCATGTTGCCCCATCTCCTCATATCTGATAAAACCCGCTCTGCTTCACTTGGCCCCTAATCGAGGTAAAACGGTGTATGCAACTATCGGTCCTTCTTCGTCCAAACGAGGCTCCATCTCTCCTCAGCTCGACCCCCCAGCTTGTCGTCACACACTCCATGAACCAGCGCTTCCCACTCGCTCCAGCCCACAGCCGTCCGGATCCATCTACTACCTCCGTACTGAACTCGGCAAGCCAACGAAGAGCCCTGCTTCCGTCCATCCCGCTTCGGCCACCCACTGCTGGAATTCAGCCGTGGGTGCCAACGCCCTAAGAATCTTCTCCCGAGCTCCAAAGCTCCACCACCGCAGGATTCGCCCAAACCCCTCCACTACGGCCCAAACCCCTGAAGCCCTCACTCGCCCGCCCAAATCAACTGCTCGTCACCCGTTGCAGTGACGTCGTCAGATCCGGCACCATGGCAACCGTCACAACGAAATAGTCCGTCCCCAGGGGCAGCCCGAACGGGTTCCACCGCGGCCCCCTTCCCCCCCCCTCGTTCTTCCCCTCGATCAAACCCCCCGCCATCGACTCTGGCGACGGCGGCCGCGTCACGTTGTGGTCGATGTGCACGATCTGCCCCACGATGTACTTGTGAGCGGATTCCGGCTGGTGGTGCCGGAACAGCAGAACGGACTCCTCCGCGAGGAAGTAGTACGGGCAGTTGCAGTTGACGGCCTCGTAGTGCCCGACCCCGTTCGGCAAAAACACCGCGAGCTCGTGCACGTTGAACGACGTGAAGCAGATCTTCTCCTTGCCGATCTGGACCGCGCGCTCGTGTTTTACAGCGAGCGACCGCAGCTTCTCGCTCGCGACCTCGACTTGCTTCACCAGGCGTGCTTTGGCGTCCTCCGCATGCTGGATGCGGGCCAGGAGGTCGCCGCGCTGTTGGACCAGCTGGTTGACCTGGAAAACAAAAGGAGGATTGCTTCGGACCTTAGGAGCTGGCCTTATCGGGTTGTAGTAAGTGACCAGTATTGTTGAAGAAATTTGACAGAAAGTTCTTGCACAAAAGTGGCCAAACCGTCAAAGAGATGAGCTGAGAGCTTGATGCCCTCCTGAATCAGCCAATCGACCTTAAGTAGTAGAGAGGAACGTAGTCGTTCTTGAGTACGGGTCCTGGAAAAAGGAAAACTTACACCAATGTAAAACAAGCACAACAGGACTGATAACCTCGAACTCTGACAGCACAGTCTCCAGGAGTGCAGACCATCTCAGGCTGAAGTTATGCAGTTCGAGCAGATCCAACACAAAAGAATGACCGCTGTGGCACATCAAACGCTCACCTCCTCCGAGCACACCAGATAAACTGCCACAAAGGCTTCTTCAGTGGGTAAAGAAAATTGTCGCAACGCACCTGCTCAGCCAGTTGCCGCACCGAGCCCACAAACACCTCCTCGTCCTCCGCACGCCCCAGGCCGCCGTTGCTGAGCGACGCCGCCAGATTGCTCAGCGCCTCCGGAAAAGCGTCCGACGGCGCTGCCAAGCACCGGTTCAGCCGGTCCAGTAGGCCGTGCATCCGGACGCTCTTGGCGCGGAGAGAGTCGTACTCCTTCCCGCGCCGCTCGGCGGTGACTAGGTTGGTCTGCGCCGTCTCGCGGGCCTCGTGCAGGTGGTTCTCCAGGTGGGCGCAGTTCACCTGCAAGCGGAGACAAACGCCTCGGTCAGTGTGGAGTTTGTGTTTGTAAACTGGCTCCTTGAAAGCGAGCTTTGACTTCTGGATTCAGCACGAACGCGCGTTACCTTTCTCAACTGTCTCACTTCGTCAAAACATGCTTATCCGACATCCGTGGCGACATACACAGTGTATCAAAGCTCGGGAGTGCTGGACGAGTTCCAAAAGTCCAGAAAGACCGAGGGCTAATTCGGAGCACGCGCCTTGTTCTGACCCAAACCTCGAAGATACAGATGGCCGCATCAAAGCTCGGGAGGGCTGGACGAGTTCCAAAAGTCCAAAAAGACCGAGGGCTGACCCGGAGCACGCGCCTTCTCTCCCCCAAAGCTCGAAGACTCAAATGGCCGCTCGACTCCTCCAAGAGAGCCCTTGCAAGAAGCAGTCCTTAGCACAGAAGTTGACCCTCTCCCCAGCTCTGAAAAGGTAAAACAAACCCCAAACCCCAAACCCCAAACCATGAAACGCTCCAACCCACCTGGCACTCGCTCAGCAGGTCTGCGTTCCGCTTCAGTTGCGTGTTCAGGTCCGCCACCTCCGCCGTTAGCGCCTGCACGCGCCCCTCCGCGTCCACGCACGCCGCCGTCCGGTGCGACAGCGCCTCCTGCAGCTGGTGGAGCTCCCGACGCAGGGTGACGTCATGCGCCACGTCGGCTCCGCTTGCTTTATGGCGGGCGGTGTCAGCCTCATCCTGTACGGTCAGTAGCGGGCGTTCAATCAGCAAATGCGTTCTACAAGTTACGTTCTAGCGATGTCGGCCACGTTCTGACGGTCAGAAACAAGCTTTGTTCATGAGGAGTGTGTTTCGCGTATCTCATTTAACAAAAATACGCCCTCCTTCTTCAGCGGGAGCGGTGCCGGCCCCTTCCTGACCGTTCAAAAGCACTTGGGAGTTATTCATAGTGCCTCCGTATCAGTGACGAAGGCGGACTATGCAGCTCAGGTCATTTGTGCAGGATTACGCAATCGCTGAACCCGATGCTGATTAAGGAGAACGTTGACCACTGGAACGTTCGAGCGGCTGCTTGCTGAAGGGACCCTAAGTGACAAGAAGGATGACGAAACTGCAAAAACGGGCCGCACAAGAACTTCCAGCAGAGGCTTCATCGGTACTTCGAGTAACACATGCCGAAGCAGACAAACGTGAATGGCTTTTCAGCAAACATCGTCATGTTTACGACTTTCGCAGGCAGAATCTGCTGACGAAAACAGTGACCAGAGGACTCAAACGACAGGAGCCGTGTTCGAACAAGGAACGTCTAACCCGTACCTTCGGCTCCGTCCGCTTCCCGCCAGCCTCTTCCACCCGCCCGCTTGCCCCGCCCCCTTCTTGCGACGCACTCACCCCCCCTTCCTCCATGTCCCTCACAACGCTGCCCATCCCGCTCTCCAGCATTCGCGTCTCGCCTAGCGTCGCATCTACCATCGTTTGATCCAATCCCGCCGGCCGCGCCTCTTCCACCCTTTCCGAGGGGTTGCTCTTCTCAAGACTCGTCACATCCTCGCCGCCCATGTCCCCCCCCTTCTCCGCAGTGACGACCGACCCCCCCTCTGCAGTACCAGACGCCTCACCCAGCGCCTGGTGCGACTTCTTATGCTGCTCCGACAGCTGCGCCTCGACCTCCCGGATCCGCTGCTCATACGCCTCTAGTTGTTGCTTCTGCCTCGCCAGCGACTCCTGCAGGAACTGCGCGTGCTCGTCCTTCCGGCGCAGCGCCTCGCTCACCCGCTGCGCCGCCTCCCTCCTCCGAGGGGGGGCGGGCTCTGCCGATTCCTCCCCCCCAGCCTCCTCCTCTTCTTCCAAAGTGCACAGCATCGCGACTGCGGCTGCATACTCAGACCGCAACCACGCGTTCTCCACTTCCATGTCGTAGCCACCGCCCGCCACCCCCCCTTCAACTGACGTCTCTCTCCTCTCCACCCCCGTCATGATGCTGACGTCACCCCCGCCCTCGAACGCCCCCGCCTTCTGCGACCCCACCATCGTACTCGTAATCATCGCCCCGCTCCCGCTCATGCTCGCCGACAGCTGTCTCGACCCCCCCCCCAGCCGGCTCTTCGGCCGCTCCTCCGGCACCCCCCCGATCTGCGCCAAGTTTTGCAAGTCCGCAACGTCGATGTCGAGCAGCGAAGAATCGAAGGTGGGCACGTTCACCTCGCACTGGCTGGGCACTCCCGAGAGGCCCATCCCCTCTAGGATCTCCCGTGGTAAAAGGCCCTGCTGCCGCATGAACTCCTCCCGGCGCGCCACCTCAGCATCGCGATCTCGCGCCATGCGCTCTGCCAGCTGGCCGGCCTTGCGCGTGTACAACTCAGCATAGGCCTTGCGCCGGACGACCTCAGCAAGGCACGCGCGGTAGCTGGACGCGACCTTTCGCACAAGGAGCAGCTCGGCGAACACCTCCTCCTGCGGTTTGAAGGGTAGTGGAGCTTCAAACTACGTAAATCACAGGTTGACTGTCGGAGAACAGAAAAAGCAGGGACGAAATGATAGACAATAAGCAAAAGAGGGACACATGGCAAGACAAGCAAGGAAAAAGATTCGGATCTAGTGGCCCAACTTATGGCAAACCCTGCCGTCAAGATATGAAGCTCAGGCTATCTAAAGAGGAAAGACTTGGGGCCCATTTGGCAATTTTGAAATGCATTGGCGCGTCGGTTCTCTGCAGGTGCTGACAGTTTGATAATCAGCGACCAGCAGGAGCACACTCCGTTCGATACCAGTCTGTTCCAGCCAGCTGGCCAAAACGCCCCACCTGTCTCTGCATCGCCTCCCGGTAGCCCACCAGCTGGTTCCGCATGTCGCGGATCCGCCGCTGGAGGGCCGCCACGCTCTGCAGCTGCGTATGCACGCAGCGCGTCATCGCGACCTTGCACTTATTCATGTGTTGCACGAGCCCCGAGAGGCGCGCATCACAGTGTTCCACGGTGGGTAAGTGGTTGTTGATGTGGACCTCGCTCATCGGGTCGAGGGCCGCAACCGCGTCGAGGGGGCGAAGGGACGAGGTGAGCTGCCCGCTGACGCAGTCTTCGACCAGCTTTTTGACGGTGTTCAGGTCCTTGCTGGAGAAGGATAGAGAGACTCATCAGCCACGAAATCAACATTTGGTCGATGCTAAAATGGCCCTGGAGTGCGTCACGAGATTAACGACGGCTTTTAGTTCTTGTACAGGTGGAAGTAGGATGTAACAATTGCCTGTCAAATCGACTAATAAGTGACCTCCAATCGAGCTGAATAATTGGCAGTGTTCAGGTCTTTGCTGCAAGTGGAGGGTTAAGGAGAACGCTAAGCCAGAGGAACGAGATCGTTGATTCGGCTTTGGGCTCACCTGGAGGCCATTCGGAGCATAGCCAATCAAGCGGCTGCTCTTAAGTCGCTGCTGCAGAAACCAAAATCCCTAGAACATTGGGCTCTCCGTCAACTTCCTAAAGTTCGGGGTTAACGCGCTCCTGAATAGACTATCCTCCACTTGAACCTCGATTGTATCCCCGTTCTGTGAACCAAACCCCAAGGCAAATACGACCCAGACCATCCCTCCTTTAATGTAACCTCTTTCAAAACGTCAAGGTTCGCTACCTTCTGCGACGTTGGAAACAAACCATAAGCTATGTTCCAGACGCAGAATCGGTGTAGAATCATGGCAAAACTACTGACTCTACTTTACGCTGGCCTTGACTTCTTACGCACCTGAGCGACTGCAGAATGCTCGCTTGCTCGTCCACCGCCGCCTGGTGCTCGTCCATCTGGTCTTCAATGTGCTCCAAATCGACATCTGGTTCCGTCATCTTGAGGTCCTCTACGTTCCTTTGCAGGCCCGTGAATTGAGCCCGCAACTCGCCGACCTTGGCCTCGAAGTGGGTATGCGAGGTTGCGCAGTCGTCAGCCCACTTTCGGATGCCCTGGTCGTTCAGACAGTCCAGCAAGGTGCTGCAAATGAGGATGACGCATGCCATCAATGAGTGAGACTTCTAATTTCAACTGCATCAACTACCTTTTCGCATGGTCAGCCACTGCTGATAGGCACGTGATTGACACGAACCCTGCTACAATTAGAGAAAGAGGACTCTTTGCCTTACTTTACGAAAACAAGGACTCACATCACTAGGGACATCGTTGACACAGCTGCTAGTGCACGATTCAAGCCTTTTCGAGTATTTTCAGACAAGGCCTGGGATGCGGGGGACATCCACAGCAGCACTACATCACTCACCTGCGACTTTCTGTCTTGAGGACCGGGTGCAGCTCCGTGTTGCGAAGGCGCTCCATGTCCCGCTCAAAGTTGCCGAGAATGTCAGAGTGCTTCCGGTGTTGCTCTTGGCAGGAGCGGGTAAATTCATCATATCTGCAGGTGCAGTGACGAAGGTGGCTTTTTGAGTCATGCAGACAATGCCCCAACATCTGATCACCGTCTCTTGAGGGGGCAACTCCTCACTCATACTGAGTATGATAAGTTCGACTCTGCGTATCCAAAACTGGTATGTTACTTGGTCGTGAGTTGCTGACTGCCAAGGGCTCTGTACAGTATGATGAAAATGTCACTACCCCGAAGAACAACTTCGCTCTGCTCAGAGGATGGTGATCACCAAAGGGGATCAGACCCCAGGACGAATATGCTTTTAAGGAGAGAACACCTCCTTCTGCACTCCCAGCGTAGGGCAACTAAGTAGAGCATTGCATTAACATGCATGAGAGTGCCTTCCGAGAACTGTACCCAAGAGCGCCAGAGGAAATTGAAATGTATTTTAACTGAATGGAGCGCTTCTCTCTCCTGTTGTATATGTGAGTCAGCTCACCTCTGCTTCATATGGCTGTAGTAAATGTCCATGTTGCCGCGTGCTGTCTGGATAGCCATGGCCTGCACCTCCATCTCAGCAAACAGCTGCCTGGAGACACAAAACAAGATCATCTGATTTCAAAAGTGCGCCGAGTAAGATTGTGAAGAGTCGATGGGGGCAGTCTTTCCTCAGAAGAATGACCGCATTTCCTAAAGCAACAAGCCGTCAATGTGCGGTTTTGTTCAAAACCAAGCCGCGTTTTTAGAACAGATGCCGACTACCGTTCCTGAAGAAGCTTCGGACCAAATCATGTGTTGTCCCAAAAATCTGCATGTCCAGAGAACAAGCAACAAGGGCGAAAGGCACACACAGAAGGATACACCGTCTTTCACCACTTCTTAACCACTGAGCCCCTCACCTGCACAAGTCATACCGCTGCTGGCTCCCCCGCCAAATCGCCTGCGCCTTCTGATAGTGATACCGAAACTGCCGCTCGTACGAGGGCAGCGCCCGCAGGAGCGGGTTTGGACTCTCATCTAGGGGGTGGCCAATCTCCAGCCTAGATGGTTCCCCAGGAAGCTCCAGCTCGACATCGTCGACTAGGTCTGCCTCTGGAATTGGAGCATCAGCGACTAGACTGGACCGGTTGAAGAGGAACACGTGCTTGTCTTCGGCGGGGAGGCCGTAGTGGCCGAGCGTGCGGGAAGGCTCCAGGCGCAGGTCGCGGCAGATGAGCATCTGCTCGGCGGGGGGCACGCCCATGAGGGTGGCCAGCGCCTTTTGGACGACATCCACGCTGCAGGGGGGTGGGAAGAATCCAAGTCAGGAAGCGCCGTACTAACAAATGGATGCAATTAATAGAATGGTTCTCACACTGCGCTTTCATCTGCACGAACGCTGTGCACAAGTTTGGGTTTTGGAGTAACACAAAAGGGAAGTGAAAGTTTGCTGCAGAAGACAGGATGGCCATCTTGCACAAAGAGAAGGCTCCACAATGCTGAGAGTGAGGGTGACGCCAAAAACAACATAGTCATTTTAGAAAGGCATCAGTGATCAGACTGACAGGAAATCAAAAGCATGAGAAAGGGACAGAGTGCAGAGGGCTCCAAGCGACGGGTTTCCGTAGATACATGTACAATGCGCAGTGCCTATCTGATACAATACATTCTGCAACAGTGATTCATGACGTACATTGACATGTTAGCAGGTGTGAGAAGCGCTGATAGGACCTTGGACGGCCCATTCCAAACTCAAGGGGCACAGAAACCTTAAGCAGCTTGAATCTACAAAGTTTAGCAATGGACACTTTTTGTCCTTCTAGGAGAGTTTTGGTTTATCCTCCTGAAAAAGTCAAGCTCTGCAAGCAGAAAAGAACGTAGGAATGCCACAGCAGAACTGGCTGTATAGAGGACAAGCTTTCGCACAGACCCCGCTTGTTAGAGACCCAGCACTCTCTTAACCCATACAGAAGAGACCATCTTATGTACAATCCCCGTTGCGCTATACCCGCTGCGCTGTGAAGTGTTCGGGTTGTGTTGATGAAATGGACAGCAACAGCCAGAGCACACAGAACACAGCCAGAACAAATGAGTCAGAGGCTGTTCATTTTCACAACCAGCAAGCTCCTCTACTAGAAGTTGTCCAGTTTCACAGCCAGCAGCTCTTCTGCTATAAGTTGTCTGTCAAGTGTGCTTGCAGAGAGGCCAAAATGGAAACAACATGGGTGCCTGCATCCAGGGGCACTTTCTGCAATAGGAAGGGCTTGAGAGACTCCTAACAAATAAGGAAGTGCCTGCAGATGATAGAAACAGCTTAACAGCAGCTTGCAACTCAGCGGTTGGAATCAAGATAAGCAATTGGAAAAGCAGAAAACCGGGGAACTGCCGGGTTTCAGCAGAGCAGACTCAAGAACAGCACAGGCAAAATATGACAAAACAAGAAACATACCTAGTGCTGGCCTGGCAGTCCAGTTCAAACTTCTTGCCATTCTGAGCCACGTGAATCAACATGGCTGCCTCTTGCTATCCAGTCACTCCTCACAGTTTGTGTGTCTCCGGCGGAGACGACTGGTCTCGTCGACCATGCGCAAAAGAAATACTGCCAGCGACAGGGCCCTTGGCCCTGCTTGTACTTTGGCTTTGGCCTGCAAACGCTGGAAACCTCCAAGGTGGAGACGAGGAAGAGAACAAGCAGGCCCTGGCGACGAAGGAGCAGGAAGGAGTCCCCAGAAAGATCATGAAAAGTGACTTGAAATGGGGGCCAAAATTCCAGACTGCAACTTGCAAAGCAAACCCTCAATTCTGGAGTTCAGGAAGGTGCACAATGTCCAAAGTAGCGTACTCGCACGCGACGTGTCAGACAGAAGACAGCGCTCCCGGTCATCGAACGGCAAAGCCGGCGCTATCCTCGTCATCGAATGGTCAGCACTGCTTGAGTTCTGACTAAAATCCACCCAAATGGCGGCTAAATAAACGGTCTCGGTTCGGAGCACGTAGTGCCCGGGAACGTGAGGCGGCTACGGCATCCAAGGAGGTGCAAGTCCTCGGTTGCTTCATGACAGTGTCCACCCGGTCACTATCGAAAGTGACTGAGTACCCGGTACCTAGCACCAGTTTTAGGGTTCGCTTTGCTCCCACTACCTAGCTTCCTCTACCTGCCCCTCTACTCTCTAGCTGGTCTAGCTGCCCTTCACACTTTTCACACTCTTTGATGACACCTCATGGTGGCGCCTCAACCGCAAGCTAGCCAGTGGATTTTGGCAGCACTAAGGACTAGCAGTAGTTGAATAAAAGCTTCTGTGAAAGGAGCAGGTCCAGCGGGTTGCACCCAGAGAAGACTTCCAGTGTTCCAGCAATTGAAAGCCAATGGCGGAACCGAACCCGCGCATTCGTTCAATGGGGTGGCTGACGGAATCAACCGTCATGCCCAAGAAACAGAAGGTCATTCAGGGGGTTGGGCCAAGCAGTGTGGTGGAGCTGAAAGCGGAACTATACAAAGCTCAGGTGAGCCAATCAGCATTTCTTTTGACACCTTGTAAACTAAGGAAGGTAGGAAAGTTCATTGAGAAAAAGTGGTTTCAACATGAAATGCTGACAATTGGAGGATGACATGACTGCGAGGCTGCGACCTTAACAGGTCAACAACCATGTGCTCACCTGCTCCTTGTGTATGCCACCATGTTTCTTCGAGGTTGTGATGCTAAAGGCCCGGCAGCTCTGGTGTGTGCAAAAGTGTGCGTTAAATTCAGTAAATTCAGTACATTGTGTACGGTGATGTTGAAATGGAGAGTCAGTTTGAGGCAGGACCTTTAAGGACATTAAAACTTCTTTTGAAAGCGTTTATTTGGAAAGAGATGAGAATCACAAAGAGCGTGGCGAGAGTTTGCACACTGTTTGCACCCTGATTATCGATGTCATATTGATCATTCTTGCTCACTTGCAGGAAGAGGCAAAGAGGTCCAAGGACCTGGACCCTGGGGAGAGGAAAAGTAGGAAGGTGGGTTCCACCACCTTTCGAGCCCCTAAAGTTTGAGCCCAGACTACCCGCCCATGTTTATTTGCGATAATAAGCATCTTTATTTTCTGTGCAATACCATACCAGTATCCCCGAGTTGAGGCTTGCTATGATTGAAAATGTCTGCCTGTTCAGGAGTTTGTTAGGATTGTTCAACGTGCTCATCTCGAGAACAAGGATGATGGTTATTGGAGCAACATGCAAGTCATTTTTCAGGCCAGACCTTGTTCTAGGCGTAGCACAGTTCCTCAGTACAGCAAGCTCTACCCTGAAAAGAAGGGGGCTAAGAACGCGACTCCATAGCGCACTAGGATAAGAGCATTGACACTGTTTTCTATGTACGAACAAGACCTCAACACCAGGCGTCGTCACCCAAAGTACAAACGTCGGACCCGCGCGCAATGAGAGATCTCAGATCAGCATCCTGAATTGGACACATCAGTTTCGTATTACAGGAGCGAGGAATCAACATAGCGGACTTGATGTCAAAGCAGAACCCGGGCGTCGAAATGCGCAACCGGCGGGACGAGCAGCAAACAGAGGCAGAACAAGATGTGTATGCTGCGCTGGAGCGGAAGGCCGAACTATATGATAAACTAGGTGAGGGCCATTCTGCTTGGTTGTTTTCTCGTATATCTTTCTCATGTTCTCTGTCGTCTAGTCTTCTTGGTCCTTTCCTTCACATCCCTTTTCTTGCCCTCGTACTTTCGGCGTCAAATCCTGTTCCCCACTTTCACCTGTTTTCGCTCGTAAGTCCTTGTTACGGTCTTGTTAACGTAGTTGATCTTGGGAAACAACTTCGCAGAAAGGGCTTTCTGTTCGTTTCCTTCGTCTCCATTTTGATTGCGCCCCCTTCCGACCCGGTCACAGAATCCATGACAGCCTTTTCAGCCCTGGCCAAAGCCTCAATCACAAGGCCCGACGGTGCTAATTTCGGAAGAAGTCAATCTTTCGTGATTGAAGTGACGCTCTATCAAATACATACACACAAGTCCTGACGGTGTTAAACTCCGGGTCAATTCAAATTCTCGTGATTATAGTGACGCTCTATTAAGATACACGGCCTTTCATGAACAGCTCGGGCTCATTGCTTTGACTTAAAAGGGCATCGTTCACAGAACCTGCTTCCAGCAGAGTAGTCCAAGCAACGAGACAAGTCTGAATTGTAGGAGCCTGCGCACTGATTCCTGTTGCCATTGATGTCTGATCGCAGCACGGGGGGACATAGCAGACGACGAGCGGAAGGAACGGTACAGCGTGGACTTCTTTTCGAAGGGTGGTCGAATTGCGGAAGAGGACGATGACCCGCGCGAACAGCGGCGAGGGGCCGAGATTGCGTGGAGTTACAACGGGGGCGCTGGAGGGAGCAGGGATGTGGAGTCAGAAAGAGAGACCGAAAGGGAGAGGGAAGAACGGGAAAGGGAGGAGCGAGAAAGGAGGCGCGCTGCGGAAGGTGCGTGCAAACCTGTTCTCGAGCTGTTCTACCGGATTGGTGCAGCGTGGACATTCGTTTATATTGTAGCCGAGGCTAACACTCTCATAATCTGCTGTAGTATCGCCCGTATTTTATGATGGCTCACTGTTGACCGAATCATAAAGTGCCCGAAAACGTTGTTGCAACTTTCAGAGTAAGGTGATTAGAAGCGTTTCAATGGACCAGAGAGGGTGCTTGTCGTGTCTTTGCAGTTCGCTGACCCAGAGGCGATGAAAAGGTTGCCATGCTTCACAAGCTCGCTGGCAGAAGATATGAAAAGGGATTCCCGTTGAGATGGAAATGGACCAGATCATCGAGCAAGAATGGTCGCTTTTTAAAATCAGCGAAACAGGTCTGAAAGACACAGGCTCACTTCGACGGTTAAACTAAGGGCGGCGACGTTTTCTTTGTACTATCACAGAAGTTCGGGACCGCTAGCATCAAATGATCAGGTTCAACTGCCTTGTGGAGCGACACGAAGGAGACCGCCCTTACACGTTTCACGGGTTGCACTTGGATACCCTTTGGTTGGATCAGCGGGGATTGAAAACGTAACGATGATTGAATGCGTTGAGGGCAACGGTCGAGTATAAAATGATAGCACGAGTACTGCTCTTGAGACTCTGTGGAAGACTGATAGTACACTGCGCCTGTTGTATGCAGAAGAAGCAGAGGGCCGGCGGAGACAAGAGGCGAAAGAGCTGATACAAGAGGTGAGTTCAGTTCCCAAGTATGCTGCTTTATCATCGAGCGCATGGGATGCCCTTGAATCGGTGATCACATGGATCTCCACGAAACCTTATCGCACTTGCACGAAGGACTGGAACTCGAGATCAGCACTAATTGAGGTGACGAGTGCTTGCCCGATACACTCTAACCAAAACGACCCCAAGATTCACTATGCTCGAGGCAAAGTCAGTGTCGGGCTCAGCACACAAGTGTGCAGATTTGGTACCAAGCGAAGAGCCTCGTTCTTCTGGATCTTTAAGGTTGGTCATTGAAAAAAGAGAGAATGCATCCGTGCAGGTGCATAAGGAGACCGTGGCCGGTCGGGAGAAGGCCGCGGAGCTAAAGCAAAGGAGACAGGAGCAAGCCGAGAAGACTAGGGAACGACTAAAAGCGGCTTTTTTGAAAAAGCAAGCGCAGAAGTTGCGGACACAAGGTGCACTGTGACTTGCGCATCGGTCATGGGTTGTATATTGAGACCCATGTAGGGTACATCATCGTCCATTTCCAATGATGCAGGAGCCCTTTCTTGAGTGGTGCTGCCGTCGTGTCACCGGCTAATGACCGACACCTGGCAACGTGTGAGCCGCACATGTGTTTTGTAAGAATGACCGTTAGATGAGCTTTTCTTCTCCTGGTGATGGATTGCGCGGGGCAATTAAAGAATAGTCGTGTTGATAGCATTGTCGAAAGTTCTCATTGTGTGGGTGCATGTCAAGGGTGCATGCTCTCATGAGGCGCCAAGATTGAGGGAAACGCAAATCTCCTCCTCGTATGACAGTTCGTGCATACAATAGACTGATACTAAGTCATCCTCGAAAGCTCACGGCATGTGGGCCCAACGCAACATGTGCACATCAATATCTGGCACGTGCCAACCTCGCTAATTGGCCATGTTCGACCGTTCATTCATTCATGTACGGGAAGATTGCGGTGTGTGTTGCCTCCGTCGTCTCTACTCGGCACTCTTCAGTGGCGTGCGTCCAATTGCAGGTGCATTGAGGTTCCGTCTGCCGCACATACCGCAGCCGCGCTGGTACATGCGGTGTGCAGCGCGGCTGCCGCCCGGGCCGGGCGCGAGTACAGGGGTCACGTGCTTCGATCAAGAAGTCCGGTCCAACTAACCGGTGAGTCCGTGGCCAGGGGCTCTCGCGACTGCGAGTCACAACCGTCGATCTTAGACAGTGGAGAAAGATCGATGGTTGCGAACTTGCTGTCGGGATACAGGTCGCGCAGAGGACGCCGGTCGGCCGGCCGCCGGACGGGCAGGTGACGTCCGCGAGCGCGGCTACAGTCATACCAAACTGGAAGTTTCGTCATTGACTTCTGACTTATTTGCCAGTTGCCGGCCTTGCGTAATATGAGAGATTCCTCTTAAAATCTGTGAGGCTGGGTTGGGTCACCAGGTCGCGCGGAGGACGCCGGTCGGCCGGGGCCCGGATGGGCATTCGTCCGGTGTTAGACGGAACCCAGACGAAGGTATCATGCATTGAACGACTATATTGAAGACTGTAGCCTGTCTCGCTGCGTACAAGCCGTTGCCTTCTCAGACTCTTAGGTAGCTTAGTAGTCCACTAATTCAAAGCGACATTGCTTGATAGCCTAGGCACAAACTTGGCTCATGCTTCTGACATGCTTTTAACATTTCCAGCAGAGCTGAGCATTGAGCAGATTAAGGGCGCTTCTTCTTGGCGCTACTACCATACCGCAGCATTCCTTTCGGACTCAATACTAATCTACTAAGGAGTCAATAAGTTGTGGTTGGAAGTATTACAAGTTCTTTGTAGCGGCAACCAGACAACATAACAAGATAACAAGTGTTTCAAGCCTGAGACTCTACAAAAAGCCGGGGAAAGAGCTTTTCACTATCGTAAGCCGCTGTTGAAGGCTGTTTCAACCAGCTGGACCTATTCTCCTCTCGCCCCTCTTCAAGTCGTAGACCCACAGAAGTGCAGCCTTGCGCGATTAGTTGAATTTCGTTCCACACGTCCGTACAGTACCCGGTCGAGCTGAGGACTTCAGGAGAGTTTTGCGCGCGGTATTGCTACTCCAGAGGCTTCATGGCTCGGCCTAATGAGTCTCTGCCCGAGGTTCCTGTGAAGGAGCGACAACGCTTGATGCGAACACTGCGGGCACTCAAGCAATGGTTCCATGAAGTTGGATACGAGTCGAACGTGCTCCTACACTTCAAGGACGGTTCAGTTCCGCCCACATGGACACTCTATGGGCGCATTGAGAGGAAGCCTCATTTGCTGTATGGTGAGCTAGGTCAGGATGATGAAATTTGGAACCGGGAGGCACCAAAGTGGAACCTCACCCCGGAGGACAGATTGAGAAGGTTTACATACAGAGAACAAATCTTTGTAGCAATTGCCGTCGTGCCAGATGCTGCCGAAAAGCCTCTGGTCGGGCTCAACGTGAGCACGGGTGAGCGCTACTGCTTTGAAGTTGACATGTTGAATTCCTTCAAGGCGTCGACAGCAAGCTCAAGCACTTGATAGAAGGAAGAGGCGAACGGCGAGGCGATGCGTTTGGTTGTCGGATGCAGACAAACATTGTGTCGTTCGCTAAATATTGAGGAACTTATGGTTACCTTTAAGAAAAATTTAGATCAAACAAGGTCGATAGAAATCTTCGCAAAACACCCGCAATTATTGGAGGTAGCCTGGTCCAATCATGGAACCGATCTCTACCCTACGTCATGCAATGGACCACAATATTTTCACCCATTTATGCATGACGTCAGCGCCATCAACCGTAACGAAGCTGTGCATTGTCATACAAACTCTCATACTGGCAATCTGGCCGTTCGAGCCCGTTCAATTACTGAATCCTGTAGCAACATCAACGTGCATTTATTCATCACTACCGTGCACATTGGCATATTGAGTAGGATGCAAAGCTGATAAGACATGTGCATGTGCCGCACATTGTCTGCTGAAGGCACGATATCATCGTTCGAACTAAACGAGTCAACCACCGTGACCATGTTACCTTGAAGACACATCATTCAACTTATGCATGTTGAAGATGACCATGGGATAACTGCTCAGAAAAGACGGATCATAGAGTATCTGAGGCACGGGCTAAAAAGTTCTTACACAATCTGCACAAGTGAGATCGAGCTTTGCCTCCTGAAAGAGGTTTCAACTTTTGGCTTTTCTGCATGATAATCAACTTCATTCAGTGTCTAGTGCCTTGTGGGATCTGGGCCTCAAGGCCCCTGCCTTATATTAGAAAACCCAGAATACAGCAACTTGCTAGACATCATTGATATTCGTGCCAAGAAGCTTTCAGTTGCGCGGCTCGTGCAAGCATGCGACGGCCATTGCGGCAGCCAGTCTTACAACGAAGCAGCAAAAGCCTTGATTAGATTTTGGATCCATGGAACACTGTCCTCATCTTCTTAAAGAAGGAACGTGCTCTACTTTCGTGCCGTCTCTAAGTCAACTCAATTGCGGACCCTAGTCTTAGCTTTGATCAAGCGCTCACATACATGCGACTGCTCTCTCTGAGACAACACACTCTTCTTCTTGATTATGTACACTTGCCGTTACAATTACAATGTACCTTCTTTCCTGTACCTCTACATGCGGAAGACACCGTAGCTTCCCGGTTCCGGTGGCCCGCAGTTCAGAGCTGCACTAAGACTCAATCCCAACACGGTGCGAGTATCGGCGGGGTTGATGATCCCATCGTCCCATAAGCGAGCGCTAGCGAAGAACGGGTTGCCTTCCTTTTCGTACCCCGCTCGGATGCGCGCCTTAAAGGCCTCCTCTTCCTCCGCGCTCCACTGGAGGAAACAAGGACACGTGGCACTGAGAATGAGTCCTTTCGGGCGTGTTCGGGTTTCTTTTGATGGTAAGCGAACGTGACGGTTGCTGGTGACGAGATTGCTGGTGGCGTCAGGATGCATAGATGAGGTGACGAACGCTCTACTTCACACTGTCCGCAACCTCAAACGAATCGCGGTTCTTGGCAGGAAGGTTTCCTTCCTCAATGAATGTCACGACGAGGAAATCAAAGTGAAGTCTGCACGACAGACCATTAGGCCACACTTGGAAGCAGTGCAAAGACCGGGACCTTGCACTTGCAGTCCGGCTGGAGACGCGAGTCAAAATATCTCTGTTGACTAAGGACCGCTCTCGGCGAGACAAACAAAACTGAAATCTGAAGCAAAAGCTGACATGCTCCGCATCCGTACCCACCCTTACACTCAAACCAACCCTACCCGTCCCCCGGGCAATTTCGTTGATCAACATGGCCCTTAATCAACATGAATTGGAGAACTATTGAACCAAACCGGCTCCAGCAGTCCCACAGCATTCAGCCGCCACGAAAAGCCACGCGGAACAGGGCAAGCCTTCCCAAGACCTTCCTCGCTGAGAGTATCTGTCAGATACTGGACGACACTCAAAGAAACTTCAAATCAAGCAGTTCCCGGGGAGGAGCCGAGTGAGTCTTGAGTGTTTCCACCAACGGGCGCTGCTGATCGAAAGGCGAAGCGGTAATCCGGCCGTGGCTGCGCACCTGCTTCTTGTCCCGCGCCGCCTTCTCCTTCTCGACCTGCGCGAGCACGCCCGCGGCCTGGTCCCCGCCCATGACGCTGATGCGCGCGTTGGGCCACATGAACAAAAAGTGCGGGCTGTAGGCGCGGCCGCACATGCCGTAGTTGCCCGCGCCAAAACTGCCGCCGATGATCACCGTCACCTTCGGGACCTGCGGTTAGGAGATCGGTTAGCTTAACAGCAGGTAAAGGGAGAGAGTTGGTGGTGACGTGGGCGTGTGAGAAAGTGGGCAGGTAAGAAGTGGGGTCGTAGACCTTCTATCCTACTTGCCGATGTCCGCTTGTAAGATCGTATCGTCTCTCGCCCACTCAGTCAATTGGGAAGCGTCGGAACAATCGGGACGCAGAAACGGAGGCGTCCGTGATGTACTGGACCGGCCGGAACGTCCGCTGTCCATTGGCGGGTATAGGTAAGCAGGGCCGGCAAAGGTTTCCGACGCGCCTTGCGCACCGGGTCAAATGCTTTGCACCACGTCAGATGCATCTGAAGCACGTCATGCACACGTCAGCGGGCCCTTACCTGCGCGCACGCGACCGCCATGACCATCTTGGCACCCGCCTTCGCGATGCCGGACGCCTCAGCCTTGGTGCCGACCTGCGTGCAAGAGGAAACCGTTCCGTTTGCGTATCACTTTTGCAATTCCGTACTTAGACCCCTCTGTCTCTCGGCGCACTATCCGCAAGAAACCTGACGATCAATTTCTATCGGACGAAATTCAAATAACCCGTTGAGAACAGTTTCCTTAACGCGCGATGCATTACGCAACCGAATTCCTTGGGAAAAACTCGCCAACGTAAATCTGGAGGGGACTCCGGGCAGATACATCGATGCCCAGAGTCCCGCACTGCCATGGCAGGTCCGAGAAAGATCGGAAAGTAAAGGGTACTGCCGCCGGAAAGAAGAAGAAGAAGCCTCGAAGAACGCTTTTCTCACCATGAAGCCGGTGATGTTCTGCAGGAAGACGAGGGGGATCCCCCTCTGGTTGCACAGCTGGATAAAGTGGGCGCCCTTGAGCGCCGATTCCGTGAACAGGATGCCGTTGTTGGCCACGATGCCCACCGGGTGACCGTGGATCCTCGCGAAGCCCGTCACCAAAGTCTGCATGCTGATGTCAAAGTTATTCGGCGGTTTCGCAGGGAGCCCTTGGTATATGAACGTTTGCTGACGTCATCAGATCGGTACCGGGTTTTAAATTTGTCGCCAACACTCCATGTTGAATACTACATTTTAGCCCCGATGTCCGCCGGGTGACCGTGGATGCGCGAAAAGCCCGTCACCAGAGTCTGCACGATGACGTCAGCGTGAGTCTAGGTCTGTGTACGCTGTTTTCCAATCTCAATGACGTCACGAATTTGGGGCGATAAATGCGCCAACTCCGTGAAAAGATTTGTTGTGACCACGATGCGAACGTGGATGCGCGCAAACCCCGTCACCAATGTCTGCACGCTGACATCAGCATTTATCCACGACTTGGTGCGTATCGCTTTTGAGGTACTGTTATCTGCCTTCCTTCCATCCAATGTCGTCGGCGTCCTCCAGACGCGGAACACAGTCTTCTGAGGGACTAAGGCAGACCATTTGGCTCCTCTGTTGTAACACAAATCGTTATTTTGTCAACGACCAGACCATGTGGCCCTTCTTTTCGTGACGCTTTTCGACTGGACGAACGGGTCAAGAACTTTGGCAGGAGCCCCAGTTTCGGCACAACAGGTTGCGGTGAGCGTCAGCCCTAACTGCCTCGCTCCACTTCGGGTTGGGCCAGCGGAAATTTCAAGCCGTCGGTGGTGGCGCTCGAGATATCGAACGGCTCATCTCCGTTCCGCACTCATCGAAATCTGGCAAGCCGAAAAGGTTCAACAGTCACCGACCGCAGTTACATGATTCTGAAGACGGACACTTCCACAACCGTCGCTTTCTTACCGGCCCGTACAGCTTCTTGAACTCGTCGAACTCGCTCCCGTCCACGACCCTCGCGATGACGTCACGAACGTCATACGTCTGCCGCGCATCGGCAGGCACAATCCCCGCGATCTCTTCCGGACTGTACAGCGGCGGCGGCGCGTCGGAGGTAGGGGCGGCCGCGGGCGCGCCCCGGGATGCCACGTGGAGGTTGCCCACGATCCGACGGCCCAGGGCGAGCGCGTGGGTTTCGTCTGCAGGGGGGAGGGATTGGTTCCGAGATTCCGGGATGCTGGGCTTCAAAGTACGACCAAGTGGCTCGTGTGGAGACAGATGTTGAAGAGGCGATTAAGCGTCCTGACGGACGGAATGCATACCTGAGTTCTCTTTCTTTCCCTGTCTCAGAACAGCCGGATGTGATGGCGGGGCAGATTCAATTGATGACGTTCAGAATAGAGGTAGGTCGACACAGGCAGAGTGTAGATCGCACACGGAGGCCGCAATTGCACATCAAAGACGAGCTCAAACTCTGGAACGAAGCTGGGAAACTTTGGATGCTCGAGAATCTCACTGCTCTTGCTAAACGGTCATCCGTCTCGAACGTCCGCCACGACTTACCTGTCAACTGTCAGCTGGCTTTTGCACATTCCAAGGTCTGACGCAGATTTGAGCATTTCGTATCACTTTGGACCTTCCGCTCACCGTTCTTGAAGATGTCCGTCACACCGTGCGTCTTGCTTCCCATTGGCGAAGTATTCAGACACTCGCTGAGTACTCATCTCTTTCAACCGTCGGCTGGCCTACATAACTGCCATTTGTAGTGCGCAGATGCGTTAGACGAAGTCATCGATTGATCGGACCGAGAAATTGATTGATCGGACATTGTGCTCACCGTTGGCGACTTGATCCGTCACACCGAACGTCTCAGGGCTAAGACGTCCACCAACTTTAACCGTTGGCAGGTCCCATTGTTTCTAGATTTCTCGAAGACCGGACAATCAACTGGAACGATTTCGGACGCTCACCGTTGGCAAAGTAGTCCGTCACGCCGGACGTCCGGCAGTGCAGCGCGGCGCCCCCGAGGTCCTCTGCGGACACGACCTCCCCCGTCGCCGCTTTCACGAGCGGCGGGCCCCCGAGAAAGATCGTCCCGTTGCCTTTTACGATCACCGCTTCGTCAGCCATGGCGGGAACGTAAGCGCCACCCGCGGTGCAGCTCCCGAGCACGAGCGCGATTTGTGGGATGTTGTGTTTCGACATCTGCGCCTGGTTGTAGAAGATGCGGCCGAAGTGGTCGCGGTCGGGGAAGACGTCGGCTTGGCGCGGCAGGTTGGCGCCTGTGCGTGGGTGGTGCTAAAGTCACAACCAGCAAAGATGGGAACGTGGCCGCTTCGAGGGCGTCTGCCTCATGTGGCTCATAGTAACAGGCTCAACGAATCGTCCACCATCTTATCCCAACTTCAAAGTGATAAAGGATGCGGGTCCACCATGCTAGTCCAACTTTCAAGTGATGTATCAAATACGGATCACAGATTACGTAAGTGAGGGCGTGCTAGTCGGGCGGTTTGGGCCCCAATTGCTCTTTGTGTAGGAGGAGTACCATCTCATCACTTATTGACAAAAACATCGGCCCGATCGCTTCCTTCATGACCGACCAAAAATTTCCACTCAAAGACACGTCCAAGCCTCTCAGCCCCCCACCTCGACGAGCATGAGATTGCCACTCCTATCCTCCCTCCCCCTTTTTGCAAGCAAAGGCCACATTTGGGCCAGCGGTTCGACTCCGCAACTCACCTCCACTGTCAACCAGGTAAAGGCATGGCAGACGGCACATCTGCGCAATCTCCTGCGCTCGGAGGTGCTTTTTGACAGTGATGGGGTAGTAGGTCCCTCCCTTAACGGTGGCATCATTGGCGACCAGCATGCACAGCACGCCTCTGACGCGACCGATGCCTGTGACGATGCCCCCGGAGGGGACAGGCTCATCGTATAGCTCATGGCCGGCCAACTGTTAGGGGAGACATGTGTATCGTCAGGTGGTGGGCAATGCAAATAGCATTTGACTAATAAATGCAGGCTGTCTGTCTGTCTGACGGTTGTTTTGTCAAGTCCCAGCTAAGTTTTTTTGGTTCGGGTGGTGAATGTAAGGCACAGCGGAGTTGGAGGTAGCCAAAGGTATCTACATACGAAAACAAAATTGGGAGTGAAACACCTTCAACATTGCGTGCAGATATGACTTGGAAGCATTCCAACAGCGTCGCCCGCTTACTTGCAAAACTGCTTCAGTCTTCCAAAACGTCGACTGAGCTCATATAGTATTAGCCAATAAATCAGCTCCTAAGCTCTTGAAATATTTATCGTAGTCTTGAGAACAATGAACACTAACTTCTGAGAGGACACTTGACAGTGCTTGCTGTTGTGAATGCAACTGAAACAGTTCAGCTGGAGGATCATCAGCCAGATGACTTTATGATTCTTTGACGTAAGACTTACCTGGCTCAACTCCATGAATGGACTTCCAGGGTCAAGCAACTTATCAATCCTCTCCCTCGCAAGAATCTTTCCCTTCTTTCTGTGTCGCTCTACTGCCTTCGAACCCCCTCCCAGCTGGACCTTTCTGACTTCTTCCTCCAAAGTTGACACTAGCGCTTTCATGGCTGACGTGTTAGCGCTGAATTGCTCGGAGGTGGTGTCAACGGCACTGGTCAGAACAGAGAGCGACTCCTCTCCTTGAAGGCTGTACAGAATTGGTGCGCTATGAAACAGTCGTCTAGCGGATTGAAACATGTGCGTTCCACCATTGGATTTGAAATGCGAACAGCTTGAATCATGCTTCAACTGAGGGTATTCTGCAGACACCTCCTTTTGGATATTATGTTGCCGCCCCAGAGGTGTTTCCCAGAATCTCCTAGTTAAAGCTTCTGTAGAATGATTTGAAGCATCTTCAGAGATAGCAGGAATGAGAGTCAGGCCACAGCCCTGCCGTGGCCGCCAACACCTCAGAGCTCCATAACCCCGCCGCAACAGCAAGTCCATAGCTATTTGCAGGTACCACCAACCCTTGAGAAAATTGGAGGTGGACCTATAGGAAGTTGGGAGGAAGCTGGAAGTATCATGCACTTGCAATGCCAATTGAAGCGGCCGGTAGGGTACCTGCACTTGCTAAAACCGTGCGGGATTCATGTGGACACGTCTTAGCTAATGCAGCAACAAGCTGACACAGAACTGTAGCTCATGACCCGCTTCAAAAGCCAAGGATAATGCGCCGCCTTCAACGACAAAGTCTCCCCCTCCAACTGGCCAATCAGCAAACTATCAAGCTATCACGGTCTCCTTGAGAATGCATGTGATTAGTGGCTCATCTCCGCCACCCCGCCATCCAACCAGCTGTTGCAAACAGACTGTTACAGAGGAAGAAACACATTCCAATTTGCCAATTTTGCCAAGCCCTTCGGATAAAATTAGGGTTTGGGCAACGGCAAGCACCTGATGTCTACAACGCGCCCACACGCGCGCGTACGCGCGCACACGACGTTCTGCTCCACTAGCCAAAGCTTCACAAAGTGCCTGCCGAGCCTTTTGCCAGTTTTGGAGGAGAAGATCTGTCTTTTTGCACTGGCAGAGTGATTGCGTCTCTTGCTTAGCATTCTAGGTACATTCCCACACTTTCCAGCATTGTTTGGGGCTGCATGCGGTGATTCGCAGCTCAATTGAACCTTGTATCCTGTCACTGCTCTACTGAAAGAAGAGATGGCAGGGGACATAAGGAAGACAGGTGCAAGCTGGCAGTCCGACTTGCACGGGGCGGCTGCAAATGTCTTCCTCCAAGCAATTGCCATGTTCCTCTTCATCAGACTCTGGCCTTTCTGCAGTTTACTTCTGGGCACTTGCACTACCAGACAGAAGTCCTACTGGAACTTCTTTGGACTTGGTCTATCAGGCACTTGGCTCCTCCTTACTGCCGCATTTGAACGAACAAACATGTACAGTAGACATAGAAACAACTTTATTAGCACAGCCTACGCAATCCTAGCTGTATCAAATGCCGTCCAAGTCTGTATAAGCCCACAAACAGCCTGGCGGAACAGTGTCCTCAAATGCATCCTCCCAGCCCTCGTAAACGCCCTCGCGCACCAGTCCTCAGGAATCGCTCTAGTTAGCCGCCTCGCCGGCCACTTTTTCCTTTTCTCCTTGGTAGTCCTTTCATTTGGGGGGTTGGCAGTGGCTCTGACCACCGTCCCTATTCTCATCAGCGCTCTTATCTCCGGGGGACTGCTGGCTGCACACCGAACGTATTCTTTAGACCCGCAGTCTGGCGATCTGGAAGATCGCTCTGAAAAGGGCACTGCGACGATCGTTGCGCGCATGGAAAGTGCTGATTGGGTTGCGGGGCCAAGCAGTTCAAAAGGGGCTCTTGCGTTCCCAGATGTTGCCCCATTTGTGCCGGCTGATGGTGCACTTTCACCTTGGCCTCAGGAAACAAATAGTCTTGCCGCCTCTCATTCTCAAGATTCTCAACGGGTTGGTCTAGAAACAAAGGCCGACAGTGAGATGTGGGTGCAGTCTTTGAAAGCAGGCCCGTCCACCTTCAAAGGCGGTGCTGACGTCATTGCTGAGGGGGGCAGTGGTATAGGTTGGGCCAGTGGGGAAAGGGGAACCCCCCAGGAGGATCCCTGGAATGTTTCTGCGGCATTTGGAGGCTCGGGACTGGGCGGGAGGGCAAAACGGAGGAGGGGCAAGAAGCCCGTTGAAGAAAAGGTGAGGATGCGTGTTGACGTTTGACATCGTACACTGGCATATCCCCTTCCTGGTCGACGTAAGTTTGTCGGCTGTCTATTTGAAGTTGCCCAGATTTCAATTTGACTGCCCCCTGGGTCAGTTTGACGCTGCTATGTGACACCGCCTTTGCGAACGCGTGTATCCTTCGAATCTTAAGCTTCAGAGAGAGACTGCCCTAAAGCTAGGAGTGGAAGACACCATCGACCTCAACAGCACAGAGGATCGGGCCAGAAATTTGCAATGTACCTGTAGTCAATTCTTTTTGATGACTGAAACTTTTTTTTGCAGTTTCGTCAAACCAAGTCTTTCTGTAGACTGGGCTCGTAGCACACGTGCAGAACATTGCTAGGAGAACCAGTGATTGGAATAAGATTGCAGCCGAATCTCGATCATCGCCGTTGCACAAGGACAATGCAGTCCAATTCCGACAATGTTCTGCATCCTCATAACTGGTATTTCTGTGGGGGGGTTGCTTTGCAGAGCCGGGAGCGGGCCCCTGCTGAGGTGGCAATTGTGATGGGGGCTGAGGTGTCCCGCTTAGTGTCAGTCTCCAAGGTGATGGAGATCGACGATGCGCAGGAGTTCATTGTGCGGGCGCAGATCATCATGGGTGACACCGCCGTGCGCGCCTTACAAGGTGAGCGTGCCCTCGCAGGTGTCCACGTTACGTTCCCTCCCTTGTCCGTTCCCACTTCTATCATAGTCAAAAGAATGTCTTATGCATTAACAGATCAGTATGAGCGACACGGCCGTGTGAGGCTTGCAAGGCAAGCGCGTTTCCGCAGAATAACTTACTTGTTTCTTTTCTTGTCCCCTCTCCCTTCTACTTCGTCGAGAGTGCAGGCCGGCACAAAAGTTGTCGGTGCGAGCGCAGATTTCTATGAATGACACAGTCGCACGCGCATCGCAAGGAGAGCCTTACTTTGCAGATAACCGTGTCTGGGGTAGCAAGTCCTGCTTGAGCAACATGTTTTCGGAATTAGACGTAAGCATCTCCAAGATCAGTGCGACAGTCGGGAAGCACAGTCCAAACGGTATCGTTATGTACTGCTTGCAACTAGAGCCCCTCCGAAAGACTTCCGTTGTGTTCCCTTGGAGGACTGACTGTATGTCTTCACAGCGACAGGACAAACGACAGGGTCTGTAGAAGTCGAATGAACTGGATTCTTCCCGCTAGGGCCCCACAATGTTCGGAAACTTTAGCATTTTCGATGTATCCTTCCTTGACCAGAACAAGCAACTGGGAAAAGGCGACCCTTGTGCTTTCTTGCTCATGACAGTCTTTGTCATTGGACAACTTAATATCATCACTCCTCCGTTTGCATCCATTCTTTGGCAGGTACAGCGAAGTGCTTTTTAGTCGGTCACGAAAATTGTAGAGCGATTTCCGTGTATTCTGTCACGAAATCGCTGACGGCAAAATGATGTGCACGATTCGCGGCGCTGCCTTCCACAATCAGTAACGTCACAAACGCCGATCGAAACCCTCAACTCTGGATTAACTGGAGATTCACGGGTCGAGTTTCCGGGTTTTGCTGGTGATGTCACCGTTGCACCGAATAATTCTGACGGTGTGCACGTGAATGCTCCGCTTGCCAAACAAAATTCGTGCCATCTTTCATGCAAACCCCTGTGGTAAGCGCTGACATTCCGACCCAACTCTCCCTGTTTCTGCAGAGAACGCGCGGTTTGACTCTCGCATCGCCAAGCCGATGCGATTCCCAGACGAAATGGCGCTCGAGGTCGCTGCGCGGATGTCCGGGTTCACCGACCCCTCCGGGTTCACCGACCCCTCCACAGCGTCCGAAGCGGAACGGACCCCGCTTCCCCAGGGGCCAATTCACACTCCCCCCAAGGGACCGATTCACACTCCCGCCCTGGAGGCGGCGACGACAAGCGGTGCGCAGGAGCTGGCACCGGAGGTTGCTTACAGAGGTATGTTGTTTCGCGCTCATAGTGAAAGGGTTTATGACAGTGAGTGGTTAGGATGTGAGCAGGCTTCGACTACGGTCCAGGGTCCAAGAAAGCTCTCTAGCGTGGGTGAAAAGGTTATACAATGAATGGTTAGGATTGGTTATGAATTATTACGGTCCAGGTTCCAGAAGAGTTGGCCGATCGATTTGAGTTTGTTCGCGTGTGTTTGGGTCTGATTCTGGGATGATAACAATTAGCGCTTGCTGAACCTTAGGGATTGCACAAATTCCGGGCTCTTCTCTCGTACTTACACATAACTATCTGTAAAGCACACTCCGGCACATTCCTGCTCTTCTCTCGTACTTACACATAACAATCCGTAAAGCACACTCCGGCACATTCCTTCAATCAAACCATCATTCGGTGAAAACTCGACCAGCCACCAGAAACCAGCACCACGTATCGAATCCTCCAAAAACAAAATCCAGCTTGACACCATCAAGTAAACGTCCAACTTTGCAGTTGGGGAGCCCGTTCCCACCAGCCTGTACCAGCGGGCGGAGCGGTGTGTGAATCGGCTCGGGTACGAGTGGGCGGCGCTGAAATGGGAGGAGAGCCAGGTGGAGGTGCGCGCGCTGGGGACGCTCAAGGAGGCCGTGCTCGGGCGGCGCGCCGAGGATGACGTCATGCGGGCGGTAAACCTCGTCAGGTGAGCCATGCTACGAGAATAAGGGTCTTTAATCTAGTACTTTTGAGAGTTGTATCATTTGGACCTCATAGTGACAGTCTTCAGTTGCACTACGCGGGTTTGAAAGTTGCGAGGCAAATCGACAGGGTCTCACCAATGCGTGCTAACAGACCCTGTTCGCTTCGGTTCGTGGGGCTTTCTGGAGCGGCACTTGTCGTCGGTTCCTTATCGCATGAACCCGCAATGTTCTGAATCTTCCTCTTTCAATCCTGTGCGGACAAACGTGTGAAGCGGACTCGCCGTACTAGCAAGCTCTTGGTTACGGGCAGATTGGCACTTCCACAGCCTCCGATTGCCTCGTTTGATTACTCCCAGTGATTCGTTTGATTTATTAATCGCCTGGCTCGCCTCTGCAATGCGGGTCCTGCCGCCTTGAACCCTGGCGCTCTAGTGGCGGGGGTAACATGTGGATTTCCGTGACCGTGTCTTCCAACCTGTTGCTAACCCGTTCCCTTGAACCTCCTTGATTCTGTTCTCAATCCGTGTTCAATTTGCAGGGACGCGCATCCCGGCGTCGCTCTGCTAACCACCACCTCGTCCCCCCTCGAACCGCAAAGGCTAGCACGCCCTCGAGAATCGGCGCTTACATCTGCAATTCCTTCAGTTCGTTTACTTTACCCGAACTGCCTCGTTAAGGAACCTGTCTCCTTAAACCCATATCTCTCGAACCCTTCCAAATTCTAGGGACGCTCCCTCGGTCTCGCCATGCTGGCCCATCGGCTCCTCCCGCCTCAAACCGTGGCACGCCCTCGAGCGGCACGAGTGCCATTAATCCAGTTCCTTATCCCCCATCAGCTGGAACCTGGATCACCAGTACAGATTTTACCGTCTACATTCCGCAGGGACGCCCGTCTCGGCCTCGCCATGCTAGCCACCGCCTCGTCTCGCCTCAAGCAGCGAGGGCGGCCGTTGACTTTTCATTGTGCCATCTTCCTAAGCCCATTTACCTTAACCTGTACCCTTAGACCAGATCACACCCATCTCAACCCTGCAGGGACGCCCGTCTCGGTCTTGCCATGCTAGCCACCGCCTCGTCCCGTCTCGAACCGTGGCACGCCCTTGAGGGGCGGGGGTGCCATTCTGGTTCCGTTAACCCGGTCCCTTGTCTCGAACTCCCCCAACCTGTTTTTATTACCCCCACCTAACTTAACCCGTCTCCTAAACCAATTTTCCCAAACCGCCTTCGTTTCAGGGACGCCCGTCTCGGCCTCGCCATGCTAGCCACCGCTTCCTCCCGCCTCGAGCCGTGGCACGCGCTCGAGCGGCGGGGGTGTCGGGCCGGGCTCCTTTTCGGCCCCCTCTGGGTGACCCCCCTCCTGGCGAAAGACGCGGGTCGCGCCGCCTGGGTAGCGCAGGCGTGCCGCACGGAAGGCCTCGTGGGGGAGTCGGTGAACCGCGTGTTCCCGCAACTAGGCATGGGCCAGGCGCGCGAGCTCGCGGCGGTGTGCCGGGACATGGAGAGGTGCGTGGTTTGGTCAAAGTTGTCATGCTTCTGCAGTGGTTGTCTTGTTGCCGTCTTGGAGGTTGAAACTCCAAATGCTGCAAGTCGCGAGCCTTTGCAGGAGCGATGCCAAAGTGACACGTGGCTTGACCATCTTACAGAATTGTGCGGCGTCTGAAAGGCGGGCCGACCACCACGGAGACGGCCTTCCGTCATTGCTGCTTTTCATCATTGTCCAGGACCGAAGTTGTTCGAGGCTTGTCTTCATTTGCTGACGTCTGACTCTCCTCCACATTCTGGAGACAATTCCTTTCCCAACGACTACCTTTTCGATCTTAGCAAACCAGAATGGACTAACGCTTAAAGCGTCCACAGTTCGTTCAACAAGGTAACCACCGTCGAGCTTTTTGGCCCTATTTTGCGATGTAAAGCTAGTCTTTGCCCTTCATTCCGCAGAGTCGAAAGCCAGTTAGAGGCGGAGTTGACCAAGCTGCGGACCGCCATTCGGCCGTGGCTGCGGGGCACGCAAGTAGAGCCCCCCAGCATGACTGGACTCGTGCTCGGGAACCTGGGCGATGAAGTAGAGCGGCTGGCACTGCAGGTAAGAGCTTCTAGGAGTGTGAGTGTAAGGAAGTGCAGTTCTTGTTTAGGGGGCGTCCTGTGACTCGTAACGCCTTGGCGACCAAGTAGCTCATCTGCCCGCAGTCCGAGTCGCTCATTCCGGTACCACGTAATTAGATTCTCGGCGACAAGAAAGCAGAATATCATGCAAAGCGGCCGCCATGGTACCGTGTAGTTAGACGCCCTCTTTAAGCCCCTGTGAGGAGCTCAACTCCTCTCGTCGTTTAGTAGGCCGGTTTCAAGTTTACGGTGGTATGAGTGACGCTGAAGAGGGCGGCACGCTGCATTCTGAAGATCCTTCTGCGTGCTCACGAAATGCATATTGCTTTTGGGGCCTGTCTCAGGAGTCGACCTTTTTCGCGTCCGAAAAGTGCGATTACTGGTTAGCTCCTAAGCGTCATGGTCTGTATAAGACTGCTAGAGTGGGGCACTCGAATCACAGGTCACCTTTGGTCGATCGTTCAGTCTCTTCCTTAACTCCATTTACAGCCGTGGTAGTCCCTTTTGGACTACCACGTCAAGCAGTATTTTGCCATTCTTCTCGAAGCGGAAAGATCACAAGTCCTGCTCTCGTGGGGAACCTCCCAGGGAGGAAACAGGTGCTGAACGTTTACCTAGATCTGACTTTCATCTGCATCTTTTTAATGACAATACCGGATTGCCCGGCCCCGGCTGACGCGTAACGCTCGCCCCCTGTTCAGGCGGACGCGTTACAGCTGCAGCTGTTCCAGCAGTGCACGGAGATCCTGACCCCCCTCCAGCTGGGCACGCTCCTGCTCGCGCTCATGGACCAGCGGATGCGACTACAGCGGCTCGGGTCGTTTTGGGAGTCCGTCGCCGCCGGACAGGACGTCATGACGGGCGTCCGAAAGCTGACGGGGCGCATGGCCAATTTTAATGCGTGATTGCCGAAGAGCAGGGTTTGCAGGGTAAGCTAGCTGTCCGGGTGAGTACAAGCCCTGGAAAGCGTGTAGATATTGTCTTCAGTAGTTGGGCAGTCACCGGTGCAAATCTGGGGCATTTGCCAAGTTGCGAGGCTTTCAGGCAGAAAGGTCTAAAAGGGAGACCTGATGCAGGCAGGTTCTGTGAGTCTTTGGTCGAAAGGTAGTTCAATTATGCTCTATTCATGCAACATCGTTCTGGCAAAAGCAGTCGAAGAAGACCAGGCAAGGCAGGCTCCGCGCATCAATACTGACACACAATATGCATCACATCTGAGTTGCGCCACAAACAGTGGAGGATTTGCGGTTTGCTTAAGTTGACGGGTGTACCTGGTTTGCTCGCTTATGCATACACGTAACAGTAGGTAATGATCGCAGCGACCGTACCATGTAATTACACGAGAGTAAGTTGAAGAAATAGTGGCCTCGCGCGGCAACGACGATTTCAAGTCCCGTTTCGGATGTAATGCGTGGCCTTTCGAATGATCAGGAGAGTAAGATCGATGCTGTCATCTTCGAGAAGAGTTGTGAATTGCATGGAGAGTATATTGTATCAGAATGGCGGCAGCTCTGCAATGCGAGGTTGAGCGTCGCTGGCTCACGATGATACGTGTGTCGCGAGCTTCATACCAGACATTGAGGCCGACGACTCGCGAAGCTGTAATCAGGCTTCCGTCTGACTCACGTCGGCTTTGCAGCAATGCGCGCGTACGTGCTTCGATCCAATGTAGACCTTCGTAGCAATCTGCACATCTGGTCAAGCTCGTATACCATGTGCGCGCTTGCCTGCCAGATCGATAAACCCTATCGATATCATGCGCGAAGATAGGATGATGTACAGATTTGAATCTGTCATCGAGCTAGCTAGGCCCGCGGTGGCGCCGTCAATATATGACCCGTCCAGTTTCTCCCTTTTCTAAGTTGATAGCACCGCATTACTAACTGTAACTTGTTCTACACACGTACTCGCTCCAATTAAAGCATGCAGCGAAGTGCTACTGCATGTAGCTTTCCAAATATCACACCACCCGGTCCGCGAGAGCGCAAATTAGTGCACTGGCGGGTAACGGTTTGTGGCCGTTGCATGCAATTACTGCTGGTTAACCAGCAGCTACGCGGCGCGACGGAATCTTATCAGGCAGTTCCTTTTGATAGTCCGACTCACAGGGCGGCTAGTTAGTAAACTGTCTACTTATGCCTTTGGAAAGATTTCAGAGGTCGAAAGTGCGTCGCTACCGCATCCAGCACTTTGCCTCCCCTTAAGTTTCTTCGACGTAGCACACTCGACAAGTCCGCTCTCTCCAAGGAGTGCGATCCTGAGGCCACGGTACGCACCGCGTCATGCATTCTGCTTGAGGGCGGCTCACTTCTACTACAGCCTGACAAGTAATGTATATTATTTTGCAAATGTTTGCGCCCTCGAAGCCTGGTTTATGGCACTGAATAACCGATATTTGCGTTAGGGTGAGCTTTGTCACTTCCCGGCCATAGATTTCTACACTCTAAACTTCTATCCGACTTTTCATACTCAATAACAAACCTGGCTCACATCCTCTACTTACACAAATCTCTTCCTGAAGTAGTAGCCCAGTAGTAGCGGCCCATTGCGGCTAGGCTCCGGCAGAAACGGTACTCGCCTCTCAATCCTTCCAACGGCGTACTGGCTCAGAGCACGCCGCACCCACACGAAATTCTTCACACGACTCCTTTGACAAGACTTTATAAAAAGACCTTTTGATGATGATATTGTGTCTTGGTCAGAAGTAAGATTGAAACGCATTACTCTGATTCACGGCCGGCAGCTGCATTGCTCTCAGCTATCTCCTCCAAACGGCGCTGAAACTTCACGTTCCACCTCGCCGTGAACTGCTTGATGAGCGCCTTAATTAAACTGGTTTTCGGCACGGATGTCCTGCTCCAGCACCGTGAGTTTCGGCTTTGAACAGGCACGTCTTAGTAAGACGGGGGAACTAGGAAGTCCTAGCTAGCTGAAGGGAGACACCGTTTCTCAACACAATCTACAGTGGGGGACCCCTTCGTTGGAGTTCGATGCGGGGAAACCCCATAAATGAGCCAGCCGGGCCCCCGCCGGCTCCGGCTCGGATCCCAGAGCTCGGATCAGAATGTCGTCATTGTAGCACCAGAACAGCGGTGATCGTTTGTGTCAATTGACCTGTCACCTGATCAAGGCTGAGTCCTGACGCATCCGGCGCCAAAACTGCTTCTATGGCGTGTCCGAAAATTAACACCAGAAGGAAAGTTCAACATCGATGTATTTTCCGGTCCGCCAGGTGGCAGCTCAGGAATGAAAGTTGCTTGTCGACCGAGGAATTTCGGGAAATGGGACGTCGCCCACAATGATTACAGTTCCTCACCGTACAACACGACCAAGACTGTAGACTCGGTAGACAGCTCCGAGCACCGCCTTAAGACCGGTTAAATCTGCCGGGAGGGCAGGTGCCAGGCTGTAGCCTATAAACCAGCTAGGAGAACGAGTCCGAATGACCATGGAGGAGGCCGGTTGAGGAGCATCCAGTAGGTCCTGACCTCGGTTCCTTGGTTGCCGGGGCCCGGGAAGGTGCAAGCGGGGCGGCAAAGGTGAACACTGCACGCAGCACGAGGCAGTTCGGTTCGACCGTGACTGTCCAAGCTGGAGCCCGAGAGTCAGACTCGGAGCCTGCCAGACACTCTTGAGTGTCAGTCAACCTGGCTGTAGAAGCCTCCAGGCTCAGCCAATCACAGTCTCCAATTACTTCCGGTAGCTTATTAGTGTCAAAAGACATGTAGACAATGTCAGTCAGGACACCCCTGTGAAAAATGATGACAGAGATGACAGCACCTAATAGACTCAGAGAATCAACGAGGGGGACCAACATGACCATTTAATAGCTGGTACCTGTCTACCTTGAAGCATCATGGCAAGACAGAGGGCAGCTCTAGCTGTAGTTCCAGCATCAAGCAGGGCCGCCTCACTTGCGCTTCACCTTTTACGCAAACCCTTGAACTCGGAGCTGGTCCTCCAGCCGTTTTAGTCTAGAGTATAATCAGGGATGTATGGGCGCCTTTCAGCAGAACAGGTCCTTGACTAGTTTTGGAGCAGAAGCTCATATGATTCGTCGGAGGTGGACTCTTTCATTCGGGGCACATGGGTGAACGGCTTTGGTCCTCCCTACCACCTACTTGAGTGTTCTGAGCTGCATAGCGCTGATCGGAGCACCTCTGTGCTGTCCTACTTAGTCATCCCTCCAAGAACCAACTTACAACCCCGCCCAAGCTTGGACAAAATGGCAGGCCGGCGCTTCTTCCCTGTGGCTTTTAGCCTCTTCTGCTTCTTTCTTGGGGCACTGCCAAGTGGACTCTCTGCTCAGGGCCTTGTTGCGGTCCCGTCCACAATGACCCACAAGCTGGGCGCTTACTACATCAGCGCGCTTGGGAAGGACCTCACTTTCTACCAGCTACTGAACGGGCGCCACCAACGAGGGACCAACGCATACAACCTTGTCAATGGCATCGGGGACAGCGCAGATCCCATCCGAGCCGCCAAAGAAACCTCGCCGGTCCGAGGCTACTACAAGAGCTGGAGCATCGGGGGCCGGGTCATTGTCGATGTCTTCTACAAGCTCGTGCGATGCCCGGGCGGAGACCCTTCCAACTGCTTGGCCTTTGAGCGTATCATCCCTGTCAATGCCCCTCGCCTTTCTGGCGCTCCAGTTATTCCCACAGTGCTGAAGCAGAGTTTTGGGGTTCGCGGCCTGTGGCTCCTGAATGCCAACCAGGCTGCGGCCAACACCGTACTCAAGCAGCCGGCAAGTGAGGAGAAGTTATATGTGGACGACGTTTTTGACTCTGGAAGAATCTACTACAAGGTAGCGCCCCCGCCGCCCCCTTGCAGGTCTGCCTACCCCCAAACCTACCTCTATTCCATTGGGGAGTTCTTCGACCGTCCGCAGTTCAACTGCGTACTTTTTGGGGGTGTCTATATCATGATGACCACTACTGATGAAGCAGGCTACACCGCAATGCAGCAGTATGGGACCTCGCCAGAAAACTGCGACGGGTCCCTTGCGCTGCTGTTCAACCTCATTGCTCCTCAGAGAGGTTTCCCTTCCTCAGGCCCACAGATTGTGTACCTTGCCCGGCGGCCAGGATCAGTTCCATTCACCCTTCAGCTAGCCTTCCCCTACACGCTCGATTGCGAACAGCTGCCTCGTAACGTGTCCCTCCTTCTTCAAGCTGCCACCATCCTTGCTCAAGAGGGCAACGGAGTTGATGTCACCAAGAGCAGGGTAGGCAAAAACCTGGCCATACCCGAACCCATCACCTCCCTCGGTTTTGCCAACGCCTGCACTCCTGTGTATGTGGCATACTACGGTGCCGCCGTCTGGGGACAGACGAATGGGATTCCAGAGACCAGTTCTGACAGCACCTTTCTAGAGACTCTCATCAGAACCAACGCGGGCGACACGTGCATTGCGGCCCCCTCAGTGAATGGTGGATTCTCGGGGCGGGACTATTTTGAGGACGCGTGTGCTCAGCTCTATTTTGGGAACGCAACGCAGCAGCGGGAGGGGGTGGTGACTATGTTGCAGCTCGGTCCGACAGCTGTACCAGATCAGGTGGCATTTAATGCGGCGGTCAGTCGATGCGTCGGCAAAGGTGTATACACGCTTCCCATCCAAGGTATCCTTCCTCAGGTGAGTATCTCCCAAGCAGTGTCAACGTTTGCAATAGCTTTCGGATCCAAGACTCTTCAAGATCGCCTATTGCAAGAAGTCAACAAAATTGGAAGTTATCCACATTTTTAAGTACGGGAGCCGATCAGGGTCTATTGCGTGAGGACTTTAAGGCTGTCTCTGTCTCTGTCATTGCGCTGATGATTGTCAAGGGCGCAATCTGCAAACAAGCCTGAAGCCCATGTACTTGTCTGTCTCTTCCGAGAGCATTAAACGAGGCCCAACTTCCAAGAATTGTCTTAGTAAAAGAGAGAACTGATGGACATTTTAATCCGATGGACACGGTGACATTGTAGTGTGAGCTTCTGCTGACGTGTTGGGTTTTCATATGAGTCGTAGACAACGATCAGGAAGGATGAGCGGAGTTCGTCCCCAATCATCCCGGCGGTTACATCATTGGGAATATGAATACCAACATCTCAGGGGCATCTCAGTTATATAACTTGCAATCCTGGTTACCTGCTGGGAAAGGCGCCCCTGCCCCCTTAACCAAGAGCCGTGGTTAGATCACGATAGATCGAACCGAATGAAGATTCTTATATCGTCGATTTCTACTGGCCGCGTTCCGAAACCGTGCTAACTTGAAGGCTTCTCTCATCCCTAGCCAATCTCAATGCCACCGTTGCCTCCCGGGATCCCTGTCTTACGTCCCCCAATGAGCAGAGAGCCAACGAGCCCATGCCTCATCCGTTTCGTTTCATCCCGACAGATTGCGATCGACTTTGACGCCACTAAAGCGTCCCTCCTCGCTTCCACCGAAGTCAAGGTCCACCTCGACTCGGTCGCCGCAAACGCCGCCTCCGTGGTGGCCCTCGAAATTGCCCTCGCCTCCTGCGGGGCGTTCGTCACGAGGACGATCGCCCGCTCTAGTTACTACCGCACGCGGCGCCTGTCCAACTTCACGGCGCGCCTGCTGGCGTGTCTCGCCACCCTAGTTGCGGTGACCGTTCTCAACGTGCCGAATTTCGCGCTGATCGACCGGTCACTGAGCAACCATCGCGCGCGGCGCGTTTTCGCCGCCGCGAGCTCGGCGCAATACAAGCCGAGCAACTGCTCGGCCGTCCTCCTCTCCGAGACGCACGCCTTCGTGACCGTCGAGGGCTCGTCGGCGACCGCGGTGATCGGCGTCGCGCTCTACGTCCTCGCCGCGTGCTACGCGGTGTGGGACACGTGGGCGCTCTTCGGTGACGTCATCAGGGGCAGCGCTGACGCACGGCGCTGCCTGGGCAACGCGACCGTGGAGGACGGGCGGCGCATCACGGTCGAGTGGAGGGAAACGGACGGCAGGTTGCACGACCTGCTCAACCCCGCGGCTGTCCTGAAAGCGGGCGAAATGGCTGACTACGAGCTGCGCAGCGCCAGGTTGCGCGCAACAATATGTGGCCGGAGAAGCGGGACTCCCCCCGGGCGGCGTTTCCGAGCTCCGGAGCCTAAGCATTTGCTGGCGGTGAGTTTGAAAAAATCTCGTCTGTGCTTCTCGGCTCTATTTCCCGGATAGTATCGCTTCCGGCGCCGCACACTTTCAAACCTAAGCAGCTGACGTCGATATGGTCCGTTCTGCATCAGACCTGCGCCAGTGGTCGGATCTATGATTTGTCTGCAGTTCGGAAACGGTCGGAAACTGGTAGAATCGGGCAACTGAGGTTGTGTAGCGTGCAGCTTCGATCAGCACAGTAATTGTGATCTCAAGATATCGATTACGCCTGTGAGCATTTCATCATCACATGTACTAATGTCTGAGACGAATACCTGATGACTGCTGCAACAAAACAGCTGCCGCCAAGTGACCCTGGACGTGATCGCGTGCTGCCTTTCTGTTCTTCCTGACATAATCGATAGACAATAGTTCACCCCGACGTGTCGAGCGGGAATAACGAAGGGCTGGCGAGCCAATCTTGCTGCTACAGCAGTCACGTTTTAGGCCTTTAGCTCTGGGGACCGAGAATCTGGCCGCACAAATTTGTTTGTCACGATGTTTTGCATCGTTTCCGCAAACTTGCTGTCATGTGGTGTGATGAAATTTGCCAGACAGAAATTTCTAATCAGTTTCCTGGCGCCATGGGCATACCAAGTGCTCCTACTGGTTGCAGGTCTGGATTTCACGCGCTGCTCGCCGTTTTCACAAATACCAGTGCAAAGTGGGTCGTAGCAGGATCCTCGATTGTGGCGTGAAATTACCCTTAATGCAGCGAGGTCGATAGGGCTCCTTGAGAAAGTGAAGAGGTGCCAAGTAAACATTCGGTGGACAATGAGCATACTGAAGCCAATCTTGATCATTACGGATCCTGTTGAGAAGTTGTTGAACATGTGGTGACACTGTCGACCAGTTTTCAGAGTAGCGGCACATATTGGACGGTCAAAAGTCTTCCAACTATTTGGTATGTAAGGTTATGGGTCCCCAGAGCAGCATACACGTCCGCTGGCAGTGATCTGGCAGCAGCAAACGTCAAGTACGGTCATGAAAGTAACATGTGAGAGGATACGCGGGGCTACTGAGGGAGAGCGAAGGTTCTTGTAGATAGTGACTACTATCTTTCGCAGCTTGCGGCAAAAAGTCGTGCCGCTGCACGTACGTGCATAGTTCTTGAACTCAGGCTCCAAATTCTTATACTCGATTGATTGGTTCAATGATGCCGCCAAAACCTTAGAGGTAAGATTTGGGAGGATCTCATGAGTTCTGTATAAGTCAAGGGCAAACCAGCGATATCGATGCACGTCATTGCACTGGGCCACGTATAGTGACCGTCGCGACACAACTTACTTGTGGACGTGCTTCCATTGTGCTTTAATTGTGCTTGAGAAGCTCGTTGATCTGAATACAGGGTTTGCCTAACCTCAGGCCCAGACTGAAATAACATGCAATTGAAGGAGGAGCCAAGACGTTGAAGCGTACTTCATGCATCGCAGAAAGATAGGGCAGCAGCTCACCAACCACGCCTGCTCTTGCACTAGGTCAGGAGAGGACTGGTCTAACGCTCGCCATGGGCAGATCTTAGACGCGGAAGTATAGTCGTTTCATATTCATAGCAGCTGAGCGCTCTATGTCATGCCCGCAGCCGCCCGCGCCCGCTGTGTGCTCCAGCCTTAGTACCGCTCAGCTGCGCATGCCAAGCGCGCTTGATGCTAACAACATCACATTCATAATGTCCAGTTTAAAGGTCATCTCTGAAGCAATTCTGCACCAATCCCTTGCGATGGCCTATAGCCACACATCTTGAGCTCATTTTACAGAAATACCGTCTCAGGATCTGCAAGGCTGGTATTACTCTCCTCCGAGAATTACAGCTCATTGTCCGCCACGCTGTCGAAGCTCGGCAAGAGCACCGCGGCCGGCGTCGACCTCCGCGCCCTTTGCCGCCTCGCGGCCGCGGGCGACTGCCGCGCACCCTAGTCATTGAACCCCAAAAGGCGCGCGCCCGCGACGCTCTGGGGCCGCTTCAAGTTGCTGTTCGGCTGCTCGCTCCCAGCAACGAACGGTGATCTTGACGTCCCGGTCTGCGCTCGGGAGGATCCGGTTGCCCCGACAGAAGCTTCCTTGATGCGACGTTCGTCGACGACGAACTTCCTGTGACCCTCGTTCCGCTGATGGACGCCGGCGGCGACGGAACCGCTTGCCACGTCATCCTGCTCGTGCGCGAGCGGGTTGCTGAACGCGCGCCACTCCGCCGGGCTCAGCAGCTTTTCCGGCGCCGGAACGGGCCTCACTCGAGGCGGCGAGTACAGATTCCGCCGGCGACGGACTGAGCGGGCGCTCCCCTCCAAACGGTTCCCCAATCCTTATCCTTCGAGTGCTCGTTCTCCGGACAGCATACTCGGGGCTTCCCAGCGCCTGCGGCGAGAAGCTCGCGTGTCTAGTTGGGCCCAGCGACCGGGGCTTCTTCTCAACCCCGCCGGCGCGGGGTTTGGAGGGTTGGCGCGGTCGCGGCCGCGGCCGCGTTCGCGTCATCTTCCCCACTGCCAGGGTCGGAGGTGTAAAACTCGACGGGGGTCTCGATCTCGACGGCGGCGGTGTAAGCGGCCCTTGAAGCCTGGAAGTGGTCCGTCACGAGGCGCGTCACCCCGCGGTGGCGCGCCGCGCGCGCGTGAGCGGCGCGCTTGCGCTAATTCAGAGACGGGCCGGGGAATGAATGTTCACAGGGATCGCTTTAAACAAAGTTCTGCTTCAGTATTGTAACATGTATCTGTATATATATCAAGCTGTTGTTCTGCTCCAGGGTTTCCTTTTCCTCAGAAACTTATTTAGCCGCTTTCAAGCGTCACGATCATGACCTGAGAGAGTCTCTGTTGGTGATTGGGGGGAAAAGGGGGCCACAAGGCTCAAGTAACCCAAAAGCAAAAAACAAATTGCTGGAAGAAGGCAAGATGATGAGTTCTGGGAGTCCGTTCTGGGAGGCCGTTGCCGGCGGACAGGACGTCTGACGGGCGTCCGAAAGCTGACGGGGCGCATGGCGAACTTCAATGCGTAGTCTGAGAGCAGTGCTTTGTAAGGTTAACCAGAAGTGTCTTATTCGGCATGGAAGTGTACAAAGCGCAGAACTTAGTTTTCTGAGAAACTGGGCGCGGCAATGAATGTTACACGTTTGGGCGCTTACCTTGTGAGGGTTATCCGGCAGGTGTTGTGATGGGCGTCCCGATGCGGGGAAACTCTGGTCAAACTCTGCGTGTAGCTTAGCTTGTAATCAAGCCGATTATAATTTATGCTGAACGGGCAGTGCCAAAGCAGACCTCGGAACTACATGTAACATATTCTGCGCATATGAATTCTGCGCACAATTTTCTGCGATCATCTTTATCGCATATGAATACAGAACCTTGGTCAGTGGTGGGAAAGGACCGCCCAGTTGATGGCGTGACCAACATATTAGATGGCCGCCTTGCCAGCGCACAATCAGTAAGCTATGATCCTGCATATGTACCGATCATGCATGGTGTGCTTAGGTTCATTTGCACGAGTCAGCTCCGGCCCATGCATGAGGGTTGGCCTTGGATTGCAATGAGCCTATCCGGAAGCAGGCCCGCGCGCTAGCTCCGAGGATCCGAGCCTGTGACTCATTGCAGCTTTGTAAATCAAGAATTGAAGTCACTGCAATCTGACTCTGTATTAGAACTCTTCAATTTTTAGTTGATACAATGTTCCGGGCAGTAATATACATCTGGTCGAGTTAAAGCCTGTCCAATGATGGGGCCATGTGGGTCAACGGGTTCCGACACGTCATGAGCTCGCCAGCTTCATCTCAATTGACGGTCTGGCATGCGATTAACATACATGGACACATAGCAATCGTGTACATCCGGCCAAGCGTTATGGCCAAGACGGTCACATATGTTAGTCGGACACAAATACCTAAGTGATCGGTCATGGTGCGCACACAGACTTAGGTTCCGCGAACCGACTTGAATATCCGCATTCGCATTCGCATATTCGGGATATGTTCGATGCAATTCGCAAACACAACCGCAATCTCTTTCTGGTTTTACCACCTGAACAGTTCGATCCAGTCCAATTATCCTCTCGAGTGTCGCCGTCGACATGATCCTAAGACTGCCACCGTTTGCGTTGACCGGGTGCAGGCTCTACATTCATAACCCGGCACTCGCTGTTTTGACGGTCAAGCTTCACAACCCAAGCTATGAGACTTATCGGGCTGCATTCAATTTCCAAAACAGCCCCTTCAGACGCTACCGGTCAGATATCCGCACAGAATAAAGTACTTCTTTCCCGTGACAAGCTGTCGAACGGGCTCGACCCACGTGTACTTGTTAGCACCGTTGAGGGCATAGTTGATGTACTGCGGTTTGCCCTTGGCAAAAGCGGCCAACAATGCAGCAGCCACCTCCGGGGTTTCGCTTTCCTGCATAATGAGTCGTCGGCAAAGTGTTTAAGGCCGAATCACTTCTGCCTAATCAAAACGGGATCCACATTAGGCCTTGTTGTTTGAACTAGACTGCCGACCGTTTTCACTCCGCACAAGAAGCACAGCTCTTGACCGATGAAGCGGATACTCCTGAGCTAGGAACAAGCTGTGCAAAGCACTGCGTGGTGCGAAGGCTCACAGCAGTACTGCAGGCTTGGAAACTAGCCGGCCAGACACAGACATGTTTTAAGTTGATTCACAATAGTGCGTCAGCCAGCCCATTACATAGTCGATGATAAGGACGAGGTTGACTGCAAGATCGGCGTTTGCAAGTCAACAGTTCTTGATTCGTTTCACGACTGATGATGAGAAAAGAGCAGCGTATAGAAAGCGGGCCTGGACGGACGGAAGCGCCTACCACTGGGGGTTTTCCGGCCTTTGCGAAGACGTCGCCGTGCGCCAAACAGCGGTAACCTGTTGCCGGGTCTGCTTCATAAACCTGGATGTAAAAGCCCCCGAGAGTCCTTCCGGGATAAACCTGTTTGTTGACGGCGTCGATCAACGGCTGAGCGTTCGGCGCGAAATGGAGGAGGCGGCCGAAGTTGCTGGCGAGAGTGTAGGCCACCACTGGCGTGCAGAAGGTGTACGTGTTGTAGAGGCACTGCTGAACCTCGGTGTAACCCTGCGGGCAACACACAACTGTGCGTTACTCTCCTTCAAAGTCAACTTTGTTCTTCAGCTGAGAAGGTCACATTCCGTACTGCGGAACTGCAGTCTCTTTCAAATACGACTTTGTCACTGAGCTTCGGAAGCGCGCGTCACGTTGCCCAGTGCACCAAAACGTCGTTGATGTGGCAACGGCCTCACGTTGTGAGAGAACACTTTGTCTGATCGCCGTTCGATCTCCGACTGATTCCAATCATCATAATGGATAACATTGTGTCTGATGCATGCCAGGGTCAAACGGGGCCGCCGGAATATACAACGGTGCGCCAGGGCTTCGACAAGGATCAGACATGTCCGAAAGGTGTCTGAAACCTGTCCGAAGCCTGTCTGATGCGTTTGGACCTTCTGTGGACCGCCTTTGATGACTTTGGCTGACCAAAAAGCTTTGCAATCAAAGCGAGAAGTGGGCAAATACCTTCAGACATACGCCTTTAGCAGTCAACCGTTTAGAAGCTAGCGCTCAACTGAGCTTGAGAAATTCCGGTTAAGGGTTCCAGAATTACTCCAAAGTTTTGGGGCTCGCGGGCTACTCACTGCGAACACGATATAACCCCCCGGCAAAGACGCCACGTAGTTTTTCTTCAGGCCGAGGTCCGCGGCCCCAAGGTTGATGTACTCGTAGGTGCCCCCCCCTCCAACCGCGGCTAAACTTTTGACCACTTGGACGTAGTTTGCGGAAGTAGGGTATCTGATGTCGTCATACTCGACTTGAAAAGGAGTGCCCAGCTCGGACGTGTTTACGAATGCAACCCCGATGGTGTTTGAATCCAGCACCGCAGGATAGAAGCCGTTGGAGATGTACTTCGGATCTTTTTGGTTGATTGCTTCGTATACCTGGAGAGAGGAAGAAAATAAGGCTGTAAGCCCTCCGGGATTGGATACTTGTCGAGATCCACAAAAAGGAGGCTGAAGAACTTAGAGAGAGCTTGCACAGATGACAATTCGAACACGAGTTGACTGCTGCCACCAGAATAATGCTCAATGCGCCCACTCTTCGCAGCTGTGTTCTTGAATTGCTGACACTTATAGTCATGCTGAACACGAGCTGGTTGGAAGATAGGCAGCAGCTGTTTCAATGAAGAAAACGGCAAAGAAATGAGCAGCTTGGAAGGTGTCTTTCCGTACCTTTCTCGGGTCGCTTGCAGCTTTCACGTCAGCAATCACTCTGTCGACCAGATTGCGCATGGTGGCATACTCGCAGCCGGTTTCCTTGGTCTTGGGACTCGTGCTGCAAGTGGGCACTGAGAAAGACCCATCCTGCACAGCATCATGTATCTTAGCTTCGTGACAAATGTCCACTTTCAATTGGCGCCAGGCCTTGACATGTGAGTCCGACTCGAGTCCGACCTGAAGATCAATCTGGCTTCCTTATCATGCAAGCAGCCGAACACCTTGAATATCAGCGGTAAGAAACGGCTCTCTCTTCCGCTTAGGTGGGCGATCATTTTCAAATGCAGACAGGCACGTGGCCCCCGCACGCTTGCGGCCGAGTTGAGAAAAGCAAGATTGGCAGAGCACAAATCTATCGAGCAAGCTCGTGGCTCAATCTCGAAACGAGGACGTTCCTAAGGACGACACGTTCTGAGCAGGAAGCAATGCAGCATAATTCGCGGAACCTATTCCCATGCACAAAGCTCATGTCGAAAAAGAAGTGGCTCGTACCGGCAGTTGAAGCGGTGCTTGGGAAGTCAAGTAGCCTGACAAGACGAAGAACTTCCTGCCCGTAACGATTTGCTCAACGGGCTGGAGCCACGAGTACTTGACGCGGCCATTCGTAACATAGCTGATGTACTGAGGTATCCCTTGGTTGAACGCATTCGTCAGCACGGCAGCCACGTCTGGTGTCTCGCTTTGCTGCGACAAAACGACCTAGGGTCAGCTCAAACGCAGGCCCGAAACTGAAGACGTGGCCCTAAAATGCAACAGCAGCCTTGCAAGAGCACCACAGAGCGATAGCGAGCTTCCTTCCCATCGGTCGTTTTGCGCCTTATTGTAAGTTTTGCTGACATGCATGTGTTTGCGTATTATCAACGGCTGATGCTCTGTTCTAAGAGCCTCGGCCCACCACATCGACTTCTAGCTAGCGATGTGAATTGGGCCTTGATTCTGCCTGATCTGAATTCCGACACATGGTTTGGTGCTTTGAGTCGGAAAGGGGTACAAGGTTTGCAAACGACTCAGGAAGCCAAACCCACTGGCGCCTCGAGTTTCCAAAAAGGCGACAAGAGAAGTCGGAGCAGGAAAAGGTCCCACCTGAGGGGTTGAGCCAGCTTTTGCGAAGTCGGCCCCGTTTGCCAGACATACATATCCGGTTGCAGGGTTTGCGTCATACACTTGAACATAGAAGCCCCCAGGGAAGACCCCTGGGAAGACTTGCTTGTTGACGGCATCGATCAATGGCTGGGGGTCTGGCTCAAATGTCAAAGTGTTGGCAAAACTGGTCCCTAGTGTGTAGGCCGCTACCGGGCTGCAGAATGTATAAGTGGCGTACAGGCACTCCGCGACCTCAGTGTACCCCTGAAAAAGCAAGAAAGAATGAGCTTAATCAATGGTTGAATACTTTTCGCACATTAGCAATACTGCTTCACTGCAGAGATGAAACGTGTTTTTGGTGTAGTGAGACTTGGGAATGCATTCGTGGACTAGAACTGCCCACTTGAATAAGCAGTGGCTTCTTCTGTTGAGCTTGTTCAGAGAAGCAGCTTCAAGCGTGGGTAATCGGTATCGAAGCATCCCCCCAAAGTACTGCTGATTAGGCACTTGTCTCGTTAGCCAGTCAGACCTTCAAACCGTGGGCACCAAATGCGTCTAGGTTGAGATTCGAGACTAACAAGAATAAAGTAAACTTACGGCTCCCACAACAAATCCATTTGGAAGGCCTGCAATGTAGCCCTTCTTCAGACCTAGGCCCCGTGCGCCAGTGAAAAGATATTCAGTGGTCCCTCCGCCAGCTGCCGCTAGTGCCTGGTAAGTCTGAAAAAAGTTGGGGTATATCGGGATGCCGATGTCATTGTTTGCCTCAGCCTGGTACTTCCCAACACTGGAGACATTGTTGTGCGCAACGCGCCGGCCCACGTTGTCATACACGAACGCGTAGAATCCCTGGAAGTTGTACCGGGGGTTGCGGGCGTTGATTGCGGCATAGACCTGCAGAGGCAATGCTACTGTATATGAATTCATGCAAATGGATAGCAAGAAAACCTCACAGCTGATAGAGACTGGCTGGACTCAAGTGTATCAAGATTACACCCTTACTCCCATTAGGCGTGCACCCTGCTGCCCAGATTGATCATTGTTCTATCTGACAGTTGTGAGCTACTTCCCGTTTACTATTCATGCTCTTATAAGCAAGCAAGCCCACATTCGAAAGGACCTGCAGGCCCTTAGCAACAACTGTAAAACAGACAGGCAGGTTCTCAGGACACCACAGCTCTTGGATCTTGGTGAAGCGCTCCGGTGCCTTGTCAACAAACTAGAAGCGAACTATCAGTCAACTGCGTCTAGTGGTAGCACCCGCCTGGATAACATAGCAAGTATCTCAATCCATCCATGACATGCAATGCACCACTGCCACTCTCGCATTAGAGCTATCAAGACTTAAACAAGCAAAGACCCGTTGCTCAAGGTTGGGCTTCCAAGAAGAAGGTGAAGTGGACTTCGAGCGCGGGTCTTTACATCTTCAGGGTCGCTTGCTGCCGCAACGTCTTCAATCACGTTGAGCACCAGGTCCCGGCTGATTGCCAGCTCACAGCCAGTCTCCTTGGCTGGGTCGTTCACACAGTTGGTGATGGATTGCGGCTGGGACTGGCAAAGCGGCTGCAAATGAACAAAAATACTGTTGCCTTCCGCGGGTGTTTCCTATATAAGGGGTGGATTTGAAAGAAAGTGAGCACATACACACAGGCTCACACAAGTTAAAGCAATAGATGCAGCCAGCTAGCACACCAGGAAAGGCTGTAGAGGTGAACAACTTGGCCCCAAATTTAATCACATGCCCTAGACCATGTCTTCTCTGATGCATCTACTTATTGGTAGCCCTTTAAAGAGCTACTTTCCGGTGGCATTGAAGGTGACATGACATGGTCTTTGTGGAACCTCAGTGTAGCGTGGCAGCGTGCCCTTAATGCAGGCTGTAGCAGATGGGCATGCATCGATCCAGAAGCTGGTCTTAGTCCCCGGTGCCATGATATGATGACAACTCCTTGCTAGGGAAAGGTGCTTATGCGCGTTGCCGTTGCATTAGCGCGCCACAGCATTGCAGCAAAACGTAGCAAGAAATGCAAATCACAAAGAGAACAGCGTAGATATGTTAGAAGTATTTGCGCACTGCCACTCGGGCCACACTGGCGCCAGTGTGGCCCGAGTGGCAGTGCGCAAATACTTCTAACAAAAATGCGGTGACCGGACTGGGTTCGATTCCCAGCGAGAACGCGAAGTTTTGCGGATAATTACAGTGCAGATTGAATCACACAGCTGCTAAAATGAGCTCAGCAGCAAATGCTTACCAGCTGTAGACAAGCAACGGCCCCCACAAGCAGTACTAGAAGGTAGCTCAGCTGCTTCTTCTCCATGGCGCCCACTTTTAATAACGTCAGGGAATTCGAAAACCCAAGAATGACTTTGGCTTCAGTTCAAAATATACGACTCTTTCGCCCTAGTGAAGTTCTCAGGAATTAGGTACCGGTAGGTAGCGCAGAGCGGTACTGGGTGAATGATCCAAAACCTGCAACTGTGTCGAATTGACTGCACAGTGTGCACTTTGCACTCCTGATCGAGGCTGTGTTCAAGTGCGGCAGGAGTCAGTGGACCAGTGCAGGCGGGCAATGCAGCTACCTACGTCCTAGTTAGCTGGCACGGTACAGCAGGCTGGCGCAGCACTGGTCTACAGACTAGGGTCCTACCGTATGTAGGTACCTACGTAGGTACGTATAGCCCAGGGTCACCGCCGACCGGATGATATCTTTTCAAATTTTGAATGATATCATTATTGCTAATTTTGCCTTTTCAAAACCAATGATATATAAATGATACCAGACACGTCACTCAGCCGCTAACAGCCAGTCTATAAGGGGTATATGCACTGAATTTGTGTGCTGATACTTGTTGTGTCACTATTCGACGTCTCGAAAGCATCTCCACAAAGTTTACCCGACCGTATAGTCGAACATCGAAAGTTGGGTCCAACAAAATGTTTATATTCAGGTTGGAGACGGAGAAAACCCCTAAACCCTCATATCATTTTCTAACAATAAAAAAAACCGATTTTTTGCGATGATATCATAATTGCTAATTTGGAGCTTTTCAAATCGATTGCTATCATTCATCATCCGGTGACCCTGGTACTACTATAGCCTATCATACCGTAGGTCTGTACCACCATAGAGGGGTACCGTACGTGCCGAAGAGGCTCAGTGTACACACGGGCTCTGCCAATCACAGTGTACACACGGGCCACGGCCGCATACCGATACCGTACCGGAGACAGCTGACTCCTGTGGATTTGAATTAATTTGGTCCGACGATACCGGTAGCCTACGTAAAGGTTTTGACCGGTAGCTACTGCCAATAGGCGTCGGACTCCGCCCTGAAGCAGCTGGCAGCGGAATCTGGTCCCGGCCGGAACTCAGCAGCGCGCAGACAGTATCATTGGCATGTGTCTGGTTCGTTTACTAGTCAGTATAATAGGACGGATATGTGCCGGCCGATTATAACCCATTTTACTTGAAGCATTGGCCTTGGAAGACCTCAACACTGATCGACGAGCTCGGATCCATTCAGTCGAAGAAGACTCCTCCAAAGTTGCAAAATCGAACCCCGTCGTCTAATACCTCCAGATGAAAGAAGTTTGAGAGAGTTGAGACGATGTTTCACCGTTCAAGTAGCGACGACGGCTTTCTCGGTTCAGCTTCAACCGGTTCTTGCCACATTTCAGGCGTTGATGCTTTGGTGTAGACGGCGGCGTTGCACCGCATCACTTGCAATATGTGGCCGTGCAGGGAGCGACTGAGTTTAAGTCATATGATAGTAGCCGATCGAAATGCCAGAGATACACTCAGTACGTTAGACGTCACGAAACTTAAGCCGATCCATCGCAGTCAATGCTTACTCCGAACTGTACGTGCGTATGCAGATCCAAGATGGTCGGCTTATTGGTTCATTCGCCACCGGCCATGCAACAAATGATCAAGATAAGAGCGCCTTTGAAAACATCGAAGATCTCTGTCTTCGCTGCAGATAGTTACACACGACTTTCCCTGCCCGACCATTCGAAAGCCAACGAGGAATATTCAACAACGACATCTCGACTCTTACACTACACCATAGTAGTAGGCTTCGCTCGGCAAAGTCAAGGCGGAAGCACGACGAAGCAACGCGCAAGGCTTTGGAACATTGATACACCAGACTTGCGCCTCGGAGCGCAACTGGCTTAGGGTATTACTTCGTAAACCCTTCCGCTGCGTATCCGCACTAAGGCTACGTAACGGTGCCCGGCAGATTACTCTGTATGCGAAGCTTCCATGGTGTAGCAGGGCGGCGCGCTGCTTACTTGGCCAACAGCTTAGTATCTAGGTCTCCTCTTATCAGGTGCACACTGATGCTTTCGATATTTTATGCTTTCGATATTAATCAATGAATAACCAATGCTTTCGAAGTTGATCTTCCTTGTTCGAGAACGCTCGCCGGGCAGACCGCCTGTGAAAGGTGGTTTCGTGAGACTTTTTGCAGAACAACATATGATGTGACTCGCGTAGCCGCGCCGCCGCTTAAAGTGCGCCGGCCAAGCGATGATGACTCCCAATCAGTACTCACGGGCTCCGTGTTGAGATCAGTCCTGAGGCACCCTTGCTGGGAGTGAAACCTTTGCAAGGCCCGGTCTTAAATTTAAGCTCTATCTACAGAAATATCGTCTCAGGATCTGCAAGGCTGGTGTTACTCTCCTCTGAGAACAGCTCATTGTCCGCCACGCTGTCGAAGCTCGGCAGGAGCACCGCGGCCGGCGTCGACCACCGCGCCCTTTGCCGCCTCGCGGCCGCGGGCGACTGCCGCGCGCCCTCAAACCCCAAAAGCCGCGCGCCCGCGACGCTCTGGGGCCGCTTGCTGTGGAAACTTTCTCCCGCTCTAGTTCTCGGCGGCTCGCTCCTAGCAACGGACGGTGATCTTGACGTCCCGGTCTGCGCTCGGGAGGATCCGGTTGCCCCGACAGAAGCTGGCGTCACCCTGCCCGTTCCAATCCCTGATGCGACGTCATCGACGAATTTCTTACCCTCGTTCCGCTGATGGACGCCGCCGGGGACGGATCCGCTCCCCACGTCATTCTGCTCGTGCGCGAGCGGGTTGCTGAACGCGCGCCACTCCGCCGGGCTCGGCAGCTTTTCCGGCGCCGGCACGGGCCTCACTCGGGGCGGCGAGTACAGATTCCGCGGCGGACTGAGCGGGCGCTCCCCTCCAAACGGATCCCCAACTCTTATCCTCCGGGCACTCGTTCTCCGCACAGCATACTCGGGGCTTCCCACCGACTGCGGCGAGAAGCTCGCGTGTCTAGTGGGGCCCAGCGACCGGGGCTTCCTCCCGGCCGGGCTGCTGAAGGACCAGCCGCGCCGGCGCGGGGTTTGGAGGGTTGGCGTGGTCGCGGCCGCGGCCGCGCTCGCGTCGTCTTCCCCGGGGTCGGACGTGTAACACTCGACGGCGGTGCGCAGGCGGTGGGAGGTGTCTTCGACGGCGGCGGTGTAAGCGGCCCACGCCTGGAAGTGGTCCGTCACGAGGCGCGTCCCGCGGTGGCGCCCCGCGCGCGCGTGAGCGGCGCGCTTGCGCTTCCTGCAGTGGGGAATACCGGTTTAAACACAGAAATTGAATGTCAACAAGGCACTGTTCTGCTACAATGTTGTGGCTGCATATCAAGCTGTGGCTTGGTTGCACGGTTTTGTTTTCCTGAGAGACTTACCCTAGCCTGTTCCGAGCATCACGCGCTCAGAATCATGACCCGCAAGAGTCTATGTCGATGAATGCAGGACGAGGGGGCCTCGAGTCTTTGAATCGTTTCAACTTTTATCTGAAGGAGGCAAATCATGTTGAACCCTTGATCAGTCGACGCCAGTGAGTACCCACGTGTCAGACGTCCTACGTCAAACCCTGATCACCACGAGTGTGAGACGTAACACACAAAGTGAAGTGTAGAGTGCATCCAAGATGCACGTCTATTCCACAAAAAACTTAACCCGCCTACCTTTCAATGGTTCGGTCCCTCCAGCCCTTGACAGCCGCCACCGCGCGCGTCCGTTGCTCCCCCGCATCCAGCATCGCCCAGCAGCGCGCGAGCGCGCCCCTCCGCTCCTCGCACAAAGCCATAAACCCTTTCCACCGCTGCATGCTCCGCCAGAGTTGGTTCGCGGCCGCAAACGCGCGCGCCGCGCCCTCGGTCTCTTTCTGCTGGGCGATGACCTGGCGCCAGAGCTGCCACGTGGCGGCCTTGGACTGGCGAAGGCGGCGCGCGGAGAAGGCCGCGACGCGCGCGGAGCGTTCTTTGTGCGCGCGCCACGTGGCGAAGACGGCGTGGCAGAGGGCCATCTGGCGCCTCCTTGCGCTGCAGAGGTGAAATTAAGGACATTGATGCACGTGTCCAAACAGTCATGATGCTCCCACAAGTTGTTAAAACTTGTCACAATTTTTTTTGCAGCTTCATGCTACAAGGCATGACTCTCACATCCGCATTTGTATCGCAGTGGAGTTTTGCGGTAATGTGGGGGATGAGTGCAGTTTCAAAGCATCAGTCGAAGTGCAAATCTTGCTGTCCACATGTTCCATCACTTCTGCCGAACGTCGACCTTCAACTTTGCCGGTTTCCTGCTTTTTGATTCTCAACACTAATTGCTTGAAGCGGGCTACCCCCAACAAACGTGTCATCAAAGACAATTCTGAAGCAAGTAACACTCATAGAAGGTCAGTGTCAGAGCCCCGACCTTTTTTCGGCGACCACGTACGCCTCCCGGAGCGCGAGCTGTCGCCGGTGGTGCTCCTCCCGCGTCACCGCCATTTCGTGCGCGAGCTGCTGCCACGCCCACATCATGCGCTGCACGCGCGTCGACGTGATGACGGACGCCACGTCAGCCGCGCGCGCGCGCCAGTAGGCCTTCTCCGCATGGCGCGCTCGCCAGGCCTGGTTAAACGGGAGAGAATGCAGTGTCGAGATTGAGTTACACGATGAGAATTCAAAACCCCGTTCACCAATCTGTGCCTCTAAACGGGACTCCAGATTCAGCTTCCATATAAACGGGGTCTTTGGTATTCCAGCTTTTTTGTAAAAGGCTCGCGGCCTCTTCGTCAGTTGGTCACTCGAAGTAACCCAGTATTGCAGACCGGATTTTCTGATATCACACCCAACCTCGAATCCATGCTACTGCCCCAAGCGTTCCTTTCTGACGGGTCTCTTTTAGCTTTGCCTCTTGAGATCCAAAGGCCTCAAACGTCCTTGTATCTTATCATCTGAACCGTTGATCTCAATCATAAAGCTAAGAAATAACTAGAGTGGGGTCACCCACCAGCAGAGTCCTTCGGAGGATTCCGACTCGGTGGTGCCGCATCGCCGTCGCGGCGTGCTTCCAGTCAGCGTAGCATTGCGCCACGTGGCGCCGGAGGTTGCTCGCGGCGAGCTCCTTCTCCAGCGCCAAAAGGTGCTTCCTGCACATGATGTCAGCGGGACGTCAGCATATGGCTACATCTGGTACGACAAGAAGGAGCGTGAGAGTGGTTTTTCTCCGCAGGCTAATGTTTTACTCTCCTACCGGGGTTTGTGCCAGCAAGCAGACAGGATATTATCAAGTAAAATGTCACACGACGTCCTCGACAAGTCAGTGGCCTTCCTTACTTGTGAGACACAACTTCCTTCCAGGCCAGGAACGGGTCCCGGCACAGCTGGTGCGCGCGCACGCGCTGTAACCGCTTCACGGCCGCGCACTTGGAGTGCCAGCGCGACCAGGCCTGCAGAAAGTTGCGCGAGACGTCGTCAAGCGGTGGGAGCAAAGGCACCCTTTCGTGTTTTCTGCTTTTTAAATGCAGAGAAAGAGCGTCGATCATTTCAAACTTTCTCTGCTTCTTTGATAGCACAGGAAGAGCGTAGATCAAGTCAACCGTATGATTACTTCTGACAGTAAGAAGAGGAGCGAACAAACTCTTCACCTTCCTCTCTGTCGTAATGTGCTGTCACTAACTCTCAGGAAAATTCACTTCTGCCAGAGTTGTTGGCCCGAAAATACGAGGACGCTCTCTGAAGACCAAGAAGGATTGGCTCAGACTTGGTGCACGTACCCGTAGCGAGCGGATCAAGGACGATCGGACGGCGCACTCCGCGGCCGCCTCGTCGCGCCAGATGGTGCGGTGGAGCTGGAGGGCGAGCAGCGTCTGCACACGGAACGGTTTTAGACTCTTGGGATTTTAGAAACGGCACTTCTTAAAAGCATTTCGAATTCATTGAATCAAGTCACATCGTCATCTGAGGACGAGTTCTTGAAGTGGAACAGCAATTGGGTGGGTGTCTGATTTGAAGGGGGACTTTGACAAAGCTTGGCTATGATCTATTGTCGCGTTTTGAGACCCGGGGTTAGGGGAACAAGATACAATCGTACGGGTATGCGCGCATTCCTTTCTTTGTTTTCCAAGTCACACTAGAGCTCTGCATATCAGACCTATTGAGAAGGAGGGATCTGAAGCTCGAATCTATCCAAGTGTGCATGAGGGAAGTCGAAGCAATCGGGGTCATTCCCACCTTCCGCTTCAGCCGCCTTGCCCCTTGCGTGAAAACGCTCCACTCCCGGAACGCGGCCGCGCGCGCACGCCGCTCGCTTAGAATTGTCATCCGTTCTACGACGGCCCGGTGGTGCGCTGACGTGGCAGCGACGTCAACCCAGCTGTTAAAGACGGCTCGTGCCACGGGGTTTTGGAAGGCGGCCAGCGCGTACGCGGCCGCGGCTCGTTGGTCTCCGAGAGTAGCGACGCGGCTCCGAAAGCCGTCGAAGGCACCTGCCTGTGGAGACGGGGAACTTGTGAACGACAAAGCGAACGTTGGAAAAGCAATCAGTGTTTTCAGGAGGTGATCGAGGTCGGAAATATGCAGAGTCTCTTGTTCCTGTTCATGCAGTGATCAAGAAGCTGCAAGAACAGTAAGGAGACAGTAGTGTTGCGGGTGGGGTGAGTTGGGGGTTAAGGAGGTGTGTGCGCGTGCGGAGCGCGTATACCTTTTGTTTATCGAGTCAAGGGCTGGTTATCCACTGAGCTTCCGCTTACGATATCAAGACACACGGTCTATACGCACGATGTACCAAATGCTTCCTTCTTGTATCCGTGTTTCTCCCACCGACTCAAGGACTATTTCAGAAATGCCAGGGAGGTTTACATGAGCTTGTGATAGAAGCTGCGTCGTCTGGAGACAAGGCAGTCTCGGACTGTTCTCTATCACGGAAACGGTAGCGGAACCGGAATCGGAAATGGTAACGGAAAAGGAAGAGCTTCTCACCAGCTGCACGTTCCTCCAGCGGAGCCCCGCTTTGGTCACCGTGTCGCGCAGCCGCTTCTGCTCGCGCACCCCCTCCCGCCACCCTTGCAGCGCGGCGTGTGCGCGATTGTACGCCCACGCGCGCAGCGCGCGCTCCAGGACAGCCTTCCACCGGTGTGCCTCGGCAGTGTGCTCGACCCTACAGATTAGGAGGGGAAGTTTTGAGCTCGAGAACGGTTTGGTTCATTTCAGGAAAAGGTGTTTCTGAAGTGCATCGGCCATCTAGAGGATCTTTGACCTTCCTTCTGGGAAAATTTTGCTCCTAAAGAACTCCTTGAAGATGGCTTGTTCTGTCAGCCTCTCAAGTAGATTTAAAAATTTCAGGGGGGAAACAAAGGCGACAAATAATCTTAACAGAGGGACGTTGTAGTAGGTTGAGTGATCTACCCCCTTCAAATACCTTTGGTCAGGAAGGCTCCACCGAAAAAGATCTTGCAAAACACTAGCATTCCGTTGAGATGAGAGTTTTTGAGGGCATCCAATCTGCGCTTAAGCAAAAGGGATCAGTGTCGCCCAAAACAGGGCCTCACGCCTTACCAGCTCGCCAAAGCGCCCGCCTGCAGCCTCAGGCGGGCCCTGTAAACGACCGCGTCAACCACCGCCACCCGATGGATCCTCTGGTACGTACTGTTGCGCCACGTGGCGAGCAGGGCCTTGAGCTCCGCCATGGTGACGTCAGGCGCGGCGCGTCCGCCGCGCCGCACGGCCGCGCGCGCGTCTCTGACCTGGAGCGCGACCTCGCGCCAGCGCGCGAAGGCGGGGCCCGCGCACCGCGCGAGCCAGTGGCGGTGCGCCTGGCGGAAAAGAGGGTTAGGATGCTCGTCATGATCAGGTTAGTGAAAAGATTGTGGGTTGCATGATATCGGTTTAAACCGTCTCTTTATGTTTGATGAACGAACAATTTGGACAAACCTGGAGATCTCAGGTTCTGGGGTGTTTGGATTGGTCATCCTCGGGGCCTCAAGCTGACAAGGTCGCGTTCGATCTTCTATCTGTATCTTATCTCGAACTCTAACGGGATGAAATGTAAAATCTTCTTTGAAGGGACCGAAAGAAGAAAACTCCGATTCCGGTGATAAATTTGGGAAGCTAGTGCGTGATGCAGGCGTAGAGAGCCAGAACAGCGCGGCCCTTCTCAGCATGGAGTAATAGGTGGAGGTTATGCACAATTCGTACAGAACACCATGAAAGGAAGGGCTGAAAGGAGTTTGTAAGGCAGATGAGACGAGTGGAGCTCCGTACCACGTTGATGGCTCTCCTCTTGGCCTTTTGTGCGCGCGCGGTTCGCGCCCAGTTCAGAAACGCCCCGCCTAGCACGTGTGCGCGCTGGAAGCCCCGCACTGCTCTCCGCAAGAACTGCGGGACAGCGGAGTGGCGGAGTCAGCGGAACAGCGGATCGGCAGAGCCAGGGGAACACCAAAAGACAGTGGCGTTCGGGCGGCTTCTGTTACGAAGCCAATGTTCGTGCTGATGCAGGCCCGCTCGCTGCTTCACGCAATATACTTGGAGAAAGGTGCAGTCGCCAGAGTACAGAAGGCCACAATTACACGCACAATGGGGAGGCTGAAGGTTCGAACGTTTAGCAGCTCTCAAGCCAGCACATCAGACAAGGTTACCCTTTGAGAGATGGGATTCTCAAAGACCGTCCGGCTCACCCGCTGACGGTGTGCGTGCGCGTGCCACGCGCGCACTTGGCAGCGAGCTGCTGCCTGGGCGCGCGCGGCGCGGAACACCACGACTGCACAATACAGCGTAACGTCAGCGCAGTGGGAAGGCATCGAACGTCGGATGCTTCGTCGTTCTGCTAAGTTGGCGGATCCGGTTATGAAAAGGAGCGATCACAGAACAGAATTGTCGGGCTCTTGTCTGCTCTACGTTGCTACAAGAGAAAGGAACATTGAAGGACGAGGTTGTTCAAAAATACAAAGACGTGGACTGAGGCATGTTTTTGACCGAGCCTTTGAATGTCCTGAAATTGAGATCAAGCTGTCGTCCTTGCGAAGGGGGGCGCTTCGAAGAAACATCGCAAAAGGCTCTCAACCCTCAAAGAAGGAGGATTTCGTAGGTGCTGAGAGCTGCTAATTGCGGAAATACGGCCAAATAATAGAACATCAAAGCCTGATTGAAGCCCGCATTCTGAAGAGAAAGAGATACGATTTGAAGCTGCGGTTGTTCAGCGAGACTTACCAGTGGCCGCGACCGCCTTCTTCATGTCAGCAATCCCCTTCCATCTCAAAAGCACGGTCCTCAACCGGAAGTTCTCCATCCGAATGAACACCAGAGTAAAGAACTCAAGCCGCGCGCGCCTCTCCGTAATCTGCACGTGACGTCATTGCAAGCTTCAGGACGGCGGCTGACGTCGGACAACGAACTTTGTTTTTCCATAACCCTGAAGCTGAAGCTTCAGCCTTCAGCAGGCATCCTCTGGCAGGCTATCCCGATGAAGGCGACCACAATAACTGAATAACTTCAATAGAGCGATTGCCGAGAAATCCAAATTCTGCTCGAAACAGGGAACGTATGGCGTTTCGACATACGGACGGCAACAAGTCATCGCTCCTGCGTACAATCCAATTTGCAGACGTGTCTGAACGTTTGCTTTCGCCTCAGCAGGCTGTTTTTGCCGGCCCTTGACATGAGAGGGCCACCCAAAGTGGCACCGTCGTCGCTTTCATGCTTAGAATCTGCTCTGGATTAACGCAACTCTCAATGCAAGAAACATTAATTGAGCTTCAACGGAAGTTCATCTGAGGTCAAGATAAGGTCTATTCGAGCTTTTTCTGGCATGTGCTGACGTACCAGCTGTCGCCAAGAGACCCATCCCGACTGCTTCAGCCGCCGCGCGTAGGCCAGCAGCGCACGCGCGTTGGCCTCCCGGGCAGCCTGCCGAGGAAAGCAAAGACGATTGTCGAGCGAGCTTTCAATTTCGGATTTAGAGGACAGGAGCACCTTTCCAAAGGGTGGAAGTGCAAACCCCTCGGAAATGTTATAGTAGCTTCTCTCGATTGTTCACGGCGCCGGACTGTTAGATTTTGACTTTCAAGGGTGAGCCCAAAATCCTCGTCCAGAGTCCGCTTGACGGAAGAGACACAATACCAGCACCCACTACCGGATTCGGCTCCACGACTCGCCTACTTTAGCGGAAGCGCAAAAGAAACAACCGAAGGCCGAAAGGCCAGACTGTGTGCATTGCCGCCATTGGCTTATCAGGTCGGTTTCAAATGCTCGATAACCTAGAATCTGCAGTGTGTATTCAGCTTGCCATGATTTTCTTGATTTGAAAGCTTCTTTTCTGCTTCCCCTCTTCCGTTTTGCCGCTTATATGGTCGGACGCGCTCACCCTCAGCGCCCGCACCCTCCTCTTCCAGGCGTGCAGAAGCGTCCGCATCCAATGGCCCGCTGCCAGGTGTGCGCGCGCGCGCTTCTCCCGCTGGAGAGCGCAATACGACGTCCACGACCGGAAGTGCAATTCTGCGCGGCAAATACGGGGTTTTAGGTCGTGTGGAGACATGCTTCTACATTTGGCAAGGTCAACAAGCAGGGGATTCCGTGCCAGGAACTTTTCTACCTTGTGCTTCAGCAGGGACTAATATCTGACAACGAAAATTAACAAGAGACCTGTAAGAAGACGGAAGACACCGGCAATGACAGTACGACGAAAGACGATCAAAGTGCCGTATGTCCAGCTTTGTAACTCTTTGTCTCAGAGATCTTCCGGAGGCTTCAAGTTTCTGAACAAAAATCACACGTTATGCTCCAGAGATCTACTGACTCGTCCCGTTCTAGAAAACAGCAGAAACAAATGATGCTTTCAGGTCGTCTCGTTAAAATCCACATCACCCCCGCCGGCTCACTTTTCGCGTTCCGCTCGCGCATCCCCTCCCCCCACCGCCGCCGCCTCCCCCGTTCCACCGCCAGCCTGAACCCCGCGACCGCTGACGTCAGCAGCCGCCGGTAGCGGCTCTCGAGCGCGCGCGTGGTGTGCGCGCGCGCGAGCTCGCGCTCGTGGCACCATTCGAGCCAGCGGTCGAACGCGAGCGCCTGCTTTAGGCACTCCCAGCGCGCGAGCGCGCGCAGAGCGCGCTCGCCGAGGGGCTTTCCGTGGCAGAGCGCGGCAATCTGCGGAAGGACGACTTGGGTAAGGGTACTACGAGATCGTCTTGCTCTGATGGATGATTTGCTCCAGCTTGCAAACGATGTTGGTACGTAGGTTGGTCTTCATCAAGTACTGGCTCTTCCAACCAAGGCAAGTATTACTTTGGAGAGATCCTCCCACAAAATAAGTAAAGGCGGGTAAATGGAGAATAACAACCTTTTAAGGGCGTTTGCTGATCGCCGTCGACGTCTTTTATTTCGTTTGAAATTCATCGTTCAACAGTCAAAGGAAAAGTGGTTGATAAAAGTGTTTGGGTCAAGTTGGAGTGAGCGGCTCATTCCTCTGTCTCATTCAAAGATTGTGCCCCTGAGCGAAAGAGTTCTGCAGCAATGGTCATCCCGTACAGCCGCTTTGTCCCAAAACCTGCCTGATTCCCCGAGGCATATCCGAGCGGAGAAAAAGGTTTCAGTCATGCTACGTCACGTGAAACGAAGTCGATAGCAGTCGCGTATTGAACTTTTCCGGTGCGCTTCCAACTATCGACACTCACCCTCGCAACCTCCGCTTCCTCCTTCCTGATGTTCTTCGCGGTGTCAAGCCAGTCGCGCAGAATCTCGCGCAATCGCTCTGTCCGCACCCGCTCGTACAGCGCCGCGGCCGCCTTGCGCGTCCAAATAAGGCGCACCCACGTGCGGAATGCGCGCCCCAGCGCGCCCACCTGCCAGTTGCGCAGGAGCGCGCGCAGCGCGCGCTTGACGCGCACGTTCTCGCGCAGCTCGAAAAAGGCGCCCGCAAGGAGGTCGCGCCGGTACTGCGCTTTGACGCGCACGGCGAGTTGGTCGGCGGCGCTGTGGAAAAGCAACAAAGCGAAGACAATCAGTGGCTAGTAACCGGCGAACGTGTAAACGATGCTCGTCAGGAGGTTCGAAGGGCCCTTGTAGCGGTTCAAGACGAAAAAGCATCAACGGGGTTTGAAGGGATTTGAATCTGCCTTTCGGAAGATATGGCCCGTTAATCAAACCGAATGCCTTGACTCAGAAACTGTTGAGCTGAGTCAACTGCCTGCTAGAATCAAAGCAAAGCTTACACGAGCTGGATTTGCGGAAAAGGGGATGCCTCCGCGTCTCTGAATCTCAAAATAAGAGCGACATCTCCTTCCCGCGCCTACTTTGAATTACTTTCATCTCAAGGGAAATAAGAAATCAACCAAACGCCGTCGGTGCCAAATTATGTGCGCGAGCTCACCTGACGATTTCCCTCACGCACTTAACGTACTCGCGCCACGCGGCCCACGCCTCTGCTGCCATCTTGCGGTCGTACAGCCGCCGCGCCTCTCGCTTCACCTGACGCATGCCGGCCGCGTAGCGGAAACCCTCCAGCGCGGCCGCGAGGAGCCGCCGGCCGCGCTTCTCGCGGAGCAGGTTCACGCGGAAGATGGTCTCCATGCGGTCTCTGTCGGGAAGGAAATCCGGGTTGGTGTTTGGTCTGGATTGCTAACCCGGTTGTGAATCCAAAGAAAACAGTGATTTATGCGATTGAAGGAACGTGAGTCAAGAAACTTGAACATGGATCGTGTTGATATAAGACTTGGAAGGGTGCTTTTCCTCGATTGACGTCAGATAATGCTCAGCCTTTCAGATTCAGTTCTCGCTTTGTACTTCGAAGTTATGAAGGAAGGCCGTGCGAGGTTCATGAAGAGCGGCGGACAGTTGTACCAAAAGAATTGTGCAGGATCGCCGCACGCATTGGTGACGTGACAATTTTCGCACACAACGCATGCTTCGCAGTACCACACTAGAAGTTTGGTTTTGAGAAAGTCGCGCGCGAGCCCTCACATCCAGGACGCGAGCGCTTTTCTGAGCAGCCGCGCACAGTCGTGCTCGACGGCCATGTCCTCCACCGCGCGCGCGGTTTGCTCCGCCTCCGTCACTTCCCTCCACTGGTGAAACGCAGTGTACAGCTGGCGCTGGGTTAGCAGGACCACGGCGCGGTTAAGCAAACCCAGGCGGCGGCGCTTGTCCGCGACCTTGTCCGCCCACCCGTCGAAGGCGCTGCGGAGCGTCCGCTGCTGCCAGCTGGCACGAAATGAGTGGTTGTCAGTTCCAGAGCTTCTGAGATTGAAGCTTACAGTGGGCGTGTAGGCATTTTCGGTCGGGCGGTTGAATAGTTGTCGAAGAGCGTTTGACGGCTACAGAAAACTCTCATCACATATTCAAAGCCCGGAATGCCACTTTGTGATCTGTGGGACGAAAGCCTGATGGAGGAACTAATCTTGAGAATAGAGCAGATTGTGTGCAACCTATCGCTGAAACGTTTCGAGACGTTGCCAATTGACTTAACGAAGGGCTCAACGGGTGCTTACTGGTGGTCGAAAGGAACCCAAAAAGCAGTAGGACACACGAACGGCTACAAATTTTGTCACATAAAATGTCCATGAATGGGTTGCTGAAGTCGTGCCCGACAAGACCGCCCTTTGATTATGAAAGATTGTTCTCCCCGAAAGAAAGATTGCCACTGAGGCAAGGAAAAACACGCAGATTTGCTGAAGAATTATTACCAAGATCACAAACGTAGCACAAAACAAACGAACGGGAACTCCTCGTCTGTATATTATCTGCCGGCTGGAAAAAAGCTCTGTACGGCCTACCTTTTGACAACCGCAGTCAGCACCTTCCGCGCTCGCCGCTTCTCCCGCGCAGTCACGGACCACTCCGCCAAGACCTCCGCCATCTGCTTCAGCGCGCGCCGCGCGCGCGCGCCCTCTAAGAGCGCGCCCCAGCGCGCGTGCTCCTCCGCCCACCCCCTCCAAAACCTCAGAACCTCGCGCGAGACGCGCACTCCGCGCCGCACGAGCGCGCGCTCGACCAAACGTTCCCTCTCGCCGCGCCCCGACACAACCGCCGCCCAGTTCCGCAGAACCGCCGACGCCATCCGCTTCCCGTGCCGGAGCAACGCCTGCTCGACACGTGTCCGCACGTCCTTGCGGTAGAGGAAGCCGTCTAGCCAGCACGAGAAGGCGCCGCGCAGTTGCATGGACCTCCAGAAGCCGACCGCGCGCCTGAGCGCGCGCTTCTTCTCCCTGCGCGATTCCCAGCCGTCGTGCCAGCCTAGGAAGGCGGCGCGCAGCCGGTGCGTGTTCCAGAAAGCGACGGCGCGCTCGAGGCGGCCGCGCTTGTCCGTGCGCGCGCGCGCGAGCTCGCGCCAGAGGCCGAAGGCGCCGCTGAGCTGGCCTTTCTGCCAGTGCGCGAGCGCGCGCCTGCACGAAAGACGTCTGTAAGATTCGCGCTTGGAGGTCTCAAACATATACTACGATAGATGATGTCCTCCAATCTAGGTTGCAAGTATATGTTTGAGACCTGCATACTTAGCGTGTCTGTCTTGTTTAAAGCTTATTTGAAACAGTAGTCTGAACATGCTCATCATCCTTGAAAAGATTGACTGCTTCAATTGTGTGACTAATACCTTAAAATCGTGGCCCTTAGCATTCCAATAATCTGCAACAGATTTCATAGAAAAATTGAGGTCAACTCCTCGACCTTCCGGTTTTCGGACGACTCCTCAACATCGACTCTCCATGCCAAGCACAAGTCAGGCTGGCTTGGAAAACCCAGTTTGGAATTTCTCAAAGACAAAAGTTCACAATTTGCTGTCCCCAGCCATCACCTGGGCTTCCATACGCTACACCCCACCTTAGGACCGGGGCGGTGCCCGCGTGCTCTCGCCAGGCGTGCATCACTCGTGCGGTCTCCCTCTCGCGCCATACGCTATCCGCCCGCTCTTTCGCCTCGTAGCCGCGCGCGCGCTGCTCGAAGTACTCCTTCCACGCGCGGAGAGCTTTGTCCTTGTAGCCGTTGCCGCAGCAACGCCTGGGAGGAAAAGAAAGCTTAGGAGCCGTGTAAAAAGGATCAACGAACGTCAAACAATGAGTACTGAGATTTCATGATGAGACTAAATACAAAGAAAATGGGAGACGTTGTCGAGTGAAAGGAAGACACGCATCGGTCAAACAGTCCCCAAATGCGTTCTCGCTGCGCGATGTAGAGGAATCCTGGGCTCTCGCATCCCGCACTCCCCTACCGTGGAGCCGGCAAGCCTAAGAATGTGACAAGGGCAGGATAGGACATACCTCGGAGAGTTTAATGCTAGAAGCTTGCATCAAAGTGATCGGAAGCACTTCTCGTGATCTGCATACTACCTGTTGGGGTTGAGAGACTGTAATGATATTCGTTGTCTTGCCCTTAACTGCAAGAACCCGATTCTTAATGCATCGAAGGGGGCTGATCGACATGACGAAGCAATGGTCCGCCAAATGATTCAAGCAAACCTTTGGACACGCGTTCCTAATAAGGCGCAGGACCTCTTAGACCAGGGGTTCAAGGAGACTTTTGATCCAGCAGTATATGTTCTGCACAGAGATACACGCCTCGTGCACGCCTCAACTCTGCCTCTAACCATTGTCAGATTTTCATCCCCTCCAGAATACTCAAAAGCAGACCAAAGCCGTTCCACTGAATGACGTCACTCTACGAGCACCGATTCCACCATTGAGCGCCCCCAACCCAGGCCTCCTTTGCCTGCCAGAACATCCCGCTACCAATACGTCTTCTCGAATCCACACAAGATGACATCAGGCTCAACGAGATGACGCCACTCACTCTGCCAGCGCGTTCGCCCGCTCCTTCCACTTGGCGTTCCCCAGCCTGCCCCGGCATTCTGCTCCGAACGAACCAAGTCTCCAAAATCCCACAGAGGATAACGTCAGGCGCAACAAAGTAACGTGACTCACTCTGCCAGCGCGTTCGCCCGCTCCTTCCACTTGGCGTTCCCTGTCTTGCCCGATCATCCCGCTTCCAAAGGGGAAAGTATTCCAAAGCCCACAGACGATGACGTCAGGCTGAATTGGGTGACGTGACTCACTCTGCCAGCGCGTTCGCCCGCTCCTTCCACTTGGCGTTCCTCAGCCAGGTTTGCCACGCCGTCAGGCAGCGCAGCAGGCTCTTCCGCCGCCACACCTCGAGCGCGATGCGGCTCGCCTTCCCGCTCGCGAGCGCGCCCCCGGCGAGCGCGAGCGACACCTCGCCGCTCGCCCACCTGGGTGGTGTGAATTGAATTGTTAGCTTTATGCTCGCAAGCGCGCTCCCGCAAGCCTAAACGACGGCTCTCCGATGATGAGTCTGGTGTTCAAGCCGTGCAGTTGTCGCAAACTTTCTCGTAACCGATGTTTTTAGGCACTTGCATTGATGCCAAAGCTGCCCGTTCAGAGTGTTAGCGAAAATAGCTTCGAGCTTCGAAAACTAAAAGATAGATAAAGATAAATAGATAAAGATAAAAGATAAATGAATTTCAAAAATTTTTTGACCAACTTTTTCTCTGCTTCTTGGGGCTTTAGGCGTCTTTTTGGACCAGCTTCAACTTTCATGGACATACCAGCAAAGATGTTGGAAAGGCAACAAATGAACCGGCAGAATTTCCTTGTAATCGTGTATGTTGAGACGCTAACTAAATATTCCCTGGTCGTTCCGTGAACATGATATCGATTAAAGCTACCAACCTTGCGATTGCCACCTGCGCGGCGGTCCTTAATCGCCGCTCCTTCTGCGCGTGACTCAGCAGCCCCTGTAGTCCCTTCTGGAGCCAGCTCTGCCGCCACTGCTTGACCGCCACGTGGACCATCTTCGTCGCGCGCGCCCAGCGCGCGAGCGCCCACCTCAGGAGCGCGCGGTCACCGCGCCCGGCCGCGACCTCCGACGCCGCGCCGAGGTGCCGCCGGAAGCGCGCGTGCAGCTTCCACCAGACGAACGCGCGCGACACGAGGCGGGTTTGGCGGGTTTGGAGGCCGGTTTGGAAGGTCTGGGCGAGGGTTTTGGCGCGGCGGGTGTGCGCGCGCCAGCGGCGGAAGGCGCTCTTAAGGAGGCCCTCGGACCAAAGGCCTGGAAATGGTCAGACTGGATGTTTTAGGAGGAGGGAGAGAGCGCTTCAATCATATCCTTGAAGCCGCTGTAGTACCGCCTTATAGATGGAATCAACGAGCATGTTTTGGGAAGGCGTGAATCCTACGAACGGATAGAGAGTTCCGGCGCAGTCGATGAGGTTGCGGCAGGCCCAAATGTACGGGCAGCAACATTTTGCAGAACCACACTCCAGGATTTGTACCCGACATCTCGAAACCAGCCAGAGCGGGCATTTCAAATCAAGGAATTTTCAGTAGTCTGACTGAAAAGACAAAGTGGAATCCTGCAGGATGACGACAGCAGGTTTCTCAACGGACAGCAGACGTACCGAGAGCCCAGCTCTTGCTCGTTTTGATCCTGTGCCATGCCTTCCACTCCTGCAGTGCCACGTGGCACACCCTCCTGCCGTCGAAACGCTCCGCCTTTTGGAGCATTTCCCCTTTCCACGCCCGGTAACCCACCAACGTCCGCCACTCCGCGAAACACCTCCCCAATTTTGCCCTCTCCCGAGCTGCCACGTGGCACGTCAGCGACGCGCGCTTCTCTCTGTTTGCGCGCGCGCACGCGTGCCACCTCAGGAAGGCCCGGTCCCTCACGTAGCTATCCCGCTCGTGCGCGAGCTTCTCTGCGCGCGCGCGGCCCCCGAGCGCCCGCTCGCGCGCCTCGCGCCACCCCTGGAACGCTCGCGCGCACAGCTGCCCGCCGAAGAATTTCACCACAATCCGGCGCTGCTTTCCGGCCACCACGGCGGAACGGAGCTCTGACAGGAACGCCTTCTTCCAGCGGAGCGCCCAGGTGTGGCGCGCTCTCTCGACGATGCCCCGCCGCCGTTTGACGGCGTCGGCGTTCGCTTTGAGCGTCGCGAAGGCCTTGCTGAGGGTGAGGTTTGCCAGGCGGCCCAGCGCTTTCCGAAGAAGGGACCGCTGGTACAGGGCCTCGGCGGTGTGCTCCGTCCAGCGACGGAACGCGCGCGCGATGGGGAGGTTTTGCCAGTTGGTTAAGACCTGTACGTATACGACTGCCGTCAGGATTCTTTATCTTTTGACTGATTTTAATCCACTTTTTTGGTCCTCTGTTTCAGCCCCGTGTGACAAGTAGAAATGACTTTGCGCTTTTGTGGGCATGATTCCATTTCGACTCAAGCTTTGACCTTAGTTTGATTGTTATTGGTGAACGGTCGTTTCTTTTCTCTCACATCAAAATGCTCGGAAAAGTACTGAGGAGCAACCAATGATCCCTCCTGATTGACCATAAAGGATCCTTCAATCAGCGAAAGAGGTTTCACGCCCAAGACATACTTCTTACCCTCCATGAGAGAAGCTTGCTAACTGATGGTTTCGTGGACTCCAATGGTTTCTGTGCCGCTTTAAAGCTACTTGAACTCACCCGCCTCATCACGGCCTTATCTTCGTGTCTCCTCTCCACCACCTCCCTCCAAACCTCCCACGCCGCCCAAACCCTCCACAGCCGCCACCGCTCGACACACGCGGCCGCGAGCGCCTTCTTCTCGCGCGTGCTCGCGGTCTCCTCCCGCCACGTGGCAAAAGCGGAGGCCAGGTCGAAGACCTCCCAGCGGCCGACGGCTTTGATCATCGTGGCCGTCCGTTGGGACTTCGCCTCGACGATGGCGTGCCACGTGTTGAAAGCGCGTGCAAGCCCCCGGTTGCGCCAGTGGAGGAGCGCGCGACAGCACACGGCTTTTTGCTCTTGCCTGGGGAAGGACAAGCAAAGGTCGGGTCAAACTTGTACAGATACTGGTTTTCGAGTTGAAAGCGGGACGCCCGAGCGGAGAGGGTCAAGTGGAGCAGATTGTGAGGTATGAGCAGCAAAAAAGAGCAACCCCGTAATCTGGTCAGGCCTCGTTGCTGGTAGTTGGCAAACCGCAAAAGCAGATATGAGGGTAATAGCCTATTAATATGCAACTGAACACGAGTCTGAGTTCAAAGTGCGGTAATATTGAGGATACGTCTTAGCACTGGCCTCATTCATCGTTGCCACATTCTGCCAATCTTGGAAAGCATCGAGGTAATACGTATGGAAGAATTCTCCATCGGCGATTCTTATGAAGAAGACGTTTCAGGCTTTATGAGCACCACCGCTGGGCAGATTCCAGAATAATCAGGCCTTTCAACTAGCACTTGACCACACGGCAGATTAGATATTTCCGTTCAGAAAGACATGCGTCGGTAACGCCTTACAAGGTCCAGCTTTCTGAAGGTACCTGGAAGGCAGCTTACCGGTGATCTACTGCGTCTTCCCACTGCCGGAACGCCCCTCTTAGCGTATGGGCCCTCCGCATTTTCACAACGCGCACTTCCAGCCCCGCCTTCCCCTGCCTATACTCGGTGTAACTACGCCAGCCCCTCAAAGACATTCTCACCCTCTGCTGCCGCCACCACCGCCCAGCGGTGTGAATACTCTCCTTCTTCGCGAGCGAGTACTGGGCGTTCTCCTTTAACGCCCAGAAAACCCGCCGGGTTAGCCGTAGATTAGCTCGTAACCGGTGCGGGTTGACCAGGGTTTTCGTGAGAAACACCTCCCGCCACTTGGTCCAGACTTTGGTCGCCGCCAGGTGTGAAGCCGCCCGTTTGCAGTCCGCCAAGAGCTGCTCGTGGGCGACCCGGCGCCTTTTCACACCGAGCCACGAGCGCATGATTCGGTCGAGGCTCTTGAGGGTGAGAATGCGCTCCGCGGACAAGGTCAGCGCGTGTAACCGCCGACTGCGGACCGCGCGTTTGCGCCACGTGTGCAGCGAGGTGTGGAGGGCTTTGGTCATGCGGTGCAGATGCCCGCGCTCTGTGAGCGCGCTTTTCCTGTGCCGTTCAGCTGCCCACGTGATCCAGGCTCTGTACAGGTGACGTCTAGAGTTAGAACGTGAATGGCTCACGGGAGTTCACACTATCTTCTGTTGTACGTATGGCGGACTCCCGCGTAAAGAGCCCTTTTCACCGGAAGGGCCCGACTGCCTTACCTGGTCCTTTTTTATCCCCTTGACCAAAATACGACGAAGCTCTTTCTGTTCGTTCTTGATCATGAGGGTTGACGGCAAAAGATTGGCATAGTGCAGTAAGAGTCAGAGCGAACCTTACGCTCAGAATAAGTAATTCTGCACGCTTGCTGTTCCGCAGAGTATGCACTCTCCGAAACAGAGGAGATAGAAGCAAATCTTCTCCTTCATATGCCGTACGTTAACGTGAGCCCAGGACGATACCACCAAAGAGGCAACCCTTCTCCTTCTCAATCTTACGTTGTCCTGTTGACTATCCCTGTTCTCGAGTTCAGCCCTCTCGATCCTTCTCCAGATAACCCTTTGTTTCCGCGTCCCACCTTCTATCTTCCTCTTGATCCCCTTACCTGATGACGAGCTGTCCTTTCCGCGCCCATATCCTTCCCTCCGCTTCCCTCCCCCTCCTCCGCCTGTCTCTTTTACCCCCCGCCCACGCCGCCCAAACCCCCAGAATTTTCCCCGCATTGCGCGCCGCCGCGCTTTCCAAGCACCCCTGCACGACTTCCCGTTTCCACACGTGTCCAACCACCCACTCCCCCCACTTCCGCAAGCACCGAGCTTTCGTCAGCTCCGCCCGTCGCCGTAAGAGCGCCACGTGTCGGTCTGCCGCGGCCTTGCCCTTCGGGCCCCAGATCCGAAAGGCCGCACTCACTAACGTCCAGTTGTAATGCAGAGCGCTTTCTTCTTCTGCTTCTTTTATCCGTCTTATGCGGCCCCGCCAAGCCGCCAAAACTCGTCCCAAGCGGTGCTCTCGCCCCACGCTCTCTTTCGCTGCCCCAAAGCTGTTCCAACCCAAAAACACGCTCCGCATGAGAGCTGCCTTCCAGTGCGCTGCGGCTCTCTCCCAGTTCATTTCCGCGGCTGCTGTTTCCTTCCGTAAGATCTTCAGGATCTCCGTGTTGCAGCGCCAAATGCGGAAGCAAATGGCCAGCCAGCGAAACCGCTCAAATGCAGCCTCGTCTTCCGCGGCCAGGGGGGTCACGTCCAGGCCTGGCCGGACCCCCTCCAAGAGCGAAACATCAATTTGAACCCCCCCGGAAGGTTTGCTTTTCGTAGGTGGGGGTTGCTTTTTGGGGAGCTTTTGGGGGATGAGCTGGACTTGGTGGTGGGGGGTGGACGATGAGGGTTGGTCACGTGGCCCCCACCGCCAGTGGAGCCAGGCTTTGGACAATAAGTGCCGGCGGTGAAAAGCCAACGCTTTGGACTGCCCTTCGTTGCGCTGCAGAAAAGATGCGGTGGTTACTTAGTCAACAAATCAAAAACAGAGATCAAAGAATCTGGAAGGATTAACAATGGTCCGGACCGGTATGCAATTATTGAACTGAGGTTGAAAAACGTCAAGGGTTGAAGGGGCATTGCGACGGGCCGACTCTTTGAAGGCATCGTCCGCAGATGCAACTAGGTCTGCCAGGATGTCTCACGTTAGCTTTGACCAATCTAGATCCTGAAAGAAACCGTCACTTGATCGAACTCGGGAACCGTGGTTGCACAATTGCCTCTAGAACCATTTCGATCTTCGAGGTGAGCATCCCATCACACAAGGGGTGGACGGCTGCAACTAGCTGCGGAAGAATCTCTCACCGCGCACTCCGCCTTAAAGCGGGCCCACCAGTCTGGGCTCGAGTACAGGCTGAGCTTCAACAGGCAGCGGTAGAAAAAGGTGTCCTCTCGAGGGTCCTGCAAACATCAGCATGTGCTTTCAACCTCAAGCCGTCACATGATTGCGTGACCTACTGTCAGGCCCTCAAAGTTCGTGCACCCGTTTTTCTGGATTTTGTTCCTTCAGTCAGCGCGAGTTGCAATTCACGTATTGGCAAGGCCGTTAAGGACATCAGAATGACATCCTGAAACTTTAACGCCGCTCAGCCAGAGATGAGAACACGGCGCCAGGATCTATGACAGTTCTGCACGCTTTACCACAGATTGGACCAATGGCTGGTCCTGGCCTCAGAAAGATGACAGATTTGAATGATGGACATGATTCCAAATCCAACCGCGGCGATCAACTCCTTCAAAATCTGCACGCCCCCCCGGCTCCTTCTTTAAGCGCTTCAGCTTCGAGTCAAATGAACCTGACGGCAGTCAAGCGCTAATGTGATGATGGACTGAAACAGACGACTGTGTGCATGACGCATCAACACTTTGCGAGTCTGGTTGCGCGCACTTGTTGGGTAGTGGTTGCGGGAGATCTGTGCAAAGTCCTGGCAAGCCTTACCATGCCATGCCGCTGAAGAACTTCCTCGTAAGCTTGCAGGACGAGCATCAGGCTCATCGCCGAGCTATCCAAGGCGGCCTTCTTTTCCGCAACTTGAATTATCTCCGCAATGATTGTCATGTCTGCAGAAAACAATACACTTTGTCTCGATCCCTGCATTCTGCAGTAAGGCGTTCGCTGCAATGTGGGACTAATGTGCGGTCTGCTGAAAGGGGCTCATCGAGGGCAATCCGCCATGGTAAACTGCAACTGTATCCTTTCTAAGACAAACCAGGTCTTAACTAGATGGAATACGATATGGTGGTACAGGCAGCTGAAAGCATGGATTAGAAGTGGTGACAGAGTCTTTTGCATGAACAAATCGAGAGGTGGACAACAAAAGCCTCTTGAAATCGGCAATTGGTGGTAAGTTGCAAGGCCGTCTAAGTTCGAGCCTGTACTACAGCTATAACTTGGACGTCGGGGCACTAGAATGAAACTCAACTGAGCTGCTTAAAGCCGTCTCCGGGGACGTTAGCTGTAATTGGAAAAGTACTGCCAACAACAGCCGTACTCAGCTAGCTGCAGACAAGCAATTTTAGTGGCTTAACATGCAGCCACTTGACAAACCATACTTTAAGTTTACCTTCTTTTGAGTAGGGCTCCTCCACTCCAGGCAGGGACTGGTAAGCGTCATATATTGTGTAGTCCATGGCCCGCCTAACCCCACCCACACTTGCGCTTCTGCCTAGCACGCTTGTTGGTGTCAGGTTGCTTCTCCGGGGCTGTTCTCTTCTAGCTAGTGGCGGCCTCACGGCATGCAATGGTTGTCCCCGTGAAGGAGCCATGGCGGCACTACCTACCTTTACAGTAACAGCAGCTTGTTCAACTTAGACGCTCATTGTCCTTACGATTCAGGTCTTGGAGGCAAGGGCAATTAGCTGAGCTGAGCTCTCAATGCATATCCGTGCCGTAGCAGAGCTGCCTCACTTGTGGAGCAGCTGACCTCTTTGAAAATAATCCTTGCCTTTGTGTTGGTCGCTGCTGCAGCAGCTGGGTACTTAGTAAGGCCTCCTTCCACGCAAAGAAGAAAGAGGGACCTCCTACGTAAGACTTCACACCTCCTTCGCCAGACCTCCTTTTGTAGCTTCCTTCTAGGACTTAGAGCTCCAGACTTCATTTGGGCCTGCCAGCACGGACTTGTCCCTTTGCCTTTAGTGGGCACGGCTTTCTGAGAAGAGATATCTCTGCTCGGTCAGATTGCTCTTGATTCACTCTGCTCACCGGAAAAGGACTCGGAAAGGGAATCATCATTCTTTGTTTGGAAACGACTTCCTGACTGAGCAAAGCTCGACAACATCAAGCGCTATTACCACAGGACCGTCCGATGGCGAATCTCAGACCGGATCGAACGGCTTTCGAGCACCATTGCATTAGAACGCCGCGCCGACGGGCGGGTGGACTCGGAGCCACCTGATGCCAGGGGCGCGAGCTGCATTTGCACTGATCGGGCATGCTGTGTCAAACTTGACCACTTTAATGAAGCCCGGCACGTTTGACACTGTGAATGTTCTCCCCACAAAGCTGCAGCAGCAATGCTTTCCTCTGCAGAGAAACTTGGAAAGCTCGACGACGATCGCCCATCTGCCAAGAAGGGCACTTTGCATTACTGGAAAGAGATCGACCCGGAAGGGGGTATTGGACAAAGTCTAGGGTGGGTCACAATGGCATTTGCAGCTCTGCGGCGTGCGCTTGGTCCTGGCAATAATGGTGAGTCAAGTCGACAGTCGTTGGCAAAACATGGCGGCAATTTTTGCGTTCATTGCACAAACAAGATGCTGCTCACAACCTCTACTCTATGCATCTTTAGGTAATCGAGCAAGTGCAACAATTGCTGGTTTGCAGCTCAGATGTACAAAATATGAGTTGACGGCGTATCGCAATCTCAACCCGCTTTCACTGATAGCAACATATATAGAACACAGTAGTGCCTGTAATGTTGCCACCAGGATCCATTTCTGATGTGCTCATTGCATCCACATTTGGACACATGTTAAGCGTAGGGTTTCCTTTTGCAAGCAGCAGATCCAGCGACTTACATGAGTTTGGTAGGCAATACCGAACTGCTCAATGCATGCTATCCCAGCACTGTACCAAATGCGCACAGACGGAAGTGAGAAGGTAGAAAAAAGGAGAGGCTTTTTGTCCTCACTTTGATTTCAGAGATGCGGTAGGATGTTGGCAAGAAGTGAGATTTGAAATTCGGTCTGGTAAGTCAAGGAATCGTGAATGTGAGCAAAATTCAAGTCACAAGCTTTCAAAAAGGAAAACATTGGTAGGGGCTGGCAGCTCTTTGATGAGACAAGTCTTTTTGTCTGCGAGGTTTGGCGTCTGGCCATGATGCCTCTTGTGCTGAATTTGATGTATTATACTTGTTGCAAAACTCGAAACCATCTCGTGTTCACTGCAGGGTTGCTTGGGGGAGCTGGCCTACGTTTCATGAGTACACCAAGGGTACAGGACCGGATGTAAGCGGAACATCATAGCGCTTCTTGAAAAGCATACTTCCAGAAGATTCACCTTCTGATGCAATCTCTCACAATCGATGGTTTGACCACGGTGAATATTGCTCCTTATTTGTTTCTCCCGCTGCATCAAGCAAGCTGACGTTGGTTATTGAAATGCCTTATTTTCGCTTGGGGTGCAGCATCAATGTGATTGCGGTCGATGAAGACGGGATTCGCCACCGAATCAAAGGCCTGATCGGACACAATTTGATGGAGGCTCTGAAACTTTCCGGCTTTGAGTCTGAAGGTGAGACGTTTGAAGGACTCAGGATCTTGGGAGGGGGGCGATTGCTGCCTGATGCATCAGCCCCTAAATGTGCTCTGTCAATAGTCTGCTCGGATCCAACAATAGTGTCTATGCAGAACTTTTTCACTCCTGCTTTTCAGATGCAATTGACATATAGTTTTCTCTTCAAAGGACCGTCCACAAACCAGAGGTTGCTCTCAAGATCACTGAGTAGCGCAAGGTGACCTAAGTGGCTTTATGATATATAATTTACATAGTATAATTGAGAGTGCTCAATCTGGTAGACACATATTCGATCGATGCTCCGGGTCCTGACTGTCTGACCAACTCTACTCACATCTTTCATACCGCTGCCGAAACACAATTCCTGTCTGTTGAAACACAATTTGTGATACGACTCGATCAGCCGAAATATCTATAGCTTCCTTCTCACGTTGCACCACAGTCACCAATTCTTGATTCTTACTGTAGGGCAGAACAAGTGAAAGCAGTTAGTGTTGACAAAACTGAAGGCCTCTCTGATCGCGGATGTCTAGGGAACTCAGAGGTGGGGTTACTCACGTGGGCTCAAACCTCGTCTCGCCTTGCTGTGTTTGTACAGCCCGACATCCCTCTTCAGACAGACTGGATGCATGCTCTGGGAACTGCGAAGTTACGATTGCAAACGAGTGGTTGGACAAGGTTCCTGAAAGGACCGAGGACGAACTGGAGGTGTTGCGGGACGTTACGAAGCGGGTGACGAAAAAGTGAGCAAGCTGCGCGCTTCCTTATGGCAATCTGCGAATATCTTACTCGAGCGTTGGTTGAATTAATACACCGTCTACGTGAAGCGTTTCCCTCTACTTCTGACTGCGAACAAAGAAGTTGCTTGACAGGATCCGCTGCTCTGCAAAGACTTGCAAAGTGCAAATACTGCACGGAATGAGGTCGAATGACTGGAGACAATCCAAAGCTGCCCTGACACCTGTGCATATTGTCCCTTGTGCAGCCACCGGCTTGGTTGTCAAATACAACTTACGAAGGACCTCGACGGTATGGTTGTCTCCAAAGTTGAAGAAAAACCGTTCGAGATTCCTTGAGTACATATACATGTAAGGATAACAATAGAAGCTTCAGCGTCGGTCACTTCGTCAGCAATGTAAACTGCCCATTGCTCAGTTATGACCTCAGTTATGAAGTGCATCCAGATTTCCACACTAATTATTGCGCCACAAAGATATCCAGCAATGACCCTCATGTCCGATGTTCCATTTCCAAGAAACTCAGACCGTCAACACAGGACACACTATGATATGTATGAAGCTGTGCTGTCACGAGCCCGGCCGCCCCACCCATGGTGCCAAGCGACCCGCGCCCGATTGAGTTCAATTGTGCTCATAGCTCTAGATCACAACGCAATACGTCAAGTTCTCGCAGATCGGGGCCTGTCATGATTTGGACGTACACATATAGGCCGGGGCCGAGCTGGCAGCCTGCCTGCGCGACAGATAAACATCATAGTGATCTATAGTCGGCAGAATTGCTGCGCGGCCACTCGAACATCCCCCTAACTTGCTCGCGCCATAAGTTAATTTGCCAGGGATATATTCGCATACAAACACATATCGGGTGGCAGATTCTCACGTGCATGATGGCCATGAGGTATAGTGGTACCATGTGCATCAGTGAGGCCCACTGCAAATTGGCCTTATATGGTGCCACGTTAACAACTTGAAGATGGCCGCCCCGGGGCCTCTAGGCTATAAAGTAGATACTGTCAAATGGATATCGAGACTTGCAAGCATGCTTGCCCGGCTGTCAAGGCACACAACCACTGGCATACATCGACACTTCAGTCCAAATTGTAATATTGCAGGAGCATGGACCTTGCCGGCTTCTCACATGACCGTCCTTATACGGTCATGGTCGCCCTCCTTTGAGGGCCACTAAGGAGCAATTCCAAGCCTAAAACACACAAACACAAGTTTACCTATTCAGACACACTTGGAAAGCACTACATGCATGTTTTTGACTATTTAACATTATCTAGGAAGACCGTCGTTATGATTGTTGACCTGGCTCGTCAGATGCTTAAGATGCTTCCAAACCGTTGACCATCATTGCCATAAAGGCTCGTCGGGATCTCGCCCTGCATCAGCAGCTCCTGCTGGACATCCTCCATCATAGCATATGCCCGCCTCTCCCTTTCCTGGTGCTCAGCCAAGATCTGCTGCGCAAGATCCTCTTGCACTACCTGCCCGCTCCGTCGCAGAAGCTGTTCGCAGTGCTTCTCACAAAAGCTCTGCCCCTCTGCGGCCCTTAGTGCACACGTCCACCCTTTCCCGTCCCCTAGCTGACAGATCCGCACGGGTTCCTGTACCTGATTCAGGTCAAACGCGTTATGCACATTCTCGTCCCGGTACGAACCCCCATTCAGAGCCGCGTTATGCACATTCTCATCTCGGTACGAACCCCCTCCCAGAGCCACCCCCCCAAGAAGCGTCCCTCCAAAGCTACCCGCCCCAAACGAACCCTCATTGTACAGCCCAAAGCCGCTCTGCTGGGGGAAACTCTTATTTACCCGGCTAACAGGCATGAACGCATGCCCCCCAAACGAGTGGCTGGCCACTGGTGTGAACGCACTCCCGTGGCTTGCAACCGGTGTGAATGCGCTCCGGTTCGGCAACGGCATGCCTGCCGCCTGCAGGCCCGCCGGCGCGTACCGGATCAGTTGCTCGGGGAAACCACCCCCCTGCGGCATGAACAGCTCCGCCGCTGACATCACCGCTTCCACCCCCTGTCTCTGCTGCGGCGCCGACGGCATGAACAACAGCTCCGTCGCTGATCCCCCGGAGTCGCTTAACGGCGGCCCCTGCTGCGCTGCCGGCTCCGCCCCGCGCTCCTTCTCCTCCTTTTTCTGCCGCTTCCTCTCTTTCACGGTCTTCTTCGCCGCCTCTCGTTTCTTCCGGTCCAGCTCCGTGTGCTCCCGGCAGTACGGCCGCCCCATCTGGCGCTCCTTGGAGCACTGCCAGTTGCGCCCGTCCGACCGCTTGCACCGCCAGTCCCCCCCCGCCCGGTCCTCCTCGTCCAACCCCGCCTCCGCAACCTGCATCAACGACGGCGCCCCCGACCGCAGCCCCGGAAGCTCCCACAGCGGCTTATCTTCGTCGCTGTCATCCTCTCTCTCCTCCGGAAACTTTTCCAACCCCCCTTGGCTCCAGCCCTCCGCCTGGTTGGAAGCTTCGGCCGGAGACGATTTGCCCTTGCCGTTTTCCCGGGCGGCGCGGTTTTCTCGTTGCTTGCGGATGCGGTCGAGGTGGTTTTGGCAGAAAGTGGTCCCGGGGACGGCGGCGCGCTTGCACCACCAGCCCTGGCCGTTGGTGCGGTGGCACATGCCGGGCTTAGCACGGCCTTTGCCATCTGGAAAAAGAAGCACTTTAAAAAATGGAAGAAAGGGCCTTGGCTCTTCATGTGATTCTCAAGCAGCCATGGTTGTCAGGCGGGACGTATATGTAGCGACCGAACGGGGCTGATTCTTGTTAGACAAGATTCACACAGCGGGGGGGCTTGGAGACCCTCGACGGGAAGAGAAACTTAGCCCCAGGGAAAGGGCCTTGGCATCTGATGGGGTTGAATATAAGGATCACACTGCGATGTTGCGTCCATGCGAAGATGATGGTAAAACGAGAGCTGGCCAGAGCGTAACCTATTTGTACCCCCAATTAGGCTGTCAAAAGAGGCTGCCGCAGCTACACGTTGTGGACTAGGGCAGGAGTCACTTGGAAAGAGATGGGGGTATGCTTAGCACTGGTAGGTGAGCGTGGGTCTCACAAAGGCAACGCGAATGTGCAAGAGGGCGACCTTTCTAAGCAGGTAACCAGCTTCAGCAGACAACAGAAAGAAGCATTGCGCTCAGCGGAAGTGGGAAGAGGTTGTCCTGCCAGAAACAAATGACAGCGTGCTTTTAGGCAGTAGGAACGCCACCGCGACCGGGGGCTCGACTCAAGGACTTCCAAGCTTCAGTGGCCAGCAAAAGATTTGCCTCCTGAAAAATAGCCTCCTGAAAGATATGGCCATGCAGATGGAGGGCAAGGGTTGAGAATGTGGTTCAGGTTGCGTGGTGATTGTACGTGGTTAAGTATGTGGTTAAGCATGTGTTTAAGCGTGTAGGCTTAAAAATGGGGTACTCCTTACCTGTGTCCTGAGAATCAGTTTGGACGACCTCCGCAGAGACCACCTTGACTCTCTTCTTCTTTGGCTTCCTCATCAGGTGCTTCTCACAGTAACGCCTAGCGGGGACAGCAGGATTTGCGCACTGCCATCCAAGGCCATTTTGACGGGAGCAACGCATCCCGGTTTCTGGTGCCTTCGCTTTGTCAAAATCATCCTCATCCTCAAAGACATTGGGGAGCCCTCCAAGCAAGCCTGGCTGAGCGGCGAAGGCATCCTCTGCAAGGGGAATAAGATTTGTCAGCCTGGAAGCACGTCTCTGAATATCCAGAAGTAAGTTTGCAGTTTTTGCTGGTTTGAACATCGTTGGTCACTTTGAACTATTTTTGAATATTTGAATCTGATTACACAGCTGAAGGACTGCAAAAGTTTGCGACCTCTTACTTCAGCATAAAACAGGACACGATGACAGTCACAAGCTTCGATGAAAACAATGTGGCTGCAAAAACGATATCTACCCCGTAGCAGGGGAGTTTGCCATACTCTCACAGTTTGGTCCTATCAAAATGTAATGACAAAAGAAGGGACGTTGCACAGCGAAGGGAATGCAGATGCTCTTGGCAGGGCATCAACAGTAGCTTCTGCTCAGGTATGTCATTTAGTTACATATAGGCTTACACTCAGCCTCAAGTATCTAGTTAACTGAAGCCAGCCCCCAGACACTAAGGCTCACCTGTTGCTCTCAGGCCTTGCAACAATCCCGCTGCATCAGTGACGTCGTTACCCAAAGCACCGAACCCGCCCCCCTCATAGACTAATGGCATGCTGCTCCTGGGGGCACCAGCAGGTCCCTCACAAGGACCTGATGGAGGTACCGCAGAACTCTAAGAAGCGTCGAACTTAATAATGTACATCATGTTAGGAACAACAAGTCCTCTTTTGCATTTTTCATTCCTGTTTTGTTTCCGTGCACTTATGCCCCTTGCACTTACAACGGCTGCCCTGACAGCTGCAGCCTCTAATTCGTCCTGTATTCTGGACAGAGAGCAGGAAAATTTACCAATCGAAAGCTAACTAATTTCTGAACTTTTTTCAAGAAGGGCATTCGACGCCAGCACCCAAGCCTCGAACCGCAAAGACGCCGTCTTTCGGTTCGAGAGTGCGACCTACAAATTACAAAAGGACACTCCCTAAAACTTGCATAATCTGCAGTTTTTCCAACCTAGCTTGGCCTGCTACAGTTTCAAGCTCAGTAGAGTACAGCAGCCAGCTTTTACCGCATCCCTCCACCTCAACAGGCGCCCTTCCAGAAGCCAGGAGCCTGCTTCAGCTAGGATACATGATAGTATTACATGCTGGCCGCCGAGCCTTGGCCGCCAGCCTGGACTGAGCGCCCGCGGTTCGATCGGCGACACAATTACATATGGTGCAAGACTGCGCGCGCGCGCATGAACGCGCGCGTGGCAGCTAGGCGGCGGCCGCATGTCCACCAGCCAACTAGGGACTGCCATTACAAACTAGAGCGGGAGCCTTCTGCTCCGTAAGGCACGCCACCTGGGGGTTTGTCGGGGGTCATTTCGACTGTTGTGTAAGAGCAATTTTAACGGTCAAGAGTTATTTAACTGTAGTTGTACTGACTCTCAGCCCTACGCATTTAGTAAGATACTTTTGTTTGTATCGGAGGGTTTAAAGTTTATGAAAATTTATAACTAGTTCATCGACGGCCTGCGATAGAAGCGCCGAGAATCGCCGACTGTCACGCACCGTCGATAATTGTCACGGACGGGCACGATAATTTAAAATTAAAGATTTAGAACTCAGAAAATGCGAAGTGCGGACTTGGAATTCGTCCTGTGCGTATGCGGGGCGTTTCGGTTAGCGTTCGTCGGACCTGTATACAGAATGGAAACCCCTAAACGATCGCCACGTCGTACAGCGACGGTTTCAGACCCATTCCTACGGCTTCGCCACTTTCAACAATAAATCACGATTCCGCGCGGCCACTGACGGAATGCCGTGTTGCAGACGGAACGGACCATGAACCAGGTTGAAGATGGCATGCCAAATACGGTAATCAAAGCTTAGTACCGCGGCTGAGAAGTGCACGAGGAGCCGTCCAGAGTATAGCTGCGTCGATTAAGCACCAATGCTCGCTACATGGAATGCTCAAGTAGAGATTCAATGTGAACGTGCGGCTCATTTGTCATTGAATCCTTCCCAAGAAACTGCATCTTATATAGCCGACCAACGCGTTGCATATATATGCGGTCATTCCACTTGCGACATTCGACTGAAGTACAGACTCGTTCCACACACTTCTAGTAGACGTCAAGTTCTGACCCTGGACTTGCTTTCGTGAAAGATAGTCCGATCCATTCTCATACCATCTGCGCACAAAACGTCGCGACCTTTCTTTAAATAAATATACCCAACTATGACACACTGGTCATCCAACAAAGTCACCGAGACAATGACACCATGCTTGCGCACCATTCGCGAGTGGCTCGGCACTCACAGACCGTCAATTTCTTCCCCCCAAATCTGCGGGCAAAGTGAGATCACAATCGGTTTGACCGTGTGGCAAGGGCATGAGGCGGGTCTTGGACCCCTCAGGTTTTCCGCCACAATGTTCTCTTAAAATTCATCTTCGTCGTCCTCAGCCAACTGCTTAGCCAGGTCTTGCTCCTGCTGCTGGCGCTCACGCCTCTTCTCCTCGGTCTCGAGATCCCCCTTGTGCGACCCCGGAGGATACCGCATGGCCTTCACTGCCTCGTTGTGGGTGTTCAAGCAGAAACTAATCCGAGAGTGGAATGCAGATTGGGGCTCCACCGTGCTGTAGATGTCCCCCGTCTCCTTCGACTGGACGAACCTGGGTAACACAAAAAGATATGATGTGAGCAGTCGAGGTGCCCGGTCAAGTCCGCTCTTCTTGAATTCCGAAGCGTCCTAAACCTCTTTTGCCACAGTCTGGAAAGCTCGACGATGACGCATCCACAGTTTGCAACAAAAGACCATGTGCTTCGGCTGACCAAAAGACGCCCAAGCTTCTGAATGCTTCTGAAGAATGTCGCACACTCAGCACACCACAAAAGAGATGAGCACGTCAGATATCGTACCAGTCACAAACAATAGCGCGCTGTATCCTCTCCACCTTTCCGAAGAGATGGCACTCACCCCTTCGCGTGATCGACCGTCGCGTCGATTCCCCCGTCCCGAATCGCTTTGGTCACGATCGACTCGATGTCCTCGACAGTCCCTTCGAGGCCGAGCTTAAGGCCCACGTCTTTCAAGCTGATGCGCGAGTAGGAGAGGTTGATGCGCCGCAGCCCGGTGCGGATGACGTTGTGCCGCAGGCGCACAATCAGGTTGCTCGTCTTGTCCGTCTGGAACACCGCGCCGTACTTCTCGGCCGCGTCGTGGAAGAGCTCCAGGTTGCCGATGCGCACCGCCTGATGGAGAAAAGGAGGGGTTGACCAACAGATATCCAGAGTGGCGACGATCAGTGAGGTTCGGGCTTCTAAAATGTCATTGGTACAATCACTTGCGCCATCAAGTCTGAACAAGAAAAGTCTTTGCTTTGGCAACAGATCGACGCAGGCAGACCGCAAGGGGGGACAGAAGACAGGGCGTTTATGATCTTTCGGAGCGTCGATCCAGAAGGGCGAGTCGATCGAGTGCGCATGCATACGAGGTGGGGACGGCGCAAGATGGGCCTGACAGAAGGCTGGCGCGGAAACCCTAATGCACAAAATCTGACCCTAAAATGACAAAGGAACCAGGACAAGGAAGGAGCGTCCATCGCAGCGGCCGTAAACTGCTGTCGGATCCAGGACTGTACTCGACCCAATCGACCATCGATTCCAAGAAACCTAGTCAACGCTGATACCATTCAGCGGGACTTCCGTTTCTCCGCCTTCGTTAACGAAAACGAAATGGTTTAGGAAAGCGGCCGAGGCTCACGTTCGTCAGTTCAAAGTATGGCTTCAGGGCTTCCCGCAGCCCCGGCTGGATGAAGGTCGTCCGTTCCGGAATCTCTCCGAGCAGCAGCCGCACGATGGTCGCCCATTTGGTGCATCTACGGACAGGATAGCTCACCATAAGATTGACTGCTTTCGGTCATAAATTCTGCTTTCCCACAACCTCCAGAAAGCGATTGGCATAGGAGTCATCTCACAGGCGAGAGAGTCGAGCTGAGAAGGGCCCGCTCATCGAACTCGTCAGATTCTTTCATTTCGAGCAGCGGAGATTATGAGGGGCCAGAAAGATTCAAAGAGACGAGTGGTTTCCCATTAACAGTCCCCGCCAGATCGAGCATCAAGCTGCCCCCACGAGTCAAGCCAGCACTGGTTGTTCGTGAGCAGATCAATGAACGTCGCAATGCTCACGCGATCCTGAAGCCCTTGGCAGACTGGGGCGCCTTGCGCAGTGCCTGCAGGAGGCACTCCTTGGCGTCCGTGTATTCCAGCTGGATCGCCTGAATGCGGCCCTGGTAGTACAAGTACCGCGACAGCTGCACCAAGAACATTGTCAACAGTCAAAGAGGTTTTCGCGTCTTGTCTGTGTTTGGCACAGTGGTTCACACAAATACCGTTCTTTGCAGGATGATTAAGTGTCTGTTCGGGGACCGTGTCTTGTCTGGGGTTCCGTTTTGATGAAGCATGATACGCCAGGCTGAACGTGGAGGGCCAACTCGTACGTTGATAGTAACAGTGAGACAGGAACTATGGACAGAGACCTGATCTATGCTGCCACTGTGCCTTGACCGAAGTCGGTACAGGGAAGCATCGAGCACGACAATTGCCGAGAAGTAATCAGTGTAAGCAGCGCGGTGGTCTGCAGGCAACAAGGGGAACGTAGATCATCCCAGAGAGGACAATCGCAGCTTGCAAGCGACTAGGGAAGGAGAGAGACCCACCCCGACAGCTGAGAATAGAGGCTCACCTGCTGGTTGGACGAAGTCTCTGGCCGCTGCGTTTTGGCGCGCAGCTTCTCGGCCTGTTCGTACAGGTTGTAGTGCAGATAGTTGCGCAGCAGCAGGTTCAGCAACGTCTCCTGGATTACATCGAGAGCGGCTCAGAAAGGAGACAACAGAGAAAAGAAACCCGGAGAGACTCTGTAGATCCAACCTGCCCACTAGCCCAGCAGGAGCGAGATTAGTTCGCCAAAAGTTGCCCCTAAGCCGTACATGGAAAAGATGATAGAACCAAGCAAGCTCCTGAAACCAGCTGATTCCTACTGAAAACAAGCGGCGCTGCACTCAGCTTGTGCAGAACGGACGCGTCATCAATGTTCCAGAGCGCACAATCGCTCCCCTCAGAATGTGAAAAAGAAAGCTTTACCTGGCCAATCTCGTCATGCCGCAAAGTGGCCGTTCTGTGTAGCCCCAAGAGTGTGGCCCGGATCGTGTTGAGCTCGTTGGATCGCTCGTACGCCAGCGAGAAGTAAAAGTACACGCGCGCAGCGATGCTGTCCAGCGTCCTCCGGTTGTAGGTCTGGATACGTTTGATGGCCAGATTGGCCACAGTTTTCGCCTGCAAACAAATTTGGGATGAGTTTCAAGGACCAGGCTTGATACCCTAGACTTAGAAGTTGTTTCCCTGCTATGCACCCGGAGGAGTATCACAAAATTCCCACAAGCAAGAGACTGGCTGGAACGTCACAGCTTAGGATGGCTCGACTGGGCCAAACTTGAACTTCAAAAAGAGTACTGTCATGCGAGGGAGTTAGGCAGCATGAAAGCTCGCAAAGACTGCTGATCTTCCATCACCTTCCGTCCCTCCTCCAAGCTCTCCCACAAACTTCTAGCACCTCTAAAGAACATGGTTAGCAACCCAGACTTTGCCAGAAAAGCTTGAAGAAGTCGGCTGTAGAAAAGGTCATGCAGCTTACCACATCAATCTTCTTCTGGTCAATGAAGAACACAAGGCCAACGAGGTACCCGTAAATCTCCACCTCTGGCAGGACTGAATCCTTTGTGCTCGGCACCCCATCTGCCTGGGTAGATGAGGGTTCCTGCATCCACGAGCATGGCTTTGTGACAGAGCTGATCGGATAAGAAGTGTAGTGCTAAGTGGTAGTCGCAAAGAATACCGTGATCTGGTGGGACCCTGGAATGTCTTCTTTGAAATCCAGATGCTGATGGATGGTGTTGGACAGACAGGCTCAACAAATGCGACACGGAGGCTCCTTGAGATCGTGGAATCAGCAACTCGGACTTCTTTGAGTGGCCATCAGTGAGCTTGGAAACAGCAGTCAACATCAGAGTTGGACAAGTGCCTTCTGACTGCGAAAATTGGAAGGACACAACTTACGCTTTGCAGAGCCTGTGTGAGCACCGAGCCAACCTCAAGTTGCTTTGGGAATGTGTGCGCGAAATTCCGCAGGACCTTTGGAGTGATCTTCTTTTTGGCGGCGGCGGTCTGTCTCAGAGCCCGGGTGACAAAGCGCGGCTCCTTCTGCTCCACCGACCGCTCTATCAAGCTCACTGCACCTGTCAAATCTGCAGCAGACAATCACATTAGTAGCCGTGTCTGAAATCTGATTCAATAGCGAACTCTGCAACCAGTTAGAGCATGGAGTCACCCCAACTGACTGGCAGTTGCTGCATGCTTTGCAAACCTGCCTGCGCAATGGACTTCAGCTTTCTGGCCGTCGAAAGCAACATGTGAATCGTCGGGTATCATGCTTTTCAAATCATGGAGATGGATATCACCACCTGATTGTTGAACAAGTGATCTGCTTAGAGCTCCTTATCATAGCCTTGCAATTGCTCACTCATCCGCGAAGCTCAATCTATGGTAAGAAACAACAAACTGGAAATTGATTCTCCCGAGCTGAGCATACGCTTGTCATATTTCAGAATAGATACAAAAGCTAGGGGTTGCTCTGAGTTGAGTTAGGCTTAGGGTAGGCCCATAGAACCGCATAAAAACCATGTTGCAGTGCATGATCAACCGGACGGCTGTGAAAGTGGTGGCCCCCAGAAGCTTCAGCTTCAATAGCGGTATGCATCAGGAATAGATGAAAGGCCCAAGAAAGTGCTTACCAGCCAGTGCAGCTTTCTCTGGATCCTCTGGCTGAACAGTAGCTGCAGTTGCTGGGGCGGTCGCTGAAGGGGCTGCATCCTTCTCCGCATCCGCCATCTCAACCTCCCGAGCCATGCTTCGATCGATCAAACCTCAGGCTAAGGGAGATCGCCTTCCAAGCAGACAATTATATCCTCGTCCTCCGCCCCCAATTCTTCGTTTGGACTACCTACCTTGAAGTTGAATTGAACTTGAAGTAGGAAATTGGACTGGCTTGCACACCTGTGCTCACTCTCCTCTTCATACACAGCTCACGAGTGTGAATGGCTTTTATGAGAGCAACTTTGAAGAAATGGGGGAGAGTTGTAGCTCAAATTATACCCCCGTAGACAGCTCCTGCTTTCAACCCATGATTTCGGTTAGCAACTGTAGATACGGTTAGCCGGGGTATACCGTATTGTAAATAGGCTATTGGTACCTTCACATTGGTTAGAAATAATTAAAACGTCAGTATTCAACTGGGTCCCTATCTAACAGGAGTTCAAGTTATGTAAGGGGTTTGCACTAACTTAACGCAGCAGCGCCTAAAACCCGCCAGGCTAACCCAAGCACATTTGCAGTGACCATGCAACAGGATGAGCTGGCCCGGAAGAATCGAGACTGACCAACTGTGCGAGTTCGAAGGGCGCAGCGGCACAGCTGCAGTGGGCAGATCGAAGAGGTCGTCTTCTGCATAGCAATGCGCTGCAGGCGGGGATTGTTCGACTAGGTTGGTAATGCCACAGGCCTCATTTAGACCATGGCCACGGGAGGCGCAGCCGGCGACGCACCCAATGCCTCTGTCTCGCTGTCCGACCAGCTCCGCTCGGCTAGCCCCGAGTACCTCATCCTGGTCGCCCTTGCGGCGCTGGGTTTCCTGGTCCTTCTAAGAGCCCTTTCCCGGTTCTTGAGAGGCATCTGGTGTGTGTTTTTGCGCCCAGGCAAGAACCTTTCTCACTACGGTAAATGGGCGGTCGTGACAGGTTGCACGGATGGCATTGGCAGGGGTTTTGCGCTCGAACTGGCACGCAAGAAGCTCTCGGTTGTGCTCATCTCTCGGAATCAGACAAAGCTGGTGGAGCTTGCACAGGAGATTGAGAGCAAGTACAAGGTTGAGACGAGGGTTTTGGCAGTGGACTTCACTGAAGGGGGGGAGCTGCAGTCAATCATCGACCGTGTGGAAGCGACACTGTCAGACTTGGATGTTGGCATCCTCATCAACAATGTGGGGCTGAGCTACCCGCATGCGCAGGTGCGGATTGCTTTATCCTGCTTTGTTTGTCAGATCTGCCTCTTATAATGCATTTAGCAACGCTGAATGCAGAGAAGGTACTTTAGGTGCCTGTTCTTCTATAATGTGTACAAAATGGTAGATGTTATTCCTTCAGATGAAGATCTTGCCTTCTCGCAGTTAGGCGTGCAGGTTAGATTACACCATTTTCAACCACTTAGACCCTGTTTGGATCTTCTCTGAGCGCCCTGACTTATGCACCTTTACCAATTAGAGGTGCTATTTCCAAGATCGACTGCTGTACTTACAGCTTTGTGACACGGCTACTTTTCAGCCATTCCTTTTACGGTCTTTCGACTCAGGGCCAAAGTTCTTGTTTTCAACCTCTGCAGCGGGGTTTTTCATCCTTTTACGACCATATGACAAAGATTTCTTGCGCCTCCAAGGATACTTTCAAGTGTGCTTGTACGGCGGTTGCCACCATATGTGCACAGCAAGAGATTGGTATTGAAAGTACGCCAGATATACACGTGAAATAGAGTGGCCGAAATGCACCACCAATTGTTTCGAAGCACCTTTTTGACCCTGGTGACAAGACTTCGTTTTTGAAATACCACCACTCCGCCAGAAGAGATGGAACGATTGTACCAAAAGATCATCGGTTCTTTCTTTGGTGAAGCGGTGGGATAATTACGTGCGTAGAGCGATCATCTGGTGGCGGAACTGTTTGTGACTCCTGAGACACTTCCACTTTCCGGAGTATAGTCTTTGAAGAACAGTCATCAAGCGCCCACCAGAGATCCATTTATTACTACAACAGCGCTTCACCTGAACCTGCAATGTGGTTCTGACACAGTGGCAAAATGAAGTATCTAATATTACCTTGCACGCTGATACCTTCTTACTTACTGACATACTCAGTTTCACTTCTCCTCGTCAGTATTTGAACATGCTTAACGAGACGCTTCTTCTTGGAGTATGTTTTGAGAAGACTCAGAAAGCCCCTACCGGAGATCATTTTATCATTAGAGCGCTTATCCTGAAACCGCAAAGCGGTCATGACACACTGGCAATGTTCTTTAAGTTTGAAACTCAACTTGCACGCTGATATTCTCATACCTGCTGACAAACTTGTTTTGACTTCTCCTTTTCAGTACTTGAACGAGCTCGATGTGATGCTGATTGGCGACCTCATCCGTGTGAACGTCGAGGTCACAACGCGGCTGACGAGGTCCGTCATTCCTGGGATGCTGAAGAAACGCCGGGGCGCAATCGTGAACGTCGGCTCGGGGGCGGCGACCGTGCTTCCATCGGACCCGCTATACGCAGTCTATGCAGGCACAAAAGGGTGAGTCCTTCGTTTCTAGAGAGCTTCCCGCCTCTAGTTAGGAACCCAGAAATCTGGAAGGGTCTTTCTTTGGTTCTGGCTACCGCTCAGAAACTTTCAAAAATGCCCTCTGCTCTAGCTTAATCTCCTTTGTGATCAATGTTTATACGCCATCAAGTACCAGAGCCGGGCGATTGGGATTGCTCTGTTCGTGCTCTGATTAGCCCCGTCCTTCATGGTGTTCTTGTTCGCAGGTTCGTCGACCAGTTCTCTCGCACTCTCGCTGTGGAGTACAAGCAATGGGGCATTGATGTCCAGTGTCAGGTGGGGATGCAAAACGGCTGTCCAATGCCTGAGATGTTCTTTGCAGAAGCCACGACTTATCAAGCGCCCCTCTAGTTCTGGTCCTGCTGTTTGAGAAAATATTGCATCTGGATTCGTGCAATGCGTTCTGCCTAAACGCAAGGAACCTGAAGTCGGAAGCAAGTAATAGCCGGTGACAATATGCTTATCACGACTTGATTGGTAGGGAACTCCCTCACACGAAAGCACGCTTTTTGCTGTTGCAGGCGCCCCTATACGTGGCCACCAAGATGTCCAAGATTCGCAAATCGTCCCTCACCTGTCCGAGCGCCAATGTGTACGCGCGCTCTGCGCTGAAAGCCATAGGCTATGAGTCCCGCGTGACCCCTTATTGGGCGCACGCCATCATGTGGTGGATAGTGGCGTCGCTGCCGGAGCAAGTCATGGACACGATTAGGCTGAAGCAGAATCTGGGGATTCGGAAAAAGGCCCTGAACAAGCATGCACAGAAAAAGATTGGGGAGAAGAAGTCGTCTTAGCTAATCGTAGAAGTCTTTTCTTCTTTTACGAACAGGCGAGTACCCAATGTAGTGAGTAATCAAGGACTGTGCATGTGCTAAGGCTTTGACGATACATTCCCGCGAGAAGCTCAAGTGCATAACGGTGTGATTGTCTGGGCGCTCAATCAGCGAGTTTCGACGTCTGCCATGTGAAAGTTTTCATGGACTGTACTTTTGCAAAAGTACGACCTTGAATTGGTAGCATGTAAGGGAGGCAGATTTGAAAACCCTGAGTACGATCAGTGCGGATATGGCGAGATAGTTGACCATGTCTAGGTTGACAACTTTTTACCTTGCTTTCGCGCACAGACGAGGCATGAATGATTTTGATCCAGCTCTCGGGCAGTATAACGGTGCTGGAACCGCGAATGTGTAGAAGTGGAAGTTGATGCTGTCTATGCCATAACACATGCGACTATGTGTTTGACGCCGGGCCTGCCAGTGCCAAAGTGCGCTAGCTTGTTATGCCGTCCATCAACGGTGTGCACTCCTGCCTAGCTCTTTACTACATCAATTGACATTCGACGATAATTCTCAATGTATGCAATTAATGTCGGTCATGCATGTAATTCAATTTCCTCCCATGTTTTTGAGATATTGCATTGGATCTGGACACGCGACGTGCATGAATGTACAACTTGGCAAGCACAAGTACGTACAGCCAGAACGTACGCTCATATGCTCAACGCGTGCGAAAAGTGGAAATGATCTTTCCACAATCTTGCGTGGATTACCTTTGAGAGCCGACAGCGGCTGCATCAAATTCCCGGGGATCGACTTCAGGCGGGTAGCTTTAATAAAAGTCAAGCAATAGCCTGCCTGCCCGCTATCCACGATATCACGGCCCATGGCCATAGGTCACATGATTACATATATGTGCTGGTGGCCGGACCCGTGCGATATGACCTGGCGGCAGTCTCTAGTACAGCGTATCAGCGTGACCACATGCCTTTCCTCAAGTGCCCACTGTACGTATTGGCGATGCATGGCCGTCACTGATGATTAAGGATCTCCAGATCTGCTACAAATTCTGTTGCGGGCAGCGTGCGGTATGGATCGTGAATGAAGTGCGTGCTAGCTTTTCGTTCCTAGCCTAGTAGCCTGCCTGCTTTCAATGCATCATTGATGCGGGCGCGAATTGCACGGTGTTCTGTTCGGCCGCATATGCGTGCGAAAGGACAATAGTGGGTTTGCGAAGAGGCCACGCAATCGTTCATGGAGTGCACCGGTTGCACCCACTAGTATGCATGACGCGACCCGGTGGCACTGGATCAGTAGGGATCGCGACAATTTGATGACAAATTGTAGCGCTCATCTGGCTTGATTGAACGGGCTACAATATTGACAGTTTGACTTGGACTAGCTGTTGCAGCTTGGCATGCCCAATTGCAGAAATTTGCAGTGTTGTGGCCTTTCAGTTTCATTGTGGCTGTACTTGCACGGTAGATCAACTTGCCATCATGTGCTCATTGCCAATCTTTTCCTTGCATACAATTTTCCCACTCTTGTCGGCTAGGCCTCTTTCAAACTTGGCCCCTCAGCCTTGTTGTGGAGGAAGCCGGGGTTGACCCCCTCCTTCGGGACTCGATCCATCCTTCTTGCGTCCTTAATTGGGCATTCTTTTGACCCAGTTCAGCCCTTATCCGGCCCCATTTTGGCCTGGGTTTCAACCCCGGCTTGGCCAGCTTTCGACTCAAGTATGGCTTTCTTTCAACTCCGGTTTGGCCCGCTTTCACCCCCGGCTCCTTCCCTCCATCTCCGTTCTTTTCTTGAACCTTTCAATGGCCGCAAAGAGCTCCCCATCACTGTCCCCCGCGTCCCCTTCCTTGGAAGCGGACACACCCTCCTTCACAGCTGTTTCCAACCCAACTCGCGTCCCCTTTTTCGCACCCGCCGAATCCTCCTTGACAGCTTCGATTCTGGTGTCCTTCTCAAGGAGCCGCTTTCTGTTGCACTGAAAGTCGCTCCCCTTTCGTTCCTTCCCAACTTTCGTAGCCTGTTCTCCCTTCTTCTCTTTCCTCTCCCCTCCTTTTCCAAGCCCCCCAAAAGCACCCCTGCCGGTGCCTTTCGCTCCACATTTTCCTGTGAACTTGCACTTCAGCAAGTCTTCCACGCTTCGCTTCACTCGTTTCAGGGGAGGCGGGCGCCGCCCTTCCTGACCCCCCTCCCTCAAACCCTGCTCTCCGCCGTCTTCTCCTGCGCTCTCCGTCTGTTCCGTTCTGTCCGTCTCAGCAGAGTCCGCAACGCTGCCGTTCTGGTCCGACTCCTTTATGGTACCGTCCGAACGACTCACAATTCTGTCCGAATCCTTCGATCCGGCGTTCGTACCCTTCATTCCGCTGTCCGCAGCCCCTGTTCCGCCGTCCGGATCGGACCGACTTATGTCCGACCCCCCGCAAGCAACGTCCAAATCTCCCGCCAAGCCTCGTACGACGGACTCCTCTGGTCGCCCTTCCAAAACCCCTTTGCTCCTCCCGGCTGACTTCCCGGCAGTGCCTCGAACTTGCGACCCGCTTTTTCCTGCAACCTTGCACTTCAGCAGATCGTCCACGCTTCGCTTCCCTCGTTTCAGGGGGGGCGGGCGCCGCGTTGCCTCTTCCCCCTTCTCCGAACCGTTCCCCTTGCCCTCCTCTGCTGTGCTCTCATGCGAATCAACACCGTCCGAATGCCGCTCAGACCGGTCGGACGCTTTCGTACCGCTGTCCGAATATGCCACCCTATCACGATCGGACGCTTCCTGGGCTTGCACGACATCCATATCGCACGCGTTTAGCCGATGCGCTCCCTTCTCGGGCCCTGTTTTCCGGAAGTCGAACTGCAGGAGCTCTTCGGCGCTGCTGTGGCTCCCGTTCAACGAGGCCGGGGACGACGCCTCCGCGGGGGCTGCCGCTGGGGGCCCCGTTTGGTCCGCGCTCGCTTCCGGAGAGTCCTTCCGTTCGTTCTGGCCGGCGTTCGGAGGAGGCGAGACAGGGCCCTTCGCAGGCGGAGACGCTTCCTGCAATGTAACAACAAAAATTTGTCAGCATTGAAAATGGCTAGAACGGATGGGGCCCCCGCTTTATTCACGATCGCATCCGGAGACTCCTTCGGTTCGTACTGGTGGTCTGGATTTCTCAGGAGGCGAGACGAGGCCTTTCGCAGGCGGAAACGCTTCCTCCGATGCAGTCATTAGAAGATATCAGCATTGAGAAAGCTGAAATGGATAGTGAACCCCGTTGTGAGCGCGCTTGCGTCTAGAGACTCTTTCCTGTCGTTCCTTATCGAGATCCGCAGGAGGCGAGACAAGGCCTCTCGCGGGCGAGCCAAGTCTCGTAAGTCCCACGAGAACGAACTGAGGCGCAGTCAATCGTGATCCTCCGGTCCTTTCAAACTAGTGGCGAATGCATCGGCTCCCGAGAGGAACACAGCTGTGCAAGAGACACCATATCCACGTGTCCGCACCTCGTCGCTCCCCAGGTCGACAAACTCCGCAGGCCGCTTCTTCTTGACACGTGGCACAAAGCTGAGCTTCCGCTGCTTCGGATCGTCGTTCTTCGCCAGGCGCGCCTCACTAGCGCGCCGCTTGGTCTGCAGTGACGTCACCTTGGAGTGGCAGGGGACGCATAGCGTGCGCAGGTTCTTCAAGTCGCACTCGCCTGAAGGGGCGAGAGTGACGTCAAGGGAAGGGTGACGTCAGTTTGGCGTGGCAGGGGCGACAATTGTCTGCCAGGTCTTTGCGTTGCACTCGCATCGGGCCCAGGGCCGGGTATGACGTGGATCGGAGCAGCTTTCAGCATAAGCAGTGATTGTGAGAGTAGTCAGGAGACGCTGATACGGCACGCATCTGAAGGATTCAACGTCTAAAAGGACCCAAGAGTCTTGCATCAGAAGAGCAGACACCGCAGTACAGCGATTTCGTTAAAGAGCAGGATAGCGAGATTCATCTGCCACAAAGCGACCAATGAATCACAAATTTCAGAAGTTGAAGCTTCATCTTTGGGCATCGTTGCGGGTTAAGGCTGCCGAGCATTTCGGTCAACGACAAAAGAAATGTCACTTATCTCTGCCAAGATACAACGTTAACTCTTGTCTTTTGCAATCGAGAAACGGGTCCGTCTAGCACTTGGAAATCAACGTTTCGGCTTTGAGATGAATCTGCAGGGTTCAGAGTCAAGGGTACACGATTCAGGGGCTGGAGCTTTTGCTTTTTAGATTAGGGTTTCGGGTTTGCGGCTCACCCCCGCCCTCGTAAACGGCCACGATGTGGTCGGCGTGCCAGGCGTTGCCCTCGTTAAAGTTGGCCAGCAGATAGTCTAGTCTCTTGGGGTAGTCCAGGAATGCGGGAGCCATCTCCAGAATGGACTTGCGGCGCTGCTCGTTGGACAGGCCCTTCAGAGTGGTCACCTGGGTTGGTATAAAGGGAGCGGTTGGGAGAATTTAGAGGAACAAAAAGGTAATGACAAAAGAACAGATGAGGAAGATACTGGCGGTCTGTCGGACGGGCCACACAAAGATGATCACACGGCTTTTGCCGAAGGGCTGCTAGAAAGTGATTGTAAATCGAGTGTAATCAAAAGAGGTAATGCACGGAAAGGAGAGGAGGTAAAGTTCAATGGCCATGCGATGCTGCCCTTTTTATCAGGGCCCTTCGGAGTGGTCCTCTGAGTTTTAATGAGGGCAGTGATTGAGAATGAGATGAAAAGAAGACAGGTAATGTAGGTAAAGCCGATAAGAAGAAGGCGCAGCTCGCCAAAGCGTACAAACAATATCACCTGACATTCGACAATCTGCACCCCCCCATCCCCACCTAAGACACTACAACCCAAAACCCTTAACCTTTTACCCCCCTGATTCACAATTCCGGAGCTCACCATCTTGTGGCAGTCCAGGTTGCACATGGAGCACACCCCCCGCTCTAGTTCGAACAGCCGCCGCCGATTGTGGGCGCTGCTCGTTCGCGTCGAGTACTGATCCGCGCAGGTCGGCGAACAAAAGAGGTCGGCCATCTTCTTGGGAAACTTGGCGAAGCGGCCCCTGCGTCCAGAAGTTTATTGATGTCTTCAGATTTGTTAGGAAAGGTGATCTTGCAAGTCCCGACAAGGAGGAAGGCGAAGGGTCAATCATCAAGAAGAATGTGGAGTTCTAACAGAAATAGACTGCGCTGACCTGACATAGCAACCGCAGCCGGACCTTGAAGAGCTTACTTGAGTTCGGGACACGAGACGTAAGATAAGAGTGTCGGCCTCATGCACAGACATAGAGGCTTCAGCTTACCGTAATGGCCTTTGCCCTAACCGCAGAAATGGATATGATGTTCGACCCGTGACTTTTAAGGACCTTCAGCGTAGCTCTGAGCGACGTATCGTCCTTGCAGCCTTGATAGTTCTCTTCTTACATAGAGTGTTTCAAGAAGCAGGCACGAATAGTTTCATCTGAGAGACCAACTCCAATCGACCCCGTGAAACTCCAGCCTGGCCGTCCATGTTTCCCAACAGCTGGCAGTACTTTGGGAAGATGAACTGAATCGACTGGAAGCAGATAATCAAGCACTTCTACCAGACCGCACATTCGCTCCTTCTACAATATGCAATTCCGAATCAAACAAGCTGTCCTTCACTCACCTGCAGATTTTCTGGCACATCTTGCACAGCGGGTTGCCATCCTCGTCCAACCCCTGATTGCTCTTCTGCGGCTCCCCGAAGATCGACCGCCACTCGACGCCCCGCATGCTCGCGCCCGCCGGCAGCGGCTCCCCCACCTCGTCACGCGCCGCCACGCGCTTCTTGCTGCCGCCCGCCCGCAGGCCCTGCGGGTGACGTGATGCTGATGTCAGCGACGATCTTCGGAAGCTCATATGAAACATGTCAAATCTTTCAGGAGTGTAATAAGTATGGGGCGACTCCCCGCCTCGTCCCCGCGCCGCCACGCGCTAATTGCTACCGCCGGCCTTCAACCCCTGTGGGTGACGTCATGCTGATGTCAGCGACAATCTTCGAGATGCCGACAAATCATCCGGCTTTCGGGTTGAGATTCCTACAACAGAGGAGAGCCAAGGGCGGCTGTCCCGCGCCGCCATGCGCTTCTTGCTCCCGCCCGCCCTTAGCCCCTGCGGGTGACATCATGCTGACGTCAGCGACATCGAAGCTTTCATCAGATACTGGAACTTTTGGGCGTCAGCTTTTAGAACTGGAGGACGCCGAGAAGCAGTTCCTCAGCCTCGTCCAGCACCGCCACTTGCTTCTTGCTTCCGCACGCCCTGAGCAATGACGTCACGCTGACATCAGCAACAATTTGAGAGAATACATCAAAGTCCGGGTCGTTCGGCTGGAGTTGATGGGTATGTACATCAACAAATTCCCCGCCACCACGCTCTCTTGCTCCACCCCCCCTCAGGCCCTGCATGATGACGTCACGCTCAGGCCAGCAACAATATTCATTCGGTCAAGAATCTGGGGGTGGGTTTCCGACTTCAGGTCAAATAGATATACAGCCACAGCATCAGAGCGCGGTGTCTGGCCTCGTCCCAGATCCGAACAAACCCAGAAGCCCTACACGTCGAAAACCCAAAATTAACAGAACCCACAAAAATTGAACACCCATGTACCCAGAGAAGAACGTTACACATACACCGTGAATCAGAACAAAAACCAGGTCTCACCCCCGTCGCGCCTCCCCTGACTTTCTCAAGCTCCAGCTCGAGCGGTGCTTTGAGCGGCATCCCCTGGAGCTTCGACCGAAAAATCGGACGCAGCTTGGTCCACTCGTCCAGAAATTGACGGGCGGCGCGCAGGTGGGCGCCGCACGTCAGCAGGAGTTTCGGGAGGGGCCCCTGGTAAGACCTGCAAAAGATAACCGAAACTGAGTGACATAGAAAACCGTTTAGCTCCGGGCGTGTGAAAGGCTTGCGGGCAGCCTTTTACTGGATGCAAGTTGCAACAAGGAGAATTGTCTGGAATCATTTTCGTCTCCAGAGGTGAATTTGCAAGCTTCAAAGATCACCAGAAAGATAGGCTTAGGGACCAAGGGGATTGGGGGTAAGAGAACGTCACTGAAAGAGAAGCCTACTGAGCCGACGTTCGACACTGATCGTGTGTAGGATCGGATGCTGAACTCCTAACCTGTACCCAATATCTCTTGACTTCACACTGGTTTTCAATAAAAATCGACTTTTGAGGATAACCTATTGGCCCACCGCCTTACCGGACATCCTCTTCCGTCTTCAGCTTGGCCAACTCCTCCCTCGGAAAGTTGAGCCCCAGCAACTCCGCGCCCCCCCCTCCAGACGCCCCGCTTTTTACCCCCCGGTACAGATGCACTCGCCCCGTGTTCGGACTGATCTCAAACAGCAGCTTTCCCACCGGCACTCCCCCATCGTCCTCCCCCCCTTTTTCCCCAGCCTTTGCGTCCCCCCCGGCGCGAGTGAAAACGTCGAAGACGGGCCCCTGCGAAGACGGAAACAGGCTCTTCCGGGCGCGCTTCCCGCCCCGTCTTTCATCCGGGGGGGTGCCGTCGATGGGGAAGCTTCGCCTGCGGACGCCCGGGGGGGTGAGGATGCGTACCTTGTCCGACGAGTTTTCAGTAACCTTTGCTTCGGCTGCGTTTCGCGCCTTCGTTTCACCGTCACCCGATGGAGCAGCGAAAGGAAAGTCTTGGTCATCCATTGCGACCCCATTTTCTTCCTCCCCCTTCGAAGAACCCGCCTCCGCCTCTTCATGCGGCTTCGCACTCGTTTCTTCGCTCGCGCTCACAAACTTTCCGTTCCCGGGGGGGTCAATTTCCGCCTCCATTCCACCCCCCGGCTCGTCCACTTTTTCGGTTCCATCACCCGCCCCTTCCTCGCGGTCCTTTTCTTCCCCGTTCTCCTCCTTCTCCGCTCCGGGGGGTCCCGTTCTGCAGCCAAACCCAACCCCCCCTTCCCACTGCGTCGCGCCCCAGTCGTCGGTTTCTGCGTTTTCTGTCCGAATGTTCTGTCCGGACGCCTTGTCCTCAACCGCGTCCACGTGGATTCCCCTAACCGCGTTTTCGGACCCGTTAACCACGGTCGTAACCCGCTCCAACGACTCGCTTAACCGCATCCAGCTGGTTTCATCGTCCGTGTCCTTGGCGCAGAACAGGTACACGTTGACGGCACTAGACTGGCCCCGCCGATGAGCGCGATCCTCGGCCTGCGTGAACGAGAAGTGGAACGAGGAATAAGGCCCAGCAACGGGACTATTCGTCCAACATCAACAAGAGTGGTCTGCACAATGAGGGAATGTCTCCGATCCAGACCGACCGCGCCGGCGGGCGATCATTAGCCTGTCATTTACGCCGGGAGATTTTCGGGATCCTTATTGACCTAATGGTGCACCCAATCTGCCCGTTCCACTCGATCGGACAACATGCTAAACCTTTACTAATGAGCGACCGGGAGGTGTGTTCGTTTTCGTAATAGTTAACCTGTCTCGTCAGCGAATTCTGACCGCAGTCAATACGGTAGCCTAGAACTCAGGCACTTTCTTGATCTCTTCCCAATCCAAAGATGCGCTTCTTTCTGTAGTCTGTAAGCTTCAGCTCTCTTTGAATCAGACTCCCATCAATCCCTTAAAAACGCAACACCCACCCCGCGCTTACCTGCATGAGGTCAGCCGATGACGAGGGCAACTCCGCAAAGACGACTGTCTGTGCAGCGCTGAAGTCCAATCCGACGCC